AAAAAAAAAAAAAAAAAAAAAAAAAAAAAAAAAAAAAAAAAAAAAAAAAAAAAAGATAGAAGACTTACGCAGGATCCGAAGTCGCCAAACTACTCGGCGGCAACGCCCTCTGCCCATACGACGCCCCCGCAGGACTCACAAAGTTCCCGTATTCACTCCCAAACCGATCCACCAACGTGTTCACCGCCAGCGTCACATTCCCATCAATCGGCGTCCCAGCATCCACCGCCGCCGCCGCCCGCTTCACCCCCCTCTTCCCACTCGTCTGAGTCGTCGCCTGAGGATCCGCAAGCACAAACCCATCCTGCGGCGGGTACTGCCACCACCCCTCGCCTGGAATCAACCACCTCGCCAAAAACGCCCCCGGGCAGAGACCACCGAAACGGTCGTACCCAAACAGGGCGGTGGCGAGTACAGGCGCGACGGGCAGGTCGTCGTGCAGGGTGGGCAGGCGGGTTGGGCCGAGGCGGGAGTCGCCGCAGAGGTAGGTGGAGAGGAGCGAGACGGTGTAGTTGGTGCCGGCGCAGTATTCGGGGGTGTTGCGGCGGCCGCAGGTCGTGGAGGTTTCGTCGCGGGGGGTGAGGGGGATGGCGTGGGAGAGGGTGAAAGAGAGGAAGGGGAGGAGGGTGGTGAATTTCATGGTTGTGGTGTTGTTGGGGTTGATTGGGTGATTAAAGTAGGTAAGGTAGGTAATTAATTAGGAATTAGTTGGTGGTGTTTATTAAGACGTTAGGTCGAGCTTGAAGACACAAGAGCACACGGAGAACAAAAACCTGGGAGAACACCACGGCCAGGACGACGCCCTTTTATAGCTGATTTGTTCACCACCTTCCCATCCTCCCTTCCACGAGGATCTTTTCCTCCTCGCGTCTCCTCCTCACAGTCTCGCCCACAATCCCTTCCCTCTCGGCAACCAAAATGTTGAGCCAAAATGCAGCGTCGTCACCCGATGTCTCACATCCGCCCATCTCTAATTGGCTGCCCTCGAAATCCGAAATCCCAGCTTTCCCCTTTGGGCCCTTGGGGTCACTTTGGACGTTCGTGCAGCAGCTGAAGAACACGGGCCGCAGCGCGCGAGACCCAATCCGGGATAGGATCGGCAGCCCGCAGGCCCCGGACGAACCCGGACGAATGCCGGCGTGGGGTTGGCTGGGCGGGCCCAGACCGGGCTGAGAGCCGCAGCAGATCTGCGGATCTGCGGATCTCCAGCGGACTGGGCTGGGGTGTCAGGGAGTCTGGTTAGTGGTTACTGGTAATCGGATTCGTCAACTCGGGAATGCTCTGCAGGTGTGACAAGAGCTTGGGGTAATTTGAGGGATATACTGAGGCATTTTACCGAGTATTTTGGTGTTGGGCCGAGTAATTCGATAACGGGGCATTTGATGTGCAGAAAGATGTGACGGAATTCATTGATTGGTAGGATTTGCGGAAGGCTTCGGTAATACCTGGTGTCGGGACTTCGTTAGAGGGCATCGCTGAGGCCAATTAAATTTAGTTCAAGAACCACTTGGAGCGAGCATCTTGGACTCTCTGGCAGGAGAGTGAAATGGACTGGAAACGACTTTAAAGTTAAAGGGCTAGAGTGCATGGGTATGTTCTAGGGCTCGGATTCGGTAAGACAAACCAGAAAGGTGATAAGCCTGTCGATAATTATGCCAAGAGCAACGCAACTTGCTGAATTATAGCCAGCCCATGATACCCAGACACCAATATCAAACAGCTTGCATCGAAAATCCCTTTCCAAACTTCATCAGATTAAACCAAACAAGCGTAAAAAAACAAATCCACAGATCAAGGAAGCCGCACCAACGCATTCTCCGGCTGCAGATATCTGTCCTCAACCAACGACCACACGGTAATATCATCATCCAGCTTGTACTGCACACCGTCTCCGGGCTGTCCAAACCACGGCTCAATCCTCCCGGATAGCACACGTAGCGGCTTGATCACCGTGTACACATGGTAGTTGTACGGGTATCTGTGGGCGGTCAGTAATGTCTTATAAATCAGACAAGGGACTGAGCACCGTCAAGAAAGACTTACGCAGAATCAGCATCCCGAGTCGCCAAATTACCCGGAGGTATCGCCCGCTCCCTATACTGTACACCCACGGGACTCAGAAACTTTCCGCCCTCATCCCCAAACCGATCCAACAACGAGCCTACTGGCAGGATCATGACATCAAGCGGTTCCCAAGTAAGCTTGAACCCGTTATGCGGCGGGTACTTCCACCGCCCATTCGTTGCGTTCGTCCATGCCTCCAAGAAGGCACCCGGACACAGCCCGCCAAAGGGATTGTAGTCGGACAGTATGGCGCCGACGACGCGGGCGACGGGTTCCTCGTCGTGTTTGGTGGGTAAGCGGGCAGGACCGAGACGGGAGTCACCGCAGGGATACTTAGAGACAAGCGAGGAGTTGTAGCGGGTGCCGAAGCAGTATTCTTCGCTGTCGGGGATACCGCAGTTGGTGGCGGAGATGGTGGCGGAGATGGCATGGAAGAGGGCCAGGAGAAGGAGGAGTGGGGAAAGGTCGGTGAGCTTCATTGTGGGTGGTGATTATTGGTTGTTCGATTGGTAAGTAACGAGGAATTAATTGCAGGTGTTTATTCGCTATGGTTGTGTCGGTAAGGCTCGATTACTCCAGAGCTGATGGAGAATACAAATGAGCAGAGAACAATTCGCCCCGGACAACGCCCTTTTATGACTCGGTCACGATCTTCTCATGCCCCCATGAAGCCTCACATCTCCCCCTCTCCCAGGATCACCTCATTTTCTGCAGCAAAAATATCGAGGGCCGTCATTCGATACCTCACTTCTGTTCATGTTCCGGCCCTGATCCTTTGGGTTGGGTTATAGTTGGGTTTTGCTCACCGAATGACATAAGTGACTTAGCTCATTGAATAACGGGACTACACTACACGTGGACATGTTGGATACAATCAGGCATGGATCTGAGGCTCAGTCGGACACCCCCTTTTATTGTGTTTGTTGCGAAATCTAGGGTTAGGGTCCCAAACGGCTGCCGAAAGCAGAACCCAACCATAGCCCAACCCAACAGATCAGGCCGATAACTGGCTCCCTAAGTCCTATCAAAATTCATGTTTTCTCTTTTGACGTTCTTGCAGCAGCTGAACAACACGGCTCCCGAGGAGGGATCGACAATCCGGACGAATTCGAACGAATGTGGGCGTACGGTGGCTGCCACTTGGGAACTACGTGTAGCCCCCTGCGTGGGGACAACACCAGAGGGTAGAGAAACACACTCAGTAATTTTCGAGTATTTTGGTGTTGAGCCTCATAGTTAGGCAGTGACGGAGGATCTGACATGCAGAAAGGTGTGATGTGTCGAGTCTTCGCTTGAGGGCATCGCTCAAGGTCATCGCTGAGGTGAATTGAATTTGGTTGAAGAGCCGCATGGAGCGAAGACCTTGGAGGCACTGGCGAGAAAGCGAGGCGGATTGTGCCAGTGACGTGGGCATTCACACTGTGTATTCCCATTCCATGTCTTACACTTGATCGCATGCGATCTGGCCAAAACGAGTGAGAAGAAACAGCAGCAGGGTAGATTAACCGCGAAAAACCGCGCAAGTCGCGTGTAAAATCTTCAAGGCCCCTCTATTCACACCGTTCGCAAGCACCTGACTCTCTTATGACTTGAAAATGGAGGGAAAGGCCAGCTCAATGTGAACTAAACTTGATCAGCTCACAACTACACACAGATTTCAACAATCACCAGCGACGGCCCTCCATTCTAGATGTAACATGACCCTCCAGTCGTCAACAATTTGAGTAAAGGAACGTGATTAACTCCTCAGGGAGAAAAAAAATGGAGAGTTTCCCAGCCTTCTCCAGGAACGAGCTACCTAACATTAAGTAAAGAGTTGCTCCACCCTTCCAGCACATATAACTAACTACCTAGGTGGATCATGAAAATCTGAAGGGGAAGGAAAAAGAGAAAAAGAAAGAAAAAAAAGAAAAAAAGGGGAGTTTACGACGGAACCCGTTCCACCCGGTAGTGGAGGTTCCGGTTTTGTGTTCGCCTTCCCGTAATGGAGGGGTTCACGCCGTCAGCCAGCAAGTTCATGACGCCTCCCTGCCCTTGCTATAAGACTCGAACACTCGACCACCGGAGAGGTTTCGGATTGAGCCCCAGCGCAGGCCAGCCCTCCCGAGGGCCGCCGCTGGTGACCGTTAGGCCATTGACCACCTTGGTGGTCCTAGTTGTAAACATGGCTGTTGGACCTTCTATATATACCCTCTCCCCATGTACCTTCCTTCCCATCTACCTGTCGGATGCAATTTGGCTGCCATCCGAGGACAGTGCTAAATATTGACCGAACCGAGCCGCTGTGCTGCAGCCCTCGAATGTTTGAAGACATTGGCTCCGGATTTTCTCGACTCCCGGCTTCGCCAGCACCCCACCAGGATGTTTTCTAGAGAACATTCGACGGATTACACTGTCGAGCGGAGCAACCCTCATGTGGTCCAGATGACAGGGAAGTTAGGAAACGGGAGACTTCAGAAGGCTTCCATTTGCGATGCGCTGAGTTGGGCCTTACGAAACTCGGAAACCCTTCGCTTTGAGGTTGCTTAAACCGTGGCGGTCATGGAGGATTTGGGGACTGCCACGGGTCGGTGGGTGCCCCAACCCGTTGCACGCGTTGCCATCCATGTCGGCTACATTGTTCGCTGCATCTCTCCAAGAGGGACAAGATGAGCCCGGTCGACAAGGGCGGTAATACATATAAGCGCGGTTCACCACGCCGTATCCCGTGCCTCCACTGCCTGCAAGCAGCCCTGTCCAGGAACGCTGGCTGTGTTTGTTACAGTGTTGCCGATTCCTCGGAGCAACGCTGCAGCTACTGCATACTCCACAACCGGCTTTACCGCCCCTCGCCGTGATCATAGGTTATACAAGAGATGCTCATCACATATGGCAGTCTTGTTGTCGTTATCAAGGTATACATCGTAAACTGTGATATGGCAAAAGACGGACCAGACAATCCTTTCATCAAAATTAAGACTCCCAGTTGACATTACCTGTCGAGATGTCAAAGTCGCGCGTCCCAAAATGATAACTTGTAACTCTTCCCAGGTCATTTTTCGGACTCGCAAGGGGTCAACAACCGACAGCTCAGCCCTACTCACGACAATCCTCCTTTCCACACCCCCTATCGAGGTACCCACCCAGCACCCAAAACCACACCGGCCCCAGCGATAGGGTACCTATCAAAGCTCCAAGCTAGCTGTAAGGTAGCTGTAAGGTATACATCGCCCGAAAGAGATCCCCCTTGAGACGAGCGGCGAGAGACGTTTGATCCATTCGCCGGTTCTGCCCTAAGAGTCTACACCGCTCATGTCAATATCGCTGTCCCCGGAGAGGGTGACTTCATCGGGATCTTTCCTCTGGGATGGACCCCCATCCCCGCCGCCGGCTCATGCGGGCTCAGGCACCGTACAACCAGGCCGGACCTCCGCTCCGGAACACATCGAAGATGACCCACCAACTCACCATCCTCCTCCTACCGGAGCAAGACGAGGGCAACAGCGTGTCGCCCAAGAAACATGAAGCAATGGCAGAGCCTTCCGGGACGCAGCCGTTGGACGCAGGCCAAAACGGCCGAGTTTAAGAGGTCTTGGTCTGCTGGGTGAACTCTTCGCCATGCCGCGCACGGCGAAGGGCGGACGACGTGTTCTATAACGCGGATCACGCCTCTAGCGCAACGAGTGGCGATACACTCCCCCCCCCCCCGGGCGCCGTGATCGATTTCCGCAGCTGCGCGAGAGTCTTGACTCCTGGCAAGGTTGGCCACCGGTACAAGTGTCTTGTTAAGGAGCTAGAAGGGACCCTGTCAAGGAGGAGCTGGCAGATGATGGGTCGAGAGGGCGGGTTATATAGAAGTGTCTCGAATGGCTTGGGAGGAGGGTATGGATTTGGGCATCCTGGTTGGCGGGTATTCGGTATTTTTGACCATGATATAGACATGTTGAGCTCGCGTGGTGCTGGCTGGGTTTCTGGGCTGTAAATTTAGGTGTTTTGAATCCGACATACGGAGCTGGGAGGGATTTATGCTTTTTGTTCAGCTTTTTCAAGTTTCGTGTTTTCTCTTGTGGAAGTTTCAGGTTTAATTAATTCAATGTTTGATGCTTTTAATATCACTGGTCCGAAGGAGTGAAGCAGTATCGTACACTAATACCTCATGGCCGTAATAAGAAATTGGTAGGGTAAACCTCGGCTTCAGCCTGATGGCAAGAACAACCGACAGGTTGAAAAAGCCTTAACACCCATAATATTTCCAAAATCAAAACCAACTTTTGCACTCTTCTCGCCCAGAGAAGTTCACCGGAAACCGACCGTTAAAGCTCCAGCACATGCGACGGAAACCCCGGCTCGCCCTGAAACGCAGCCATCTCGGGCATCTCCATGTTCGGATTCTGGAAATATTGATCAAGCAAGTTCTGTGTCTGTCAGCATCTATCCCCCACAATATCCCATCTTTCAAAAGAAACCCAAAACTCACCCAGTCCGGTATCATAGATCCATCAATAACGCTCGACATCATCTCCGCATACGGCAGCCCCTGTCCCGGGAACACCGGCTCAGCAGCAGCAGCAGCCGCCGCTGCCACGGCAGCCGCATACCGCTCTTCTCTCTGCCGTCGCTTCTCGGCCACCTTTTTGAGCATCAAGTCCAGCGTGAATGTCGCCGTTTTTGCTTCGGGCGAGGCCATGCTGCTGGCGCTCCAGACGCTGCGGGATGTTTGTAGGGCGCGGCAGATGCGGTCGTCTAGGTCTTCCTCATCCTGGTTTGTAGTATGGTAAATGTCTTTGTCTGCGATGTTCATCGCGGTGATACCATGTGACGCTGCAGCAACCGTCGCGCTGGTACTGCTCAGCCGTACGGACAAATCCAGGCACAACACCATGGCTGCCAGTAGGAAGTCATGCTGCATCAGCGACGCTAGCATCCACTTGTCTTCATACAGCCGACCGCCGGGTTGTGCTGCGGCGGCTAGATCGGCCTGCCGCGCGAGGATCCCCAGCGCGGCTTCGACGCAAGTTCGGCGGAAGTCGGTTTCGCACGGGACCGTGTCGGTGCCATTTCCATTTTGTGCCTTCCCCCCATTTGTGTACCGCTCTAGTTCCGGCTCTACAGGAACGGAAGACGATGAAGAAGAAGAATGCAAAGAATAGCTGACAAACCGGCGATTCAGAACCACCAAGCTCTTGAGATGCAACAGCTCGATATTCGTGCGCTCGACAATCCGCGCCGGCGTGTCCATCGTGCACCGCGCCACGTCCCGTCGCTGTAGCTGATCTGGGACCGCCGCATACGCCGCGCGCGCTTGCCGTGTCAGCTCCCTCGTCCGCTCGCGGTACTGGTACGACGAGCTCGGGTCCAAGTCTGGCCGTATCAGCGACTGGGTGTGCGCCGCGATCTTCTTAAACACCGCCATGACGCTGGCTTTGGCGACGGCGTACACAATCGGGGTATCGGCGTCTAGCGGCCGACCGGGCGGGAGGACGGGGGATGAGGAGTTGAAATCGGCATAGTCCAGATTCCGTGGCGGGCGTGTGTCGCAGCACTCGGTCGGGATCATGCTGGGGAAGCCCATCTGGAAGGACATGAGCGCGTCGACCTGGAAGATATTGGTCCACACGCGCCGACGCATCTCAATTTGATACGGCGAGAACGGCCGCCCGCGCCCAGGCCCCGCCGGGTCTTGAGGGCCTACTATCGCCGGGTCACGGTGGTATCCCATGCGGAACGCCAGACGGATGATGGTCCCCGCCTCGAACCAGATGTGGATGAGCGCTGTGGAGGCCGAGTTCCGGCCGGCGTGGAGGAAGCGGCTCTGTAGGTGCAGGACGAAGGCTTCGAGGGCGTGGGCGTGGGCGGTGGCGAAACGGCCGAGGATGAGGCATTCGACTGTGCGTCTCTCGAGCAGCTGGGACTCTGGGAGGGTGGCGGCGGTGGAGGGGTGGTTCGCTTCGTGTGCGCGGGAGAGGCGGAAGAGGTTGGTGGCGACGGTCAGGACGGCAAAGAGCAGGGCGATCCAGATGGGGTTGGTTTTGCTGGGGGCGGCCCAGAAGGCTTCGTACTGTGTAGGTGAGTCAATGAATGGTCGACTAACTTGGCAGATGGGAAAGGGATCTTACATCTTTCTGGAACTCAAACGGGTGGATAATAGCTGCATCGAGGTCAGCCTCGCACTCCAGCAGACATATCAACCGAATCAGTCACTAACCCAATATCCCAAACCGCGAGTTGAAATAGTGCGAAATCAGCTTATCACACACGCCCCGCGGCGGAACTGACGCCAAGATCTCATCCAAATCCGGCTTGACCTCCAGCCCCAACACCGAGGTCAACTCCGGGTTATCAGGCTCCGGGAGAAGACCCCCCATGCCTGTCAAGCCTGTCATACTCGCCATACCCCCCATGCCCTCGTCGCTGCCCTTGGACGAGCCCTCCTCCTCGTGATGCACCAACATGCCTTCGGGCGAGAGATGCTCGCGGACTTCGCGGATGTCTTCTAAAATTGACAGCCAGTGACTCGAGTCCAGGAAATGCACCTGCCCGTCTTGGCTCTGTCGAAGCCGCGGCGTCTCCGGCTCAACACCGTTTTGCCCGGGATCATGAACAGGTATCTGCAACGGCGTTGGTGCCGCAGTACTCCCACTAGTCTTGACACTAACCGCCGGCTTACTCTCCTGAGCCCCGTCCGTTGCTACTGCTAGTGGTGCTGGTGGTTGCACTGGCCCCGGCCCTTGCTGCACAACAAGACCCTGCGAAGCCAGCGACGATACAAGCGCCTCGAGGTCTTTCAACCGATCGGCGATGTTGCTGGCGCTGCTGCTTTTCTTGCTGTTGCTGCTGCTGTCTGTCCGTCGGACGTTGGCGGCGTAGTGGCAGGCGGAGGGCTGGTTGCGCTTGGTGCAGCTGTCGCAGGGCGTGGCGCGGTTGCATTTTGATCTGGTTGTGTAAGTGAACTTTACGGGGTATAATTACTGGGTAAGGTAAAGGGTTGTTAAGAGGAGATAACTCACTTGCGGGCCCGGCACGGCTCGCAGGACAGCGGAGGCCGATTGCGCTTTTCGATTCGTCGGGTGGTGTCCATGATAGAGCGGGAATAAAAGAATAGATGCAAGAAAAGATGAACAACGCAACGGAGGTAGGAGCTAACAACTTCGCCGGAGTTGAGTGCGTCGGTACGGAGGTATAAGGGAGAAGTCATACCCCTGTCTCATCGCAATGGGCGGAGCGGAGATATTATCCCCGCTCCGCTGCGGCCCCACCCTCCGGCCAATGCCCGGGCTGCTTAGCCCCGGCGCCCAGACTTCCGGGCTCTAGGGCTGACGCCGAGCGGAGCTAATCTCCTATGTTGTTTCGTAGCCTGGTAGGTAGGGACTGAGACTGTAAGAGGCTGAGATGCGCAGTCATTTTGGAGATAATAAATCCGGAGGCGATTGGGTTTACCTGGAAAAGTATAGGGAAGATGAAGAACGTATAAAACAACGTTGCGGAGCATGTTGTCTTGGTTTTATGCTCGATATCAGAAGTTAGCGACAAGATACCCCTTACGATACTCAGCCACCATCATCAATACCATAATCTTTTGTATTAACACATCAATCTCATAACTCACCACTTAACTCACCACTTAACTCACCACTTAACTCACCACTTAACTCACCATAACACCAACGCCGTCAATACCATCAACACCACCAACACCAACACCCACACCATCAATCCTCACCAATCCCCTCCAAATCCACCCACCATGCCCGCCCTCTCAACCCTACACGGCGCCACCTCCACAATCCTCTCCAACCTCTTCATCAACCTCCCCCTCCCACAACCAACCCCGCACCTCCCCCACCAAACCATGATCGTCACCGGCGCCAACACCGGTCTGGGCCTCGAAACCAGCCGCCACCTCCTGCACAACGGCCTGGGCAAACTCATCATGGCGGTGCGCAACCTTGAGAAGGGACATGCGGCGCGGCAGGAATTGGTTCTTGAGGGTGTGAGGAGGGGGGGAGATAGGGAGAGGGAAGAGGGGAGGATTGAGGTGTGGCACCTTGACATGGACAGCGCGAAATCGGTTCAGGCTTTTGCGGCGCGGTGTGGGGGATTGGGGAGGGTGGATGGGGTGTTGGCTAACGCGGGGATTATGACGGGGACGTTTCGGTATAGTCCCTCCGACAACCCCCTTCCCAGCACCTTTCCCAGCACTACCACCACTGGGTACGGGTACGGGGGAGAGAAACGGACGCAAGCGTTTGAGCAGACGCTGACGGTGAATGTGCTGCACACGATGCTGTTGGCGGTGTTGTTGCTGCCGGTGTTGCGGGCGTCGTATGCGAGGACGGGATATGCGCCGAGGTTTGTGGTGCCGAATAGTGCGTTGCATTATTTGGCGCCGTTGGGGGAGTTGGAGGGCGTTGTTGGGGTGGGTAGCAGCGGCAAGGACAACACCAACAGCAACGGCAACGGCAATGTCGATGGGCGCAGTGGTATCAGGAGAAGCAGCGGTGGTAGGGGGAGCAGCAGAGGCGGAAGTGGAAGTGGAAGTGGAAGCGAAAGTGACACCCCCATCCTCACCCGCCTCAACAACCCCGACCTATCCCTCATGTCCGGCCGCTACCCCCTCAGCAAACTCCTCGTCCTGTATGCGGTACGCGAACTCGCCTCGCGCACTTCACAGACAGACCTCCCCGTGATAATCAACACCCCCAACCCAAGTTACTGCGTCTCTGGGCTCGCTCGGGAGCGGGCCGGAAACGCAGCAGAACGGACAGCAGAAAAGTGGATTGCGCGGTCGACTGAGGAAGGGAGTAGGACGTTGTATCATGGGTTGGTTGTTGCTGGGGGGGAGAGCCATGGGGGATATTTGACGAATTGTCATGTTCAGGAGTACGTATTTTCTTTTCTTTCTTCGTTTCTTTCCCCCCTGTCCACTCACCCTCTTCTGGGCCCACCTTACATCGATATTTTGATCGTCTTTGGCGAGTGATATTCCCGGATCATGTTGCGTTGATATCATCATCATTGGTGGTATCGCGCTGCAATCTGTCTCGGGAGGTTGGTTGTCCGTCAGAGTTGATGGATGGGGTTGTCTGTCAGAGTTGTCCGTCCCAGTTGATGCGGTTAATTGTTTTCCAGAAGCTAACTGATAAACAGACCCGCCTGCCATGTAACAAATCAGTGGGGGCAAAAGGTCCAAAAGCAGTTTTTCGAGGAGCTGCTGGCGACGCTGGAGAAGATCCAGCCGGGGATTTCGGCGAATATTTGAGATGTTAATGGCAATGTTGATATCTAAACGTCAGTACGCGATAGGAACTGGTGAATCGGGCCTCGGCGCATAAAGAGGGTTTTTTTTTTTTTTTTTTTTTTGATGTTTGAGGGTTTCTTGTTTTTGGGGTTTCTTATGGTTGATGGTTTCCTACGTTCGAGGTCTTATATTTGGGGGTTTCTTTTCGACGTTGGTTTGTTTCCGTTCTATGGTTTGGTTAGCATAGGCATAGATTGTAGAATAGGATCTTGATACTCAGACCGCTTCCATCGCTTCCAGCACTCACCCACCCATGCAAGGAGTGCAGCACTCAACTCGACCACCGTCCACCGAAAAGAAACAAACTCACCAACCAAGCTCAGCACAACACAGCCGTCCCATCATTTCACTCCGACACCACGAGTCCATAATAATCTCAGTTCTCCTCAGAGTACGGTACCTGACTACAAAACTCAACCTAACCCCACAACACAGATAAGAGCACACATGCCCCAATATTCCGCCCCCTTTTCCGACGCCAAGACAATACATAAAGTAACAACAAACCGGTAACAAATAGCCGAAGCCCAACTTGACCTCATCAACCGGTCAACAATCCCCATCGACTCAATCAGCTCAACCCCCAATCAACTCAACAGTCCCCGATCATCTCAACAATCCCCGATCATCTCAACCAACCATCAGGTCAATCACCCCAAAACAGCCATACCTAACCAAACTCCATAACAAACAAGAACCCGTCCCGTCCTCATCACAAAAGCCCACCTTACTCAACTAAACCACTGACAATTTCTCCCTACTCCCTCATCCCATTGAACCCCCCTAAACACCCCACCCCACCCTCATCTCTGGCCTGGCTGTCGACTCCCTGCGGCGCCGATTCTTCCTCAGCACCTGCGAGGCCCGCGACGGCAACGCTGCAACCGGCTTAGGCGATTTATTCGCAATCCGGCGCGACTTGCGCGGGGTAAACACCTCGACCGGCGCAGACTCCTCAGCAGCGGCGAGATCTGAGGTGACGACCACCGACGGGTAAGCCACAGGAGTGATGTCCGAGACGACGTCGGGAAACAAGGGTTGGTTGGAGCCTTGGGGCGGGTCAACAGGGATGATGTCCGTGTACGACGGCGCGAACGGGTCGTAGGGACGGACGGTGGAATAGTCAAGTTTATACAGCGCCTCGGGCATTGTTTCGAGGTAGGGAACGAGTCTGCCCCTGGCGTCTTTCTAGAACGGCCGGGCGTCGTTGGCGTGCAGGAGCTTGGTCCAGCGGGGCAGCACGCGGTAGCGCTCGTATATGTAGGCGCAGTTGCTGCAGAGGGTCTGGAGGTACGTCAGCATCTCGGCCATGAGCATGTGAGCATCTTGTAAACCAAGATCAGGGAGTAACGGAAAAGAGAAGAAACATACCTTCGGCCCCATAGGCCCAGGTCGCACCGCCCACGCACTCGTCCCCCACACCCTGCAATGAAAGCACCGCCAGTTCGGTCGCTCCTGGTCCGTCAGCGTGTCACCACCACCATACCCCTCCGCACTAGCACCACCAGCAGCCGGTGTGCCGCGGCCTCCTGGTGTGCCCGATCGTCCACCGGGCGGCGGCGACAAACTGCGGAACCGCTTCTTCTTCTTACTGCGCTCGCCACGGCCCATGCGCTCCTCTTCCTGCTCGATGAGACCGGAAAATGCGAACCCAAGAGGCACGCCTCCGGCCATTCCCGTATTACTGCTGAAGCGGGCCGTCTCGCGGCGCAGACGCCGGATCTGCCGCTCGCGGTCACCCTCGCGCTTCTCGATCTCCTCTTTGCTAAGCGTCTCCAGCTTCGGCTCCCAGTCATCCGCCAAGTGCTCGGGGTCGTATCGCCACCCGGCACCTTCGCCCCCGGCCGTCACGGCCGCATCGTTGGGGAACTCATTCGTGGACACACCCGCCGGGAGGATACCGCCGGCAGCAGCAGCAGCTGCCGCGGCCGCAGATGCACCCCAGCCAGCGACCAAGCCGCCCGACTCGCAAGCTTCCTTCTTGAGCTTGAGAACGGCTTCGTAGATGGCATGTGTCATGGCCGGGATCCATTCGCCGTGTAGACCGAGATCCGCGCATGTCTGCTTGGCAAAGACCTCTGCAGTCCCCGGCGGGTGGAGAAGCGACCACTCGAACTTGTCCGTGTACACTTGTGATGACAGGTTAATGTTCAGGTTGATGATGCAACGGTACGTGTCGTCTGGGCTCGCGTCGTCGTCCGCGGCATTGTCTTCTGGTGGGATGGGAGTCGCCGCAGCGGAGATGTCGCCTTGCGATGTCTGGACAACGCCTGATGCAGCGGTAAGCTTGACGGTGCCCCCAGGAACTAGCGGCGTGTCGGCACGGCTGAGAACGACATTGGGGCCAGGCGTCGCGGAATCGAGGCGGCTAGCCGCCTTGGAGGGCTCTGGCGCGCTCGACCGTGTAGCGTGAGAATGGAAAAGAGGATGCAGAGCAACACCCGCGTATTCTTCGAGCTGGGTCCGTATTTGCTTGCTAATCTCGGCGATGGCCATCGCCCGGTTCGGCAAATCGAGGTCCTGCACAAGTTGCGTCGCGAACATATCGGTCGTAATCAGGGTTTCGTGGAGATTCCAGAGGAAGGCATCGCGCAAACGGTATGGTACTGTCGTCTCTTGCGGCTTGTAGTACGGATGGCTGGGGTCGACGGGCCCGGGTGCGACAAGGGCAGGCTGTGGGGTGAAGGCGGGGATCTCGAGATCGATTCGGATGGGAATCAGTGTGAGAGGGAGACAGGCCTGCGCATAGTTTTGGGCATCGGACCGGCTCACACGGGACTTAGCCATCCAATCCCGGTACACGCCCTGCATGTCGACGGGCTCGGAGGTCTCCTTGCCGACCTTCTCGCTGGGATCGATCTTGGCGGCGCTGTCGTCGCGGCGCAGGCTGCGCAACCCAGTCGGGCGCCGCCTGCTATCGTCATCGTCATCATCGTCGTAGTCGTAGCCGTCCTCGGCGTAGTTGATGATTGTGGTTCCCCGCTTGGTGGTGCGGGCTAGCGGGTTGGCGGGCGCTGCGCCCGGGAGAACTGGCTGGAGGAGGGCATTGTTGTAGGTGCGCAAACGGGGCGCGTAGGACGAAAAGACCGCCTGCTGTGAATCGGAGCGGACGGCCATTGTGGAAGTGGAATTGCCGGGTGCGCCGTCGCGCTAGCACATGTCCGTCGGCCTTGCGCGCCGGGTGAAGTGTGATTAGAGGCAACAGAATAACAAACACCAGGCGCAATTGAGATGGCAACTGTCCCAGGGCCGTCAAAATTGATGAATTGACACAAAGTTGGTCCGTTTGGACGTCGGTGCGGGGTGGAAGATTTGGAGTGGAAAGGGTGTGTCGAGGGAAGTTGCAAACGTTTGATGGGTTTGTGCCGTTGCTGCACCTGCCGTCGCCAGAACAAAACGCGACGCATAGATCAGTCAGAAAGGGTTAGCGCGTAACGGGGATTAAACGAGGTGCACGGGCCATCCAAACGACAGGATGGTGCACGGGCCACCTGAACGACATGGAGGGGCATATTGGTTATATAATCAGCCCAACGACATTCGAACTGTTCGCCTTGTTTTGAGGTCAATTGAGTAGACGACTGTGCTAATGTTCCCATTCCTGTGGATTCAGATTTCACAGAGGTTCTAAATCAGATATTCGGTGATTCCCTGGCCCCAGTATATGCGCCGGTAATCTTTTCTTGTAGGAGTGTCATGCACATTGAGAGCTAGCCCCTTGTTTTGCGATTCAAATTAGAGGCGAGACAGAATCAATTCCTAGCTAACTTTCCCGTGCTTAGGCCTAATGGTTCATTGCAACGAGGAATTGATTCTATTATCGCCTCCAATTTGATCCTGTTTCGTCTCCTTGGTGAACCTCAGGGTCTCCCCAATTGTTAACCCCTGAAGTTCAGTTCCTAGTTAACCTTTCCTGACAGTTCATGCACTTGGAACAGATTGATTTTCTCGTCTCAAGACTGGAGATTGTGCAGATAGTAATCCATCCCCTTCATCATAAAGATTCTCATCGTGTGTTTGGCTTTGTTCTGTCACCTGATGTGTAGTGGTGCTAGATCATGTTGGTCAGCCGGCGGGCTACGACAAAGTGTCGACACATTGTTCCCGAGGATCCTTTATTCCTACCCAGCCCGGCACACCGGGCTTCACCATGCGGCTAGAGCGAAATGGCCGGAACTGTTGGCTATAAATAGTGGTGGTTCCGAAATCCTGAACTGAAACGAACAACACCATCACGAGAACCGGACCATCTCAAGACCACAACTGATGCTGTTGTCAGGCACGACCTTCTTTTTAGATCAGAAACACCAAAGGGTGTGCACCATTCACTCGAAATCTCGCAGCTGCCTAATATTTTTGAAGCAAGATTGAATTTAGGCGTGGGTTGATTCAAGCGTGGGGTGGGTCCAGCCTTGAACGCGCATTGCACGCCTCACTCTTCTCAGGTAAGTCGCGGTTGAACAGGGCTATTGTTCTCTTCAGAATCCTCCCTATTCTGGTGCTGAAGGGGGCCATTCCACTCCCAAAGGGGCCTTGAAAACACACGGGGCTCCTCTCAACACCGAGGTATAAATTCTTTCACACCCTTCCAGCTTCTTCTTCTTTTGTTTCTAACCTTCACCTCACCTGTGCTTTTCTGCCTTTTTCTCTACACAGAGGTGGCCAGTCTTCACTTCTTTTGTCGCTAAACATCACATCAGTTGCGCGCTTCAGCCTCTTGCTTTCCCCAGAGCTTTGAGATCTTCGCTTCGGTTGTTTCTGACCTTCACATCACTTGCACTTTTCAAGCTTTGTCTTTCCCCAGAGGTTTGGAATCTTCCCTGCTTCTGTTTCTAAACTTCACATCACGTGGACCGTTCCGTCTTTTTCTTTCTCAGAGGTTTGCAATCTTCCTTTCTTTTGCTTCTAAACTTCACATCACGTGGACTTTTCCACCTTTTTCTTCCCTAGAGGTTTGCATCCTTCACTTCTTTCCTTTCTAAACCTCATATTACGTGGACCGTTTTGCCTTTTTCTTTCCCAGAGGTTCACAACCTGTCCTTCGTTTCTTTTTAAATCTCACATCACGTGCACCTTTCCGCCTTTTTCCTTCCAAAGATCTTTCCATCTTCACTCCTTTCATTTTGCACTTCACGACTCACACACAGCCAACAGGTTATCACTCACGGTGGACTTTAGCTACATCATCGGCACTTACAAAGTGACACACAGTCCAGTTCGTCCAAGATGGCATCCGTCGGAGCAATCCACGGAGCCAACATGTACGCCTGGCTTTCCGAGGCCATCGCAGAGTCCAACAGTTCCCGCCAATCGGGCGTGACTCAGGCCATTGAGCTGACTCCTGCCTCGGAGCGCAATGCCGAGATGTCAACTAACAAAGAGACTTTGGTCAATACTGGCATTCAAGCCTCTGTTGAGAATCCGGCCCTGATCAAGAACGAGGCTGGCGCTGAGACCGTGAAGGCAGTTATCGCTCCGATCACATCTGGCACTGAGATCAAGATGGCTATTGAGACCACTTCCCATACTTCGACCGAAGTCAACAATCAGTCCAATGTCAGCACTGAGGTCAATTTCACTCCTGAAGCCAACATTGCTACTCTCACTACTGTCAATCAGGCCACAGGTAGTTACCACAATCTTACTTCTCACTCCAATCATAGCTAACCCATATTACAGTCGAGACTCAATCCTCCATTGCTACCAAGATCACAACTGTCGCTCCTGACACTTTGACTTCTTCCAAGGCTCAGCCCAAGACCGTCACTGAGACAGTCACTGAGACAGTCACTGAGACCACCGTCGGCACTGACATTACAGCTGCTGCTCCGAAGACCGTCACTCCGTCTGAAGCTACTTTGGCTGAAGGTACTTCGACTGAAGTTATCAATTCGACCGAAGTTGTCAATCCAACCAACAATACCACCTCATCCAAAGCCACCATCTCCTCTCTCACCGATATGGCTACCACCCCCGCCATAACCTACACCCGCCACCTCGCCTCAATCCGGCGCATCACCTCCGTAACCTACCTCCCCCCCTCCTCCTCCTCCTCCTCCAACGACAACACCAACAGCGCCATAGCCCGCGTCGACGGCTGGACAGTCCGCACCTCCCAATCTGCCTCCATCACGACCCACAGCCTGGGTCTCCTCCTCGAAGTCGACTCCTTCCTCCCCTGCCGCATCTTCGACTCCTCGTTTTCCGTGGTCGGCCCCCTGACGGAATTCGAAGGGGAGCTTGGGTATCGCGTGGCGACGTATAAGATGAGGGTTTTTGGGAAAGACAGGGTTATACAAGGGTACTTGTTTGCGTTGGAGGATTTTCCGGGGGTCAAGGAGAGGTTGGAGGAGTTTGTGGAGAGGAATGAGGAGATGGGGGAGGAGGAGGTGTTGAGGGAGGTTGGGGGGTGGGAGTTGGATGGGGAGTTGGGGGTTCGGAAGTGGGTTAATTATGATGAGGATGGGGATGAGGAGGACAATGGCAGGGAGGTGTTGGTGGAGAGTGAGGATGAGGAGGAGAATAAGCTTGTGCAGGAGATTATGGAGAAGGAGGACAAGGGCCCGAGGGAACCGTCGCCGTTGGAAGTGATCAAGGAGTTGATGCGAAAGATTCGGCAGCAGGGTCTCGACCAAGGTGAGGGTGTGGCGAACAAGGGCAAGGATGTCGTCGTCAAAGACACGACGGCCGACGAGGTGGTGAACCCGGATTCACCCAAGGTCACCAAGACCAAAGCCGTGACCGTGACCCCCATCACGCACAAGACCGCCGTCCTCGCCGCGTCGGCCGCGTCAGCCTCCATGCCCGCGGCATCGGTATCCTTCCCCGCGTCCGCACCCACCCCGTCGCCCGCGCAAGTGTCATCCGGTCCCGTGGCGACAAAACACGCCGACCCGCCAGCCTTCATCCCGCGCACCGACATGTCGCGGATGCAAAACTGCCCGCACCTGTTCGTCTCCGAGAAGTACCGGGATTACATCTTCCAGGAGACGCAGAAACTCGATGGCGCGACCATCTCCATCTACTTTGTCAAGCACACCACCCCCGGCGTCGCCGGCACCGACAATCTCCCGTTGCTGCCGTCCCCGACCAGCACCGACCCAGCCGACGCCCTCGTCCACCACGCCGTGCACCCCAACGGCCGTCTTGGTGTGTGCAGTCAGCGCCGGGACATCCTCCCGCACTTGCTAATGCCCTCGTCTGCTCGCGTGCAGAGGGTCTACTGGACGACGGTTATCAACTCCGGGCTGACCAAGATCCTCCCGCTTCTCAACAAAAATATCGTCATCCAAGCGGAGCTGGTGGGTTCCTCAATCCAGGGCAACCCACACAACTACCCCGAAGGTCAACACGAACTCTTCGTCTTTTCCATGGCCGAGTTCACGCACAATAATCCGAAGCGCAATAACGCAGAGCCGCCGAGACGGATTCATCCGAGGCAGGTGGAGAGGTTTGCGGCCGAGTTTGGGGTCAAGCACGTGCCGGTGGTCGGGTATCATACGTTGTGGTCGATTGCGAAGGATAGGGAGGGATTGATGAGGCGGGCGGAGGAACGGGAGGGGGAAGAGGGATTGGTGTTTAAGAATGTTACGACGGGACTGTGGTTTAAGGTTTTGTCCCGGGAGTATATCATTAGGTTTGGGGATGAGATGCGGGCGAGGGCGGCTGCGCAGAATGGGGGGAGGAAGAAGAAGGGGAAGGGGAAGGATGTCGAGGGGACGTGGTTGGAGGGGATTAAGGGGGAGTATTTGGTGAAGCCTGAGGCTGTGGCTAAGGTTGTTGAGAAACCTGCGTTGAAGCCCGAGACCAAAAAGGTTTGTCTCGAGGACACCATTGCTCAGCACCATGCCAAGGCTATGGCAAAGCTTGTTGTTGAGGAGAACACCAAGATCGAGATGGAGACCAAGGAGGTTGAGCAGACCGCCAAAGACACCGTCGAGCAGGTCACCGAGACCATCACCAAGACCATTGCTGAGACCATCACGGGTACAACCACCGAAGCCTCCAACGGCTCAGAGACTCCCAAGAGCACCGAATCCTCCGAGACCACTAACTCCGTCGAGGTTACCAAGACTCTCGAACGTATTACGGAGACAGCCGAGACTAGCATCGCGGCCGAAACCATGGCTCGCAAACTCACCACTGACCTCGTCCAGGAAGAGAACAAGAACAAGACTCCCAACACCGAGGTCACCGTCTCTATCCAGAAGCAGTCCACCGCCATCGACAGTGTCCAACCTAAAAACAAGACTCCCAACAACACCGAGGAGACCAATCCCATCACTGCCGAGAACCACACCAACACCTCCGCAGAGAACCCCCTCGTTCCGCCCCCCCGCCGCCCAACCACAGCCGCGGCCGCCTTCGCCTACCGGATCGCCGCCAGCCCTCTCCTCTTCGCCGAGCTAGCCTCCGCGCTCAGCGCTCTGTCCATCTCGCTAGTCGACCATCGCCAGCCTACCCAGGTCTCAACTCAGGCCGAGCAGGCGGAGCAAGCCCAAACCATAACCCTCACCAACCCCGACGGCACAACCACAAGCTACATCCACCGCCCTGTCCTCCCCACCCCCGAGGAGATCGCCGGGGTCCGATACATCGGCGCGAATCTGCACGAGTGCATGGCCCGCGACCGATGGCTTCGGGAGCGGATGCTGGAGTGGGCGAGGGGGGCGCCGGAGTGGGCAAAAAAGTATTGTCCTTTTATTGTGTTTCTTGATGATGGGAGGGTTGGGTTTGATCCGGGTCGGTTTGCTGGGGTGGTGGATACTTATCAGAGGGGGAATGAGGGGGATGAGGGGGACCGTGAGAACGGGGACAGTGAGAACGGGGACAGTGAGAATGAGGAGGAAGAGGATACCAACTCAGTTCAGGAGGTGGTCATGATGGACGAGGAGCCGATGGAGGAGGTTTCAATGGACATGGATAATGACGGTTCTGAAGAGGAGGACACCTCCGAGGCGGAAGACGCGCCGACTCCCTCGCCCACTGCTGCCTCCCCGCGTTGGGCCAACCAGGCTTTGATCGACTGGCTTGGTGTTGAGGGTTTTGGTCTTTGAGTCTTCTTCTGGGTGCAGCCTTTAAGTCTTCTTCTACATACGGCCTTCAAGTCCCTTCTGGATGGGGTATTTAGACCTGGATTCCGCTGCAGCATTTGTTTCTGAGATTCTGGCTGCAGCTTTGGAACTGGGTAAAGAGGCTTACGGAGGGCTTTGGGATTTGAGACCCTTTCTGGCTGTGGCGTTTGGGAATGGAGAGGCATTTTCAGGAGCGCGTTAACATCTGGAGACTGACATCTGGAGACCGGATTGGGTTGGTCATGCGCTCCTTCATTGTATGGCGTTTTGTTTGGGGCTTTTTACTTTTCTTTCTTTTCTTTGCTTGTACCTTTTGCTCTTACGGGAGCTTTTCTGTTCTACGGGAGCTTTTCGCTCATACGGGAGGCGCTTTTGCTCTCGGGAGCCTTGCTCTCCTGCGGGAAATCCGCAGCAATATCTGCGTCACCCAAGGACAGACACTTGCTCAGGCACTCCGATTCTCACGCTGGTGGATACAAAGGATTGGGGGGTCCATAGTTTCCGTCAGCCATAGTTGAGAACAATACCAGAGCCTGACTTGCTATTTATTAATCTCGGTGACTCGTTAGTTCGGGTGATTCTGAAACCGAAGTATCAATATGCTTGTGGGTCTCGACGTCGAGCGAGACTTTTGTGATCCGGTGTCTCAGGCAGCGCTCTACTGATATGAATCAAAAAATGCGGTCATAAATGGTGTCGTCAGTCCTGCTGTGACTTGCAGGATATCCCAAGACTCAATGATCCCAAGAGTAATAATTCCTCTTGTCAACTGCAGTTACCTTGCCTCAAGCTGCCAGGTCGCATACTCTAGAAACAAACGGGTGATTGTTCGTACCCTTTCTCGTAATTTTAAGCGCACTAACTAAATCCCAAGATCTTGTGCCATAATGGCTTCGTTGTACACTATGGGCGAGGTTTCTACCGTTCATACATACATCAGCTAGACACCCTTTCCTCTGCTATCCCTGTCGTTAAGAGCGTGGGGGGGGGGGGGGAAAAGCAGAGATTAGGAGGGCCGCGCGAAACGGGGAAGTGAAACGAGAGAGTCCTAAGTCGAGGAAAAGGGGGTAAGCTAATAGTTTACCAACTTTAGAGGACGAGTGTAGCAAATCGTACAGTAAATATACCATAATATTGGTTCACGGTCAAATCATCGTTGTATTCTCATTACCCACGCCAACAAGTCCTTCGTTATATCACATCGTAGATTCGTCAAGTCATAAGAAACCACCCTTCTCTCATCAGCCCCTTACTCCTAGCGTCACCCCCATCTCCTCACATCATTAACTCACTCACTAACTCACTACTCACTCCAAAGCAAAACCCTCCACCTCCACCCCCTCAAAACCTTCAAATCCTCCTCCGTCACCTCCTCCCGCCCAGCCTCCACCTTCGCCACCAACCTCCTCAACCGCTTCGACACATTCCGCGCCACTTGCAACGACACCTCATTCTGAAAGACATACAGCACAGCAAACACAAAGAAGGCGATGGTGCCCAGCCCGGGGCGGTTGGTCGACGCCAGGATGCGGGAGACGAGGCCGCGGGACTTTTTGAAGGCGTACTCGGTGCGGTTGGAGGCGTGGTCGGTGTCGAGGGTGTTGTTGTGGTCGTTGTCGTCGTCGTGGCTGCGGCTGTGGTGCCGGGGTCGGCGGAAGAGGCGTTTGACTAGGGGGATGAAGGAGGCGCTGGTTATGTTAGTTAGTGTGTGAGAGGAGGCATAGAAAGGGGAAAAAGAAAGAAAAAAGGGAAAGAAAAAAAGAAACGTACATCCCCAACCCAGCAACCCACCGCCTCCATCTCTCCCCCTCAGCCCGTCCCACGACCCGTCCCACCCTCTCCTCCAACCCCCTCAACCCAATCAACACCAACCCCGTCTGTAGCCTCACACGGTTCTCTACCTCGCCCGCAGCAATCGCCTGTTCCTGCCTGCCGGGCCCAACACCACCAATACCCAGCCCGTTGACGCCGTACGAACCGGCAGTTTGCGAAGGCCCCGTGGGCGCGACGCCGTTGACGAGGAACATGCCCTGCTGGCGGCGCACGGCGAGCAGTTCGCGCAGGGCGGACTCGGTGTCTTGGCGGCCTTCGCGGAGAGAGGGCGGGTTGGGGTTGTAGCTGTTGTTGTAGCTGGTTGTGGCGGTTGTGGGGCCACGGGCGGGTGGGTGAGCTACGGCTGTTGGTCGTGGTGGTTGAGGTGGTGGTGCCGCGCTGGTGGGCGGCGGGGGGTAGGTGTTGGCCTTGGGGTAAGAGTTGGGAGGAGGAGCGCCCCCGTTGCGGTCGAACTTGGGGTCTGGGCCGGACATGGGCCGGGGTGAGGCATGTGTGAGAGGCGGTGGGTTGTTGCTGTTGTTGTTGTTGGTGGTGGTGTAAGAGGCGTTGGTGCTGGAGGTTTGGACGGGGACCTGGACTGGTGCTGCTGATGTAGCAGGAACGTAGGGGGCATCCGCGCGGGGAGGTTCCGAGACGGGGTAGGCCCGGGGAGGACTATGAGGGCGCTCGACGTCATCGGGACGAGGCCGGTATGGAAGGCTGGCGGTGCTCACACGGGGGTCGGAATTGAACGACGATGGCCGCCGGGGGTTGGAAGCGGGAGGTGATTCGTAACGGCCGGTGCTGGGGCGCGGGCGGGATTGCGTCGGGGAGTCCATGACGGTGGTATAGTCTGAAGGACAATGGTGGAGGTGAGGGTGCTAGACGATGGCGGAGATGAAAGTGATGGACACGGTGGCTGGGATTGACGAAAGCGGGGAGTTCAATTGAAATGAACCATCAATTGCAGCAAGGAAAGCAATGAAAACAATGGAATTGAACAACAGGCTGGGAAAGCTCAAATGGAACGCAGCTCATAAACTCATGCAGCGGTCAAGATCGCCGTCTTGTCCCGGCTTTGCAAACGTCATGTCGGGTTGCATTGGGAAGATGAAGACGAAAGAGAGCTGAGACTGGAAAGCCAGTGTGAACACCGTGTCTTACAGTGCGAGTATGGCATGTGGCAGCCAATTTGTGGGGCGGGAGCCAGGTTCCCCGCTGCAAAGCTTGCCCATGAGCCCATGTGCTATCGTTCTTTCCTTTAACTGCTCAGGTTCATCCTTTGCAAGTTTGAAGAGGTGAGCGAGGAAAAGGGGACAAATGCGTGTGCCGTTGAACCTGGAGCTGCTGGCCCCTTACAAACGTGCCCCCTACTTTGTCAGCCAGCGGGTCGCGGAATGCACAGTTGAGCAATCCGCAGCAGCTCTCGCCAAGACGAGCCCACTTGCTTGACTATGTGGCCAATCACAGGGCGTCCACCGGCCCCATTTGTCAGCTTGAAGAGTCACTCCTCACGGTAGCCTGGTGAGGAGTGACAATATTTCTTGTAGCGCCAATCACACCAGTTTGCCTTGTCCGTCATGACACAGCCTCTCTTGAGGCTTGAGGCATCCATTCTTGAGCTCGCTCTGGTTACTCTTCTGGATTTTTAGGTATAAGAATGCTGAATGCCCCGGTGTCTCTTGGGATTTGCTCTCCATCTTCACACTCCAGACTCTAGGATCTACCAGCCCTTCAATTGACAGATTTCTGACCTGTTTGATCGTCTGTGATCCTGAGTGACCATGGAGAGCCCTCACACCCAAGACTTTCATGTCCGGGACCTGCCCACCCGGTCTGTGACGCTGTTCCCCTCGCAGGCCCAGATTGTCCGTGAGATCAAAAATGTCACGCTCAAGGTATGTTACGAATTCCACCGAGATATTCTTATAAAACCATACTAATTAACTATCTAGCCCGGCCCCAATGAAATCACGGTTGTTGGCGTGACCCCCACAGCCGACGAGCACTCCATCAAGGTCGAGGGCACCGGCACGGCCACCATCACCGACATCACCGTCAAACTGCTCCCCAACCGGGACATCTTCCAGGAGATCTACCCCGACTCGGACTCCGAATCAGAGTCTGAAGCGACGTCCGAGGAGGACGACGATGACGACAAGGTCAACGATGCACTCGAGGAAGTCAGCGATAAGATAGTCGCGCTGAGGGACGAGCAGAAGCGCGCTCGCGAGGTGATCTCGAGCTCAGAGAGCCGGCTCAAGATCCTCGACTCGTACAACCACTCGCTGGAGCGCAAGTGCGGCGTCAACATTGAGGCCAGCATCGAGACGTACCGCGTGGAGCGCGAGAAGGTGTTCCAGGACCACATGGACGGCGCGGCCCGCGAGCGTGACCTGGCTAAGGAGATTCTGAAGCTCACCAAGGAAAAGACCCGCCTGGAAAAGCTCCAGGCCAAAGAGAAAGCCAAGGCGGACCGGGAGAAGGCCAAGGTCAAGCGAGCCAAGGAGAAGCTGCGGGAGAAGCAGGAGCGTCGCGAGCGGGAGGCGTTGCGGGAGAAGGTCCGCGTGCGCCAGGAACGCGAGCAGTTCTGGCCCCGGTCGTGCTACACCATCAAGATCAGTCTCGATGCGGGCGCCAACTTCACCCCCGGCTCATCCCGGCGGAGTTCGATTTCTAGCCTGGCAGACGTCAAGCTGGTGACGGAGAAGGACAAGGAGACCGACGCCGCGGACGACACGGCCACCTCGATAACCTGCGACCTGACGCTGTCGTACGTCACGTCTTCAGCCTTTTGGGCGCCGAGCTACGACCTGGCGTTGTCGTCGACCAGCAACACGGGCACGCTCAGCTTCGACGCGCAGCTGACCAACATGACGTCCGAGACGTGGGCTAACAGCAAGGTCACCCTCAGCACGTCGCAGGCCAGCTTCTCGGGGCTACACGACGACACGCCCAAGCTGGTCCCCTGGCGCCTCAAGATCGTTGGCAAGCTCAACCAGTGGGAGCAGGCCGACATTGTGCATAGCCACGAGGAGCAACACCACAAGCAGTTGTGGAGCACGCAGCAGAACAACGCCGTCATGCAGAAGCCGCGCGCCGGCTTATTCGGCGTCAACCCCAACCCGTTCCAGCAGGCCCAGGCCCAGGCCCAGGCCCAGGCACAGGCCCAGTCGCTGTTCGGTAAGCCCATGCAGAAGCCCGCGTTCGGCTCGGCCCAGATGAACAACAACCAGATGGCCCCCACCGGGTTCGGGAGTGCTGCCCCCCAGGCCAAAACTTCGGCTTTGTTTGGCGGTAGCGCAAACGCCAACACCAACACCAACACCAATAATTACCAGTCTGGAGGAGGTTTGTTCGGGAACAGCAATAATACGAACAACGCCAGGCCCATTGCCCCCCCTCCACCCGCTGCCCCGACCGGCCCCCCGCGAGCCCTCGCCCGATCCGCAGCAGCACCAACAGCAGCCCCCCAATCCGAAGGCCTCTTCGAACCCCCCCAGACGGCCCCTAACCCCGACGACGCACCCAGCACCATCCCCGCCGACAACCTCGACGGCCAAACCATCCTCGACGCGGCCCCCCTCCTCAACTTCCAAGACTCCTCCTTCGAAGAAACCGGCCTAACCTCTACCTACGACCTCCCGCACCTCAAAACCCTCCCCCCCTCCACCACCCCCTCTAAACAACGCGTCGCCCGCATCACCTTCACCTCCATCACCTTCACCCGCACCGTAGTCCCCAAATACAAACCCGCCGCCTACCTCCGCGCCACCCTCCGCAACACCAGCAAACTGACCCTTCTCCGCGGGCCTACCGGGCTCACCCTCGACGGTTCGTTTTTGGGGAGGTCGACTTTGCCCCGTTGTAGCGCGGGGGATACTTTCTCTATCCCGCTTGGTGTAGACCCCGCTGTGCGCGTGGCGTACCCGAAACCGGAGGTTACGCGGAGTACGACGGGGATGTTCACCAAAGGCGAAAACGCAGTATACACACGGTCAGTAACACTCGTCAACACCCGCGCAGCGGCAGGTAAACCGGTAGCCATCACCGTACTCGACCAAGTGCCCGTATCCGAAGACGAGAAAATCCGCGTCGACCTCCTCACCCCCGCCGGATTATCCGTGTCAACGACACCCGGAGTCGCGGCGAAGGGGGTGGTCACGGGGGAGCCGGGACGGGTGGGTGGGAGGAAGGAGGATAAGGAGTGGGGGAAGGCGACGGCGGTGTTGAGGAAGGAGGGGGAGGTGCAGTGGAATGTGAGTTTGGATGCGGGGAAGAGCGTTAAGTTGGTGTTGCGGTATGAGGTTGCTTTTCCCACGGGGGAGAGGGTGGCGCAGGTTTATTGAGTTAGTTGCATGGGGAATCCACCCGGTTGGGGGTTGGGACTTTTTGGTATTGGATGGGTTTTGGTGGTTTTTATGATTTTGATGTTGGATGGATTTTTGGGTTGAATGTATGCATATCTTGGACTGTATGCATATCTTGGACGGACTGGGATATACTCGGGCGGTATTTCGAGGATTCTGTTAATACTGTGTTGGAACAGATTGTATTCGTGGACTACGTGCTTTGGTTATTTCCTCTGCCTTCGGACGCAAATGTGATGACGGCGAGTATACCAACTAGCAATAGATTAACACAACACAATACCTCATTTCCTCGGAATCCCTCACTGTGCAATCCTCAAGTGAATGACGCTGATTCCCAATTGTATGTGTAGAGGTACTGTACTGTAAGTTGCCGTACGGTGACCAAAAAGTGACCTCACTTACACCCCGACTTCCCATTTCGGACTCGACATCTTTTATCCGAGGAGAGGAAAACTCTCGTAGACAAAAGGATACGAAATAATCTACCCTGACAATTCGCGCTCTCTCAGTATTACATCCTTCATCAACTACCACATTTGCCGTAAAATGATAAGGAAATCCTGAATTCTGTATCAAATTATGGTTCATACCTTGTCCATTCCCAAACCCGGTATCATCAGATGCTCACTTTCTAAACATCTCTATTTGTACAATCCTCCCAAAGCCTAGTCGTCCAAGCGGTAGTCTTCCTTTGAAGTAGTGACTCCTCACTAGAGCTGATATTCGCACGACCGGTTACGTATACATAATTCTAGGCGCCGATCAGAAAGGAAGTATGCCCCGTGATCGCGGGTTGGTATTTTAATAAAAAGAAAAAGAAAAATAAATCGCTAAACAAACAAACCACACAATAAACCACACCCTAAAACCAACTAACTATACCAAACCCCCCGTCTCGGTACCCCCACCTCCCCCGCCGAAAACGAACAATGCCCCCTCTCCCTCTCTCCCTGCCCATTCCCCCCAACTAACCCAACCATACTCCCGACCATCTCAATCCCCATCCCACTCCCCAACCCACTCTCTCCCAACCCACTCTCTCCCATCCCATTCCCATCCCATCCCCCCCTAACCGACGCCTGATCCCCCTCACCAGGATACTTCCCTCCTACATCCATCCCCCCACTCGTCTCTCCCCACATCAATTTTTCTGCTGAAACCATCCCCCCCTCAAACGATGTTGACGACATCGACAACGGTGGAGGATGGCATGCTGCGGCGATGGCTGCGCTACAGCTCCCCGCGACAGGCATTGTTGAGCTTAGTCGACGGGTTCCAGACCCGAGGAGGAGGATAACCATTGCGAAACCGATGGCTATGACGGTTATCACGCCGACGGGGGACCAGCCGCAGGTTGTGAAATTATCCACAGGGCGGGTTGTGTTGGTTACCGAGGTGATGGATTCGACGGAGTCGCGGTAGATTTCGACAAAGACGAGGAAGATGCTCTGGGAGATGAGCCAGTGTAGCAGACCCGATGTGACCAGCAAAGGCAAAGAATACCGGTAGGGCAGCTGGAGGAAATAAGTCGATCGTTGATGGGGGATCGGTTTGGACGAGACGCGGAGGCCCTTGCGGTGGGTGGCGTAGCTATCCCATTCGGTGGCGAGGGAGATGGAGGTGAAGAGGCCGTTGTAGGTGAAGTAGAGCATGGAGAGGATGGCTTGCGGGCTGTTGGCGATGACGACGTTGCTGAGGAGGTTGTCGTCGCCGCCGCGGAGGTCGAAGACTTGCATGAGCGTCTTGCTGCTGACGGGGGCCAGGCCGAGGGCCATCAGCGAGGAGAAGGATTTGTCCCCGCCGATGCTGTTGACGCCTAGGCCGTAGAGGAAGATGCAGGCGATGAGGGCGACGATATACCTACGTTATCCGTTAGTCGCTGTAAAGGGGAAAAGAGAGCAAAAAAAGAAAAGAGGAAAACTCACAGTAAAACACACACCATCCACCTTGTCGGACTAGCCGCAGCAAACTTGGACCGCCTCCAAGAACTAATCTTCCTCGGCTCCTTGGACCAAAATCCGGTGCTCTTAATCACATCCTGCTTCGACGCCAAACACATATCCACCGTCGCCTCGTCCGGATGCTCCATAAACGACGCCACGGCATCACCCACCGTCAAGATCAACCGATCCTGCCCGGCTCTCCTCTCTTCCAGTCCAGGAGCACCACCACCGGGAACCATCCCGTACTCCCCACCCCCCTCCGCCTTTTGCTTTTCTCCCGTGACCGTCCTCCCCCTTCCACCCCCCCAAAAAGCCGTCGCAACCATCAACCCCGCCTTAACCAAATTCAACGCCGTCACAATCCAACACAACATCGGACTAAACAGCAACTTACACCGTTCCGGCGTCGGCAGCGCATAGCACGCCCCAACCTCCTGCACCCCCAGCGGCGTCCAGCTCGCCGGGTCCGCCCGGTATTTCCCCACCGAGTCCTCACAGGGCGCCGCACACACCGTTCCCGCATCGCCCGCCTGCGAGCACATCCACTGGTACGCCTGGCGGATACCGCAGCCGAGGTTGTCGAGGGCGTACGTGGCCGGGTAGGAGGAGGCGCTGGTGATGTTTTCGTTGGCGTGGTGGTTGGCGGTGGTGGGTGCGGAGGTGACGATGAGGAGGTCGCCGTGGGAGGACTGGAAGTTGGTGGAGTAGGTGTCGACGCAGAGCTGGAGGTCGAGGCGGTGGAGGACGCCGGTGTGGATGGCGTCGTAGAGGTTGGTGAGGTGGGGGGTAAGAAGGTAGGTTGGGAGGGTGGCTCGGTTGGGTTCGAGGAAGGTGGAGGGGACCACGGTGATGTTGTATTCGTTGGTGGAGAGCGAGGTAAAGATGGCCGAGTTGTAACTGGGAGGGTTGATCATATATATGAGTTTATGGGTTGAGATGAGATGCGTTCAGAACGGAGGACATACAACAAATGCAACGGCAGCGACGACAGCGACAACAACACCCACAACAGCGCATTCCGCCCCGACACGGCAAACACCAAGTTCCTCACACTCTGCACTCCCACATCCACCCATCGCCCCACGCGATGCGCCTCGTCGATCTGCCGCCTCGTCGGCGCCGACAGACACTGCATGCAGTAGTTACTCCCGGCCAACAACACCGTACTCAGCACGTTGATCGCCACGTGCACCGCCGTGTTGATTGTCTTGGCCCGCGTGCACGTCGTTTCCTCAGATAACACCCCCACACCGCCGCGGATGTTGCTGCCGGGCCGCGTGGTTGCCCAGATGGTGAAGGAGAGGTTGGCGATGAAGGCCGCTAGTGCGCCGCCTGCGAAGAGCAGCGCTGACCGCTGCCATCGCGCGCGGGACGCGAACATGGTTGTCGTCGTAGTCTCCGGCTTGTCAACTTTGTAGGTTTACAGGCGTCGATAGTTGTCAAAAGTGTACTTGTTGTCCCGCTAAATCGTCTGTGGCCGGCTCGGTCCGGCGGCCGTTGAAAAGCCAAGACATGTAGACAGAACTGGGAATTATTCAGCGAGAGCCTTTCATTTATTAGTCGTTACTATGTACATACATAGTACACCAGAATCAGGGAGCTCCCTCGGACTTGGCGTCCCAGATAGAGGGGCAAGAGGGGGGTTTCAATGTCACTTAATTAGGATTCGAGGGAGACGACGGGGGCGACGGCATTGTGCTGCGCCGCCGGAACGGCTGGTGGGCTGCGGGCCCAAGCGACGTGGGATTCAAATCCATGTTTAAAGCTGCAAGCCATGGCCCCATGGGGCGAACAATGTCGATGCCTAGATCACAGCCACCTTGGAAGCGCCCACCCGTCTTCTCTTGAACTGATTTCGATTTCGGCGATGTAGATGAAAGGTGCAGTCTAGCATGTGGTAATTTCCAATTTTCTCAATGAAGGCAGATAGGTTTGTTATTGCTGTAATCATATCATTCCTCCGCTCACTCGGGCGGGCAAGATTTGTTGATTATTGTCCAATATACAGACATAACTAGACCACAGGCTTCAAGGTCAAACGACCGAACACCCAAGAATTTATGGGGATCGGTCTGCCCTACGGGGCTTGCTGCCTCAGGGCATAAAGCCATTATCCTGGAGCTTAGCTTCCGCGGGAAGGATGGTGGCACAACAGGCGGACCAGGTTGACGAGAGACGTGACGGCCCAATCCAGTTCCGTGGCTAGTCACGATTTCGAAAGTGAATACTGTGCTCAATTTCTTGTGCAAGTCAATTCGCAAAAGCCACCCAGCGAATGGTCTCGCCATCCATCTCAAATCTCTGCGCTGCTTCCAACACGGGCGACAGGGGTGACGAGGCGCCCGGCACGGCCATCCAGGCCCCCCAAAGGAACCAAAGCGAGCAAATTCTTTCTGGCCTTCTTTGGGTCAACCAACCAGATTATCTCAACGCCCGGTCGATGCATGACGAGATTGAAAAATACCACGGCGCTTGCAGAAACGCTGACTGATGGGTGGTGAAACCAAAGCCTTGCACGGGCGAAGGAGGGAGGTCTTCGACTTTCCTCATCGATGAGATGAGTCCGAAGGAGGGGTCGGGAGAGGTGAAATCATGCGTGTGAGGGGGGGAAGCCGAACGGCTTGGGAGGCACGTTTCTCGGCTCAACCACCGATCCTCTCTATCCTCCAAACCAGTTTCGATCAACATGAGGGCGAGAAGGTCAGCAACAAGGTGGGCGCGGCGTGGGTACCCGAAAGCACCTCTTAGGCTCGCCATGTCACGAACGCTTTCCTTACTTAACCGACCGTCAATCTGACGGTCGAGGGAGGGGTATCAAGAGTCACCATCTCCCCAAGCCCGGCGGAACACCCCGCCGCGGGGACGGCCGCACTCTGCCGCTCCCCTGGGGTCGCTGCCAGTTCCCCCCAAGCGGCCTTTTGCGTTGCACTGGGTCGTTGCCATTCCTATCACGCCCAGAGCCACGGTGACCTTGCATTAGTTCCCTTGCCGCATCTGTAGCTTCGCATGGCACGCCCGCTCATTCCACTCTCCAGACAACCACACATTGGTTCGAGGCCGACCCGCCGTCTCCAACAAGAACCCCACTGAGGACCTTGAGAGTCCAGCAGGGAGACGGCTTACCTTGCTTCTAACAAGCTCCGCGCGATCAATCGATATAATTTTGTGAATACGATATTTGTGTAATTATAAAGACGAGATATAAGGAATATCCTAGCGAGATACACACGGGTTGAGGCGCAGAGCCGGGCTGAGCTCTTTCAATAATTGAGGCTCTAATTATTTCGTTGTTTGTGCAGGGAGAGAGCAATACAGGGTGGAGAAGGGACAAAAGCTTAGGCTGAGGGAGTGAGCCGAGCCAGGCCGAGCTTTTCCCGATCGAGCCAAGAGGGCCAGGAACCTGAACCCGACATTTGCAGATCTGAGTGGACGGAAGCAACTGCGGTACATCATATCGGCGACGACGTTGGATGTATACTGTCTACAACGGCACAATCGTCATACAGACCGAAAGAATGAACCCGCCAACAATGGCTTGTTTGGCCAGGGCCGAGACCACTCCACGCATACTCATCGGTCCCCTCAGACGAAGCTCCCGATTTGTGTGTCTCTCTTCAAGAGAATCAACCTCGATAACGATACCAACAGCCCGCACCATAAGCACACGACCCCAGTACCCCCGCCAGCAACAACCGCTCCGCCCCCTTCCACGCTCGCCCGTAACACCAGCGACAACGTTCCGGACCTATCACTCTCACGACCACCCCCCTCCCCCAGGGCCCTTCACCCCGGCCGAAACCGCCCTCCTCTGCGCTGCGTATATTCATGTTCCTAGGCATGGCTTTACCGCTGAAGCCCTCGCCCGCGGTGCTCGTGATGCTGGCCTCCTAGATATCAGCCCTTCGGTGCTGCCTGGGGGAGAGAGCGGGGGCGCGTTTCGGCTGATTTGCTGGCACTTGTATACACAGAGAACGGCGTTGGGAGGGAAGGTGGGGGGGTTGACGGGAGACGCTGGGAGTCCGATCACGAATGTTGCGGACAAGGTTGAGGCATTGGCATGGGAGAGGTTGAAGGGTAATGCGGAGGCTGGTGTGGTGGGGAGGTGGCAGGAGGTTCGACATTTGTTTTTCTCTTTCTCCTTTCGAACTGCTTAGAGCATGACATAACACACATACACCATCCCAGCCAGGAAAGGCACATACATACATCCACGAAGGGTATCTCAGCTCACTAGAACGCTACTAACAACTTCCAAATCTCCTAGGCCCTCGCCGTAATGGCACACCCATCCTACGCCCCAACATCAGTCAAAGAACTAGCCCAGCTCGCCGACGAGATCCTCTACCTGGCCGGCGACTCCTCGGTCGACCCGTCGTGGTACTCCAAGCGCGCGTCTCTGTCTGCGATTTACGCCGCCGCCGAGCTCTTCCAGACTACCGACCAGTCTCCCGATTTTCGCGAGACGCGCGCTTTCCTGCGCCGTCGCCTGCAGGAGGCTGCCCGTATGGGCGGTGCTGTGCGCTCGATTAGTGAGTGGATTGGATTTAATGCGGGTGCTGCGGTGAATGTGTTGCGGAGTAAGGGCGTGAGGATATAGTGGAAGGCGTTTGGCAAACGCGGGAGTGTGAGCTGCTGCTCACTGCGGACGTGGATATGTGAAGCAGGGAAACATGTTGATGGACGGTTTGTGGTAATATCTCTCGTCGTTGCTGTGAACAAAAACGTGTAGGATTACATACAGTACAAGTAGTCGTATTACCGAAAAAAGTACAAGCATACTCTCTTCCCTACAGCCAGGTTCCCCCCCCTAGGGATATCACAAGTGCTACTCTTCAAAATCCCACAGCCACAACACAACCAAGACAACACAGGTAAAAGCAACCACCATGTAGCTCCAGCCAGCCAAACCCGCCCCGCCCCAAAATCCCAACGCCGTTCAAGCTCGACAATTCAAACAACTCCCCTCCGAAGCAACCGAACCGACCCTGACATTACAAGTAGTCGTACAGAGTTGAAAATTTCAACTAGAGTTGCTAAAACATGTAGCGAAGTGCCGAAGAAATTGGAGGTACAGATACACACACTGGCCAGAAGACCGTTTAGTGGTCGGCAAGCGTCCGTTGGCGTGGATCCGTCAAGCTAAACGTTGAGTGTTAGCGGCCAAGCTCACATGTTCATGACGGCAAGTAAGTGACAGTAAACCCACCGAATGATCTTGACATCCTTGTCGAGTGTGTTGCGACTTTCGATAGCGTTCGGTGTGATAAAGATATACTGGCGGTTGACGGAACGCCTCGCGGCGGTGATCTAACCTTTGTTAATCGGAAGAGCCCAGAACATAGGTTGGCTTGCGTTTTGCCTTGGGAGGACTTACCAGCATGTTCGTGCTAATAGCACGGTTGACATTGTCCATGAACACATCAAATTCGTCAAGGCAGCGCAGCGGCGAGCCCATGGCTTCCCATATGGCCAGGAGCAGGCAGATGGAAGAGAAAGACTTCTCGCCGCCTGAAAGCGTCTTGGTGCTGCGCCCTGCCGCCCGCTTCTCCGTTTTGTCCGGCTCAACCTGCAGGTCCAGGGACCGTTCCTGGTGGTCAAGGTTCAGTTTGCCGCGGAAGCCGCGCTCGCTCAGCAGGTAGATGAAGTTGGCGCGGGACTGAGATGAGATATAACGCTGGAATTTGCGCCATTTTTCGAGCCGTAGCTTAAGCGTGCTTCGCAGTCGTTCGTTAACTTCGGTGATGGACTCGAGGTCGGCCACCACCTGAACGTGGGCGGCTTGCATGCGGGCGAAGTAGTCGTGCACTTCGGTGTCGCTCATCCCGCGTTTGTTTTCGATCCGCTTGAGTCGCTCGTGGAGGGTGGAGTACTGCCTCTGGATGCCCTCGAACGTCTCTCCTTCTGGAACATACGCACGCTCTTCGCACACCTGCCGAGCCTGGTCAATCATTTCCTGGATGCCTTCCGCTTGCCTCGCCCGCCGTCGCTCCGCTCTCTCCCTCGCCTCGACGCTTTCGGCTTCCTTAGAGATGGCATCGTTTTTTTCGACAAGACAGAGGAGGCGTACATCCTCGGCTTTCTTGACCTTGGCGTCGGCCTTTCCGAGCCGGGCTTCCCAGTCAAGCAGCTGTGTTTTTGCTTCTTTCACCTTTTGGCTGGCTTCTTCCACGATTACATTTTTGTCTTGTTTCTGTGCGCTGAGCGAGCCGAACTGGATCCCAGCATGATTGTAATCCTGCTCGAGTTCCACGAGATGGCTTTTGAGAGCCAACAAAACGCCATCGCCCCCCTCGAGCTCATCCAACGCTTCCTGGATGCGGTTGATTTCAGCTTCCGTGTATCTCAGGTCGTCCTGGAGCCGTGCTAGACCGTCCTTCACCTCCCCCTGTTCTTTTCTTCGGCGCTCGCAGTCCTGGTTCCGCCGGCTTTTCTGAAGGTTTAGTTCCTTGTATTCGGCAACGAGGTGCTGCTTCGAAGTATTTAACAGCGCGATCTGAGAACTCGCACCTGTCTTCATCCTAGGCCGCGCCGAGGTATTAGTACGAATAGGGGAAGTACTAATCCCGTTGCCGGCCACCGTCAGCCGAAGACCTTCGTCACGCCTCCCATCGTGGAAGCACAGACAAGCTTTAACGTTCCGGGGCGGAGCGCTATCAAACATGACCTCTTGCGCCCGCACGCGCTCGGGAATCAGGATCACCTGTTCAATCATGTTGTTGATAACGAGCACGTCCCGAACCAAGGGGTTCTCGATTTCGAGAACCCGCAGGATTGTGTCGTACTCCGAATCGGGTTCATTTCTGCTGGTATCAAGCCCACGAGAGTTGCAGATGATGACAGGGCAGGTCCGTACATTGCACTGACGCATCAATCGGGTCAAAATCGTCTCGTCGGCTTTGCAGCTGACGACGAAGGCATTGAGGTTGCCGCCTATTGTCTTCTCGAGGATACCAGACCACTCAGGTTTGAGAAGCTGAACGTGCGCACCTAACGGCCCGATTGGTTTCGTTCGGAAAGAGCTGTCGTTGTTGATCCTCTCGAGGAGCTCGGGGACACCCCTTTCGTAGGCACCCCACAATGTACCCCTATTCTCTTCCAACTCGTTGATTCTGGTTTGGATGTTGTCGATTTTGTCGCGTTTCTCTCTGATTTCACTATCGAACCCGGCCACCTCCGCGTTGATGGCCTTTATCTCGTTTTCCAGTGGGGCTTCACGATTTCTGTTCTTCTGGATCTCCGTTTGGATCCGGGTGACATTCTCCTTGGCTGCTTCGAGCTCTCGCATCTTTCGGGCGGGGCCATCACCATTGGCAGCCTGAAGCCGAGCCTCCTCCGCAGCAATTTTCTCTTTGACCTCGTTCACAGACCTAGTTTTGGACTTCAATTGCTCTCGAGCCTCCCGCTCCTCGGCATGGAGCTGTGCAATCTCCGCCTTCAACCGCTGGTGGTGTTCGATGGCCTCCGTCCGGCACCTTCCGATTTCCTCTCCCTCTCCCTTAACAGCCTCCCAGGCATTGTTGGCGCGTTCCACCTTCTCATCCGCAACTTCAAGAGCTTGGTTTTTGGCTTGTACCTCCTGTTGCGCCTCAACGACGTGGGTCTCGGCTTGGGCCAATTCTTTCTCCCTCTGAACCAGCTCCGCCTCCTCTTGGAACACCTGACACCAAGCTAGTTGGTGGCGTAGAGTCCGGAGTTTGATGCGAACTTGACGGCTGCCCTCCAACTCATCCATGAGGCGCTGGGCCTTATCCAGCCCGCCCTTGGCAAGCTTGACCCGTTCCTGCTGATCAGGTACCTTGGCTACCATCTGTTCCAGGCTTTCCGAAATTAGCCGGTAGTCGTTATCTAACTGCTGAAGTTGGACGCCTTCGATGAAGAACTTGTACTTCTGGGTCTTGGTTGACGCATTGAGAAATTGGCGGGCATTATCCTGGGAGAGGACGTTGAGCGGGTTGTCGACTTGGAGGGCGTAGTACTCGACCAGTTCGTCCACCTCCTGCTTCTTAGTTGAGTGAACCATGCCGATGGCGGTCTTGACCTTAAATCCGCTGCTACCGGACTTGGAGAAATGGCGTTCTACGATGACAGAGTCGCCGTAAATATCGGGCTTATATGCATCTTGTCCCTGGTTTTTGATTCTGACGATGAGGACGCCGCGCTCGCACCCTTCTTTGACAAAACTCTTCAAGCTGCCACCACGGTTTGTAGAGCTAGCCTTGCCGCCGAGACACAATGTAATTGCCGTCAGGATGGCGCTCTTGCCGCTACCGTTTTCTCCAACGATGAAATTGAGGAGGGGGCCGAGTTCGCAGTGGAGGCGCACGTGGCACATAAAGTTGACGCAAGTGACGCTCTCGATAATGCCATTTTCTGCAATGGTGCTGTTGCCCAGCATACTCGGGCGGAAACGGAGACGTTGGGTGGCACGTTGGTCGTCGGCAGCCGCGTGGCGGAGATGCTCGAAGTTATTGTCGCGCATCAACTCATACTGGGTTTTGGGGGGCGAGTTTGGCGAGGTAGGATCATCGTTCGCATCCGCATCATCGTCTTCGGCATCGTCGTCGACCGGGGTAACGTCTCGAATGATCCCTCGTTCGACCTTGATGTGCTCGGGATCGGAAAGGCGGATTCGTTTCCTCTGTCAACACGCCCCACGATGGGAACAAATAAGTATGGCCATGCCAAAAAAAAAAAAAAACACGGTTGGAGTTGGTAACTCACGGATTCCGCCTGTAGTAGACTTGACCTCGCCCGCTGGACGTCGACAATCTCTTCGCCATCTCCCAGCTCGCCGCGCCGAGCGCGCTTCCGTGATGACTCGGCCGCATGGCCGTCGCTGGTTCTCCCGGGCATTATGACCACTGACAGGAATTTCAAACACGGCCAGCCCGAACACAAGCAACAACCGCGATGCAGCGTTGGGTGGTGCAAGTGCCACTCTGTTGAAGATGAGGGGAGGTGACAGGGGCCTGGACGCGTCTGGGCGAGAACCAACGCGTGTTTCGTTTGGCCCACTCGCTCTTGGTGGGAGAATTTAAATGGATTCTCTAGGTGCCGGGGGGCGCTGCAGCCTTACCGATGGAGAGCCTGAGCTGAGCGCGAAGCCCCACTACCGCGCTCAGGCAAACCCCACCTTGTGGGGGAGGTCCTAACGTTATCGATAGGGACGGAGCTCAGGACGGCATTCGCATGTATCTCAAAAAAGTGACGATGAAGAAAAGGAGACGAATATTCTTTAGGGTTTGTGATAATCGACATCTTTTTAAAACAGGGAAAGAAATAAACAACCCCAGTCACTTCGCCTTCAAATATCATATGTTGCTGGGTTTTCTTGGCTAAGAACCGCCGCCCCGACAATATCCCATTCACCACATCCTAGCTACAAAAAGGACGGAATTATTCGTAAAAAAAGGTTTAAAATTAGAATTAACAAGAAAAGCACCGGGTTGGGTCGCACATTCGAACTCACATTCTTCGTTTGATCTGTCTGGATATCGACACCCTCCCACTTGATCTCACACAGCACAAAGAAACCCAACCTCAGCCTCCAGACAAACAAGATGGACTCGGCACCTGAGCCCCGGCCCGGGGATAGCGATTTTGGTGGGTTTCGGATGATGGTATCGGAAGACTATGCGGAGTACATGCTGTTTGTCATCGGGGATAAGACACAGGACAATGTGCCCAGTTTAGAGACAGTTCGCAAGGCCGCGGATCAGAAGCTGAATGCATTAGCCAGTGACTACATCTGGCAACGGGAGCCCTTCCGGTTGGAAGCAAAAACGAGAAAGGGTAAGCCTATCTTCTCCCCAACGCACAATGTGGATGAGAAGCAGCTGATGATTTGATTTTCCAAAGGGCTGGGACTCCCCTACCTCCACGGCATCACACACTATGGAGACAATGTCGAGGATGAGTGGCTCATCGTTTACCTCCTCCGAGAGCTCAGCAAGTCTTTTCCCGATCTCTGGGTCCGTGTATCCGACAGCGACGGCGAGTTCCTTCTCGTCGAGGCCGCCAAAGTAACCCCGAATTGGCTCAGTCCAGAGAACGACGCCCACCGGGTCTGGATCCACGACGGCAAGCTAGTCCTCATCCCTTTGACAAGCACCTCCGAGCCCCGCCTCTCACTGGCCGAAGCACTCGATACCATCCGAACCGCCCCTCTCTCCGCCCTCATCCATTCCCCCTTAGTCGAAGCCGAAGCGTTCTACCGCCTCGAGAAATACCCAACCCAAATTACCGCCTCACTCTACCACTCGCCCGTCACCATCCCCCGCAAACTCGCCCACATCCTCCACTCTCTGCCCAAATCCATCGCGCCAGCCACCGAGGCCTTCTATCTCCGCGACCCACGCGCTCTCAAACCACTACTATCCACCACCAGCGGCGCACCCGCCGACCTCACCTTCCCACCAACAGACCTCGTCACCATCAGCGTGCGTTTCACCCGCGTCCTCTACGCCCAACTCAAAAGCCAACAGTTCACTCCACCACCTGCCTGGGCCCCCATTCTCCGCGCGGCCGAAGGCCACGACGACGGCGACGCTCCATCCGAAATCAGAGATGACGACCCAAAACCCAACAACAAACTCTTCTCCCGCCTCGAGCTCGGCATGAAACTCACCACAGGCTTCGAGCTTCTCGCCCACACCGCCGAGCAGTCCCCAAGCCGCGTGGCACGCGAGATGGCACTGCTCTTGGAGGATCTAGCTGAAGACGGCGGGGATAGTGCATTGCCGACGGATACGGAGATTGAGCAGTGGGAGGGTGTGGGGAGGGAGGATGATGATGGGTGGATGGATATTGATTTTGAGGATTTTGAGAGGGAGTTGGAGGGGAAGAGGGGGGTTGGTCGTGGTGGTGGTGATGGGGAGGTTGATGCTTCAAGGGGGAAAGAAAGGAGTGGGTTTGGGGACGCGGCTGCCCAGGCGGATTTACAAAAGATTGTGGCGAGGTTTGAGGCATTTTTGAATGATGAGTCGGCTGGGGTGGATGGAGCGGAGATGGATGAGATGGATCGGGATGACGATGATGATGATGATGATGATGACGAGGACAACAGCGGGGAGGAGGGGGGTGATAGCGATGAGGATGAGGATAAGGCGGTTAGTTTTGACGAGGATAAGTTTGCTAGCATGATGAGGGAGATGATGGGGTTGCCGGCGGAGGAAGGGAAGAAGAGCCCGGACGGCAAGGGAAAAGGGTCTGGTGTGGCGCGTGAAGGCCCCGAGGAAGAAGCAAGAGATGAAGATGAAAGTGGCGATGACAAAGAAGGTGAAGAAGAAATTCGCAAGCTCATGACGCAGATGGAGAATGAGCTGAAAGGGCTGGGCGCACTGAGCCTCGACCCACAACCCAAGACCCCGGGCACGATTAAGGAGAAAGGCGAGCATGGTTCTGGCCCAAGAGCCCAAGCTGGACCTGAGAATGACGAGGATGAGACAGAGGAGAGCGGTGACGAAGAGGTCGATATTGACTTCAATCTCGCCAAGAATCTGCTGGAGAGCTTCAAGAGCCAGGCGGGGATGGCTGGGCCAGCGGGCAACCTTTTGGGAATGATGGGGCTGAGTTTACCGCGGGATGAGGAGGATTCAGGGGAAGATGAGTGAAGGTAGTAAGTACCTGATATGGAATACAGATGTAATTAGTTGTATGATGAATATTGTTGAAGGTTCTCCTTATTGATAAGGGGTAATCTAACCAACCGTCCATCGTTCACCCCAGTTCTCCAGACCTCTTAACCTTCTTCGCCGGGGACATCTCCCCACTCGGCCGCCGGTGGTGATGTCGGCTACCCTGGCCTTTCTTCTTCTGCGCATACAGACTAGCAAAGTCAACACCACTCGGCGTAGTAGGAGTAGGAGCGGTCCCGATTTTCCCATCATCTCCCACTTCCGCTAGCCGTGCCAGCACCTCATTCAACTTCTTGCGTGCTTCCAGCTCGTGCGTTCTACTTTCTGATGGCCTCTGCGGGCGGTAAAATTCGGCGACGATGCGAGTAACGGCGTGGTAGACTTGGTAGAAGAGCAGGCGGACAGGGGCGGTCGTAGGGGATTCGATTATTGATTCGGGGAGGGATAACGGGTAGGGCATCTGGGGGGTTGTCGTCTCCGTCGTCCCCGTTGTCTCCGTTGTCGTCGTCGTCTGTTCAGGATTGATAGCGGGAGTGGAAGCGGTGGTGTCATCGTTGAAGCCGGCGAGAAAGGCCGCCGATGGGGGTCGTTGGTTTGGATCGCTGAAGACAGTCGCGAGGAGGGGGTCGCCGAATATGGCGCTACTCCAATCACGAAGACTTGCGAGTTTTAGACGTTGGTGTTGTTGGTCTTGGTCTTGGTATTGGTCTTGTGTTGTTGTTGGTGGTTGATCTGTTTGTTGATTTTGCATTTCCCCCTTTTCTTGTGTTTCCGGTGTAGTTTCTCGACTCGCCGCCTTTTTTGTACTATTATCCCCTTCAGTCCCAACCTCCCCATCATCTTTCTTCGCTTTCTTCTTATCGGCCTCATCTTCAGACTCCTTGTCCCCCATTTCCTCACCCCCTTTCTCCCCTTCATTACCTTCCTCTCGCACAACCAGATTCCCCCTCCCGTCCCCTTCCACCTCCACAACCACCAGCCTTCCCTTCGTGACTCCGTCCAGCACCCATCCTAACCGACGGAAATGCCGACGAATCGACACATACGAAATTGCCACCGCCATATCCTCGCCGTCCCGTAGGATACCCTCGAGCATCGAGTGGAAGGCAGTCGACCATGTGAGGGCTCCGCTTGTGGTCGCGAGGTTGCTTTCGGTAAGGATAGCTGGGAGGAATGTTGTCGTTGGTGCTTTTGTTGTTGTTACCGCTGTTGATCGGGCGGGCTTTGGAGCTGTTGAAGTTGAGGCACTTTGTAATGTTGGGTTTTGGGTGGTCGTGATATTAGTAGTACCGAGGACTGCCGTGACAGGCCCAAAGCGACCGGTGGGAGAAGTCAACATGGCCAGGTCTCGTACGAGGCGGCCGAGCTGGCGGTCGATGTTGTGATGGTCAGCGGGTGTGGGCTTTGTGGTGAGGAAGGGCAGCGATGTGCCTTGGATGGTTTCGTAGACGGCGAAGGACGAGCTCGGCGGATGCATATCCTGAACGTGGCTAAGTAGTGTCGGCAACAGCGGGAGGAGAGAGTCTGCAAGGCTCGGTTTGGATGAAGACGGCACCGTATCGTCAACTGAAGAAGTTCCCTGCGCGAGTGTATCCCTAATCCACTTCACCGTGATGGCCTCAGAGCTGAGCATATCCTGCTCGGCCCTCAGGGGCCGCCACAACGAGACTGGTGGGAGAGTGAGGAGGACCGTCTTTCCGGTGGAAAGGGAGACTTCGTAGTTTCTGAGTGGCCGACCTGAAGAGACTGGTTGGACCGATTTGACGGTAACATCCTTGGGAATGACCGAGCCGAGCATCTTCTGGACGAGAGAGTCGGAGGGCTGGCACATGTCGAAGCCGAGGATTGAAGAGAATGCTTTACTTCTTTTGTTTTTTGTTTTTGTCGAGCAAGAATGGCGGTTATGTGGGATGTTGCTGGAGGAGAGGGGGTTCCTTTTGTTGTTCGAGGCCTGAGGGAACAAAACAGGACCATACATCCCGGCTGTTTCTTGTTTCCAGAAGGCACAAACACCAGCTAAAGACGGTCCACGAGCAACGCAGTATCGTGAGAAAGCCGGATGTACTGCAAGGGTCAAGTTTGCGGATGCGGATGCGTGGGCGTCTAGCATCCGTGGGGTATGGGGGAACTCGGGTATGGGCATGGAAGAGCTACAGAAGACTTCCTTCCCGTGCATGCCTGCTTATAGCGCAGTGACCTTGCCTATCCAAGGACAACACATGTCCTGCGTATGTATTGATATGTAAGTCCGACGGTCATCGCGGCCCTCCTTTCTCCCTCGGAAGTCAAAAGTAAGCTGTCAACAGGACGGGCTTGTGGGAGGCCCGATCCCCTTGGGCATGAGAACTAAGCCAGACCAAGTTTGGGGGCTGGACTTTTGTTCTTCTCGCGCGCGGGACTTTTCCGTTGCAGATATAGGTAAAAGGGCTCAGGGGTGTGGCCTCACGGTATACCTATACAAGAAGTAGTGCTCGGAAACTGTCTCTTTGCTGATCGGCTGCGTTTACCGAGTGGGACAAACACAAATCCGCCGTTATCGCTTGGGATTTCCGAGGCCCCCAGATGCGAGGGGTGTTTAGGGGGCGTCTGGCACGTCCGTGGGAGCGAGCAAAATGGAAGAGAATCAGGCACAGAAGGAACAGCAAAACAAACTGGCCCACCGAGCTCTTGTGGTACGGCTCTGAAGCGCACTCGTGGGGGTGAGCACCAAGCTAAGATAGCGATGGGGAAGTAAACCCAACGCTCGACGATCCCTCTCTCCCTGTCTTTTTACCATCCCTCTCGACCACATCTTCCGTAGCGAGATATTGTGTATGCGAGGGCAAGATTACACATCACGAACGGGGTCGGAGGACGCGACGACAGCCCGCCAAGGAAGGGAAGGATGGGCTCCAAGGAGCGAAAACGAAGAACAACCAACGAATAAGCGGCAGCTTGAAGCGAGCTCGACGAGGTCAAGCTTTGTTCCGTCTTAGACTCGTCACTCCTAAACTTTCCTACTCAGTCCCCACGTGAGGGGCCAAGCGCCGCGCTACGGGAAGCCACCTCGGCCACCTTCGTGGTTTGATAATGGGGGCTTACCCTCCCCCATCTGCTTGTGACAACATGGGACAAAAAGGCGCTTGAAGACGAGGAGGGTGGAGATGCTCTCGGTACGAAATACGGGAATAAACACGGACTAAACACACAGCTTCACTCGCATGAGGGCATGGGTAATGGCATCATGGGTGTTTTGTGATCATGGTCGTCAAGTGCTCCCCGTTTCGGTTGATGCGGTCAAGGGTCGCGTTTAACGTTACCTCTCCATGAGCGGGACAGCCTCAAACTACCCTGGTGCCGTCGGGTTGGTGGGCATGGGACCGACACCCAGAAAAATTGGCTTCGGCGGGGGGTCAGAAGTAAATCCCGTTGCAAGGTTCTATCTCGGGCTGGGTTCAGGTGCCGCTGGGTACCGCGACCGTTGACGTCGGGAACCTTGGGGAGTGTGAATGTGTGTGGTGTGAATTGGTATTGGTGGACGGTGGTCCGGCGGTGTCCTGGCATCTGGAATGGACGACGAAGTCAAATTTCCATCATGATCGAAACAGGAAGGTGCTGAATGCAAAAGAGTCGGCCAACCCGGCTAATTGCCGGGGACCTCTGCGGACGTTCTCTGTGTCAGGCAAGAGCAAGCGAGAATGAGAGTGCGAGCGGATGGAAAGGCCAGACTAGACGTGAGAGGCGGACGCCATCCCCACCCTTTCACAAGTCCCGTCGAACCACGGGAGGATTCAAAGATCAACGCTGACATTCTGGAACCCAGAAAGAAGTCCGCCATTCTCAGTTTTTGGCGAAAGCGAACTGGGGTGGGCGCGAGGGATTAGAGTGATTGGCTAAGCACAAGCGAAACCCAGCGCAAATGTCGCCAGCACAAAAACACTGTGGGGAGCTTCCAGCATCAAACGCCTCATCGCTCGGATCTCCATGCCGATTTGATATCATCGACAGCTAAATATCGCTTTGTCATCAGAAGAACCCGTCAATTGAAGAGGCTGAGCATGGAGGCCCTTCCCCATCCAAATCGAGATTTCCCCGCAGTTTACGGATACATGTTCAGTCTTGCGGGTTGCTGTGGAACAAGGCTTCACGCTTGTTTATTCAACTGCTAAAAATGAAGATCAGGTGCATCCTCCCTATGACGAGACAGAAAACTCAGGACGTCAACATCTCCCAGGGGCACATGCGACCCTTGATGTCACAACGATCGACGGAGGCTGCAGGAACCGCCCCGACGAAAGAAGACAGGCACTACTCTGTACTGTGTACGAAGTATTCCGTACAAAGGTAAGGTAACTAGTTATAGAGTTAGTGTACATCTCCGACAAGCCAAGTCCTGTCGAAACCCGACCCGCGTTGTTGGAACGACCCCGGCCATTTTTAGCTCATGACTGCCACTGGTTTGGGGTCCTTCGGGTCCCGGAGCCCACCAAAACTCTTGGCCTGCAAAGCCCGCACGGTCGGCTCGTCAAAAATATCTTGAAGAGGACTTAGTGTGGCTTGTTGCGGCGGGCGCATCTCGGTCGTTCTTGTCCTCCAACCGGGATGTCAGAAATGGCCCTTATGCACCCTTTGGTGTTGGGAGCCCGTGGCTGCTTGCGAACCTCGCATTCAGGTCGCATTAAAGCGATGATTTGACTTGTACCACAACCGGGTTAATCTCATGCTTCTTCTTCCTTTTTACTTGCACCTCGTGTGAGCCGGTCTTTTTGGCCCTGAGCAAACAGCTCAGTGAGGTTGTAACGTTTCAACTCGTCCCAGTCACCGTCGACGACGCTCATCCCGCAGACCGCCTAGGAACGGCCGAAAAGAAGTTGTCAGCCGGGCGAATTCATTCATTGATACCCCACGCATCAGTGCGCCATGCTTCGGCCCGGCCCGCGGCCCCGTGAAAACGTACCTGATAAATATCCACCAGAATCACCTTGTCTGGCGTCGTCAAGTTGACTTTGTGGTAATCATCGTTGATCAAGCTCGCGGTCGTTTGGATTACGTAGTCGCGTTTTAAATTGCTGTGGTTGCGAATAGTCGGTCGGATGGCAAACTTAACACCGTCAGTCCAATAGCATCATCGTAAAGCCAGACTTCATAACTTACTGTAAAAACCTTCTTATCCCCCGCCTCAACACCCGTTTCCTCCTCTTGCCCATTCTCACCCTCCCCCTTCAGCCGAAACCACGCCTTCAACACCTCCCTCGCAACCTCCACCAACCCATTTTCCGAAGCCTTACCCATCACCGAGACGGGCGTTAGCCGGTTGACATACCGGCACCGCATCCTCCCCAAGGACTCTCCGTCTCCCGCCCCCGGATTTCCGCTTTGCCTTGCGTCTTCACAGATCTGGCGGACAAACGCCACGGGGTTGATGGGCGGCACCGTCTTCACGAAGAGGAGGCAGTCGACATTCATTTTGAGAGGAGTTAGTTGCTTAGTGTCAGCGGTGGTGGCGGTGGGCGCGCCTGGAGAAATGGTGGGCTTAGGTTCGGGCTTGAGGGCAGCGATTTCCTTCTCGATGGCCGCTTCAATGTCGTCCTCGTCATCATCTTCATCGTTCCCCTTATTCTCGGTTTTGCCAGGTCCTTCATCCTGACCTGACGCCCCATCATGCACGGACTTGATGCCGTACATCTTCTCAGCATACTATTTTCTGATTAGAACCCGCTTCTCGAGTAGCTGATACCCAAATGGATGCATCACGGACCTCAGAGAAGAGGACCCCAATTTCACGGGCGGCCTTCGCCTCTTGGTGCCGCGCACAAGTGATCCAAATCCCGGTGTCACCTGGATGGAGGCTGGACTCCTGCGACAGCGCCTTCGTCTGCTGGTGGGGGGTCTTCCATTTTCCCGCATTTCCGGTCTGGTACACGTGTTCAAGCTAAATCAGCTAATGCACGCAAAATGGGACAGGAAACTTGTGAAGCTTTGGTAAGGGTATTTCAGGAGGAAGAGGAAACAAGAACGTGGTGATGAAAAGGTTCGGGATGGGAGAGCGCTCGACATCTCCGCAATGCGTCCGTATTTCATGAAAGGCCGTGAACTTCGACTATTGCTCCCGGCTGTTCGGCTGTGCGTACCCTTTTCTTCTTAGACCGTTGGCCTCCTCCACTAGGACCCTCCTTCCGTTTATTGTTCCCGGTCATGGTACTGGTGCTGTGAAAGATGCCTGTTTCCTCAAATATAAAATTGAAAATGGCGAGAGAAAAGACTGTGGGGGAAAGGAAACGGAAAGACCGGATTTGCCGTTGTCAATGAGGTGCTTGAGATTATATTTCACCAGGACGGATTTGATGTCGAGCGATGTTAATTTTGGGTGACCTCGATGGTGGAGCATATTTGAGAGCTTGTTTTAGAAGAGGCTTGGGTCACGTGTTAGGTTCTTTCCCCTTTTTACAAGAATTGAATCATTTATCCGTAAATAAAAACAAAATATCTCACATCCAAAGCTAGCGTCAGCATGCCAATACAGGATACCAACTACGAAGTATGGCCTTTCCTTTCACACTCCCACATTTTTACACATTTATCTGCCTGTTTTGATTTTTTCCACGTTTCTTTCCTGGGGAGTGGCTTTGGTGGCAGCAGACGAGCTATCAAGCCAAGACCTCAATGCCCGTCTCTTCAACTACCTTTCCTCCTAATCACTCCTCCTTCGCGTTGTTCTTTGCCGCAATCTCCGCGGTAATTTTTAGAGCCCGCGGCGCATCATCCTTTGGCATCCAGAGCTCGACAAACTGCAGCCCACCAGCCTCGTTGAACTCTTTATCGGTCAAGAGCTTCTCCAATTCATCCTTGGTCTTGACGACAAACTTGCGGACCAGCTTGTCGGTCCCGCCAAACGCAGTCGGTACATCGACATAGTTCCAGCGGACGATGTCATTATACTCGGCTTCCATGCCATGGATGTACCGCTCGATGGTGAAGCCTTCGTTGTAGATGAGGAAACTAGACGCTGTGGTTAACACATTTGCAGTCTCACCGGGGATGACTTGATGGGAGTGGCTTACATGGTGATTCTAAGGTTGTGGCGCATCATAGTGGTCACCTCTTGAGCCGTGAGCTGGAACGAACCGTCACCCACAAACAAGATGGTCCGGCGGTCGGTGCCCATATCCTCCGCGGCGAGCGCGGCACCTTGGGTAGCACCCACTGACCAACCGATGCTGCCCCAGAGAATCTGCGTGACACCGGTTACGCCGCGCGGATACTTGGTCTCCCAGATGCCGAAATTGGAGGTGCCCGTCTCGGTGACGACAATGTCGTCCTCCTTCAGGTACTCGCCCACGCGCGGCCAGAAGAAAGCCTGCGTGATGATCTCGGAGCTGTCGCGGTTTTGGGCCACCTCGTTGACCACCTCTAGAGAAGATGGACGGTTCAACTTTCCGACGTCGACACGCTGAACCAATTTTTGCAGCACACCGCGCATGGCTACGCGGGGATATTCGGAATAGCGCACGGTGCAGTGGTCCGAGTGGAGGTCAATGGTCTTGAGCTGGGACGTCCGGTATGAGAAGCCGGCGGTATTGAAGTCGCTCTTCATCGCGCCGATGGTGATGACTAGATCGGCCGATTCGACTCGCTCAGCGACGCCCGGCTTTGAACCCGTCCCCACATAGACGCCGCCGTATGTTGGGAGGCTTTCATTGATAGCTCCCTTACCCATGGGCGTCACGAAGACGGGAAGCTGGGTCTTCTCCACTAGACCCTGAACTTCCTGGACCACCCGGTGGCGAACGGCACAAGCGTCGACTAATATGACGGGACTTTTGGCCTCGTGGAGATACCTGAGCACTACGTCTACTACGTAGTCCTCCCGTTCTGGCTCGTTAGGGGGTTCTGTTAGATCAATGGGCGTGTCGAGCCGAGCCCCCTCGATCTTCTTCTCCACCATATCGGTGGGCAGCATGAGGTAAACTGGCCGGCTGCGAATCCAGCACTCGCGCAGGGCGTAGTCGATCTGGTCTGCGATCTCCCCTGGCTTATTGAGGCGGGCCGAGACACAGGAGATCTGCGAGCTCATGTTGGCGAAGACGTTGAAGTCACCGTTGCCGAGGGTGTGGTGCAGCAGCATACCGTTGCGCTGCGAGATAGTCGACGGGCAGCCGACAATGTGCACCACGGGAACGTGCTCCGAGAAGGCGCCGGCGATGCCGTTGATAGCGGACAGCTCGCCCACGCCGAAGGTGGTAACCACGGCAGAAATACCCCCTGTACGGGCGTAGCCATCTGCAGCGTATGCTGGAAAATTGGTGAGCCAGATCTAAAGTTGCTCTCTTACGGAATGTTGCGTACCTGCGTTGAGTTCGTTCACACTGCCTACCCACTTGAGTCCCGCCTTGGGGATGTAGTCGAGCGCGACCAGGTTGAAGTCTCCGGGAACGCCATGAATGGAGCGGATGCCAACCTCATGTAACCTCTTGAAGAGGTATTCGGCGACAACTACGGGCTTTTCCAGGCCCTGCTCTCTGATATCTGCCATGGTTCCCTAGAGGCAAATTGGATTGGTTTAATGAGCCTTGCGTATTATTTGGGATTAGGGAAGTGAGACCAAGTAAATGGGCAACCTAACTTGATACTATCGTACGACTGGGCCGGTTCACGACAAAAGTGTGTTCACGTTTTGATCCCGGCTTTCCCGGCGTCCCTCTGTCATGTTGGCGGGGTCACTTGCATGACGCGGTGCTCGAATGGGGCTATCCCACAGCAAACATGTTGTGACGGGGCGTTGCAGGGCCAGGCCGTTATCCACGAAACGGTGGGTTCGAGCGGTTTGTAGGGCAGCTTCGTTGACGCGGGAGTGATGTAATCGACGGGTCCTCATAATACAACCGGCCCGTTTTGGCATAGATAAGGCCCGGGCCTGAATAAGTCATCTAGGGCGATGTAACCGTCGTACAAACGCAACATTGAAGTCCGATTCGTCAGGTTGGGAATCTGAGAAAGCCGTCTTCTGGCCGGCTGAACCGGCGTAAATATTCTCAGACTTAGCATTGTCTTGATATTATTGAGGTTGAGGAGAGATTTCTTCTTCAATGGCTGGCTTTTACAACGAACCTGCGTTCGGGATACGAGGAAAATACATACCTTACATCCCTTACTCCACCCAACTCCGTCCAAACATGGCGGGATCATGAACTTAGTGCACCCAATTCTCTACCACCCTTAGCCCCCCCGATCATTGCTCCTTATTGCACGTCCCATATCCACCTCTTAATCACAGCTTCCATCCTTCCACCCAGTCCGCCACCGCTCCTCCCATTTGCTACAATCAAACGTCGGCTTCCCCAGCTTGCGGTTCACCTCGTTGTGCGCGTCGCACATCCAGTTCCCTAACTCGGCGCGACTGCCCGCCTTGACCTCGCGCGTCTGCAGGTATTGCTGGAAGTCCTCGGCGCATACCCAGCACGGGTACAATTTGGAGAAGAGACGGAGGAAGCCTTTAATATCGGACTGTTCCTGTGGCGTGGGTGTAGGCGGGTAGGCCGCAGCGATTGAGTGGAGAAGGGTCCAGGAGCTGCGGCCGAGGGCTTCGACGTCGGGGGGACAGTCTTTTCGTGGTTGTCGGGCTTTGAGGGCGGAGCTGCTGTGAGCTGTGAAGCTGGCTAGGGCGTTACAAGTCCGGCAACTGGAAGAAGCGAGTTAGTAAAAGTGCCAGATGCCCGTATAGGTAGTAATATTCGCGGTCAAAGCTAGGTTGGGGTAAACGTACGGTTTTCCATCTTTGCCCAGCACCACGCCCTTGGGATACTTCTTAGGGGCCTCGGTGTTGGTCCCTGCAGCAGCGCTTTCTGCAGCTGGCGTGCCGGTAGGCTGCGGTTCTTCGCTGCCTGACGCCATGTAAATGCGCAACCCAACTTCCTCCCTCAAACCACTCGCGATGGGGCAGCTTCAGAATGTGAGAAAATGCGTAATTCAACAACGATGCCGGGACTTCCAGAGGCAGAGCCGGCAATTCGCGGGTGATTGGAAATCAGAGACATCGTCTTATCGATAAGAATTTCGACAGGGGGTCGCGAGGGACCCAGAAGTGTCAGACACGTGCCAGAACCTCAACATCCACAGCACGGAACCTTGAATGTCTCGCTTCCCCTTCTTTCAGTTCCCTTTGCTCGACTTTGTCTCCCATCATGACACAGGAGCAGAAGACACCCGTCCTCCTGCTCAAGACAAAATCTGTTCCAGGCGATGCCTATGAGGAACTCTTTACTTCCCCTCCCGATGGTGCCGCTTACGATGTGTCCTTCGTTCCCGTGCTGAAGCACCAGTTCGAAGAGGCCGGTCTAGCCAAAGTACGCGAAGCGCTTGAAACTGGGTCCATAAACGGCAACAACGGTAGTCCATACGGCGGTCTCATTTTTACGTCTCAGCGCGCTGTTGAAGCCTTTGCTAAGCTCGCCGAGGAGAGGAGAGGTATGGGCCCCTTTGTCTCGCCTAGCACGGGATAAGGAGGAGGCTAAAAGGTGAGCAAATGTCGCAGGTAATGATGTGAAGGCGAGTTGGCCGTCGCTTGAGGGCATCCCTTTTTACAGCGTTGGCCCAGCGACTACGCGCGCCCTGAAGGCGATCCCCGTCGTGCCGCCCTTGCAGGTGTTTGGCGAGCATACAGGATCTGGGGATAAGCTGGCGCCTTTCATCCTCGAGCACCATGGGGAATGGTATAAAGACCGGGAGTCCGGCAAACCCCCGCCCCCACTACTCTTTCTCGTTGGCGAGAAGCGCCGGGACGTGATCCCCAAGGTGCTAACCGCTGCCGGATGGGGTGTAGACGAGGTGGTGGTTTATGGTATGGGGGAGTTGGAGTCGTTCCAAGACGACATCACGCGGCGACTAGCGGACAACGCCGACCGGCCAAGGACGTGGGTGGTTGTGTTCTCGCCGAACGGCTGCGACAGTATGCTGCGTGCTATGGGACTACTTGACGAGAGCACGGGTAAGGCTAGGCCAAAGCCACCCAGCCCGAGTGTACTGGTGGCTACGATTGGACCGACGACCCGCGATCACCTGGTTAATGTGTACGGATATGAACCTGAAGTCTGCGCGGAGAAGCCCACGCCGGAGGGTGTCTGGCAGGGCATCTCCCGTTACGAACAAGGCCAGGCCTGACAAGAATCTTGGCCAGTTTGTATCGCCCGTCCACGGGTCGGGAATGAAAGCTCTGAAAGGCTCGGCATATGATTCTCGGACTATGTGTCACGAATGTGTCGTTGATACGGAACCATACCGTCGCCAGTGACACACGGAGGTATAAATTACGTAACCATTGCCACTTTGCTGCACGGTCGGCCGCCCAGCCTCCGCCAAGGTGCGGGCGGCCGGAAGCTCCGGTACCGTACGGTACACGTATTGAGACTACGGGTAGCATATAAGGTACAGAAACAACAATGATGCAACTGGAGTCGATGCTCCCTTGCAGACACATGATCCTCGCACTCCACGTCTTTTTTAGCCCAAGCATAGAGAATCAAGACAAGACACAGGAATTAATCCTACGCTATTACAACCCTAACGTACCTTTACTTATCAGACCCGTCGCAGGACTCACTAATTTATGGCGGTGCAGGAGCGCCTTTGTCGATCACTACGGCCCCACCTAGAGCTCCGTGTAACTGCAGCCAAACACGCTGCATTGCAGCAACAGCGGGCACTTACCTGATCTAAGCTCGACGTGTACCCCCATCTCGAACCACATCCGCAATCCGTATCATGGCCTCGTACGCCTCTAGCCATCATAACACCCAACAACCCCTCCGCCCGCGCCATTCTCCCGATCGCCATCATTTCTCGCCCTCGTCCTCTCGCTCAACCACCCCACCAGGCCCCACTTCGCCCACTTCACCCACTTCACCCACCTCGCCCGCCTTTCTCACCTCTTCCGTCTCCAACCTCTGGGGCGGTTTCGTGCGCCGTTTCTCGAGCGAACCCTCTTCGTCAAGCCTCGGCAGCCCGCCCGGTATGCCCCACGCCCGAACCTTCCAACCCGATGGCGGGTACAACCATAATCATGGCCACAACCACGTCCAATCACCTACACGCTCGCAAACAACACAAGGAACCGGCAACGGGCTCGACGGTGTCTACACCCCTCCCCAACTCCTGAATCCCCACCGCACCCCGTCTCCGATGCGGCCCCCACCTCTAGAGCCGCTACAGCTGCAGGGCTTCTCAGACGATACTCCAGCAAATGCGCGGCTGCTGACGGCACCTATCGCCGAGGAGATCCGCATCATGGTTCCCGCGCGCCTGGGTATTGTTGACGAATGGAAGTTGGTATACAGCCTAGAGCAAGACGGTGCCAGTCTAGCGACGCTATACGAGAAATGCGCGCGGTACCAAGGGGTAAGGGTAGGGTTCGTGCTGTGTGTGCGAGACTGCGAGGGTGGTGTAAGTTCTCTGTCGTCTCCTTAATTTCTTCACTCCCTAACCTGACGCTGATACTTCTTCCCCCCCTCCCAGCTCTTCGGCGCCTACCTATCCGACCACCCCCACCCCGCCCCAAAATACTTCGGCACCGGCGAATGTTTCCTCTGGCGCGCCTCTCTCCTCGCACCACTACCTCCTCCCCCCTCCCTCATCGACACCGATGATACCAACCCCAACCTCCGCACCTCCACCATCCAAGGCGGCCCATCATCGCCACCCCCGAATAACGGCAACAACCCCAACTCCCCAAACACCCTCCTCAAACCCCCGTCCCGCACCCCAACACCGCAGCCCATCCGTTTCAAAGCTTTCCCCTACTCGGGCATCAACGAGTACTACATGCTGTGCGAGACCCACTTCCTCTCTCTCGGCGCGGGCGACGGCAAGTACGGCCTGTGGTTAGACGACTCATTGGAGCGCGGGGTTAGCGCGACAAGTCAGACGTTTGGTAACGAACCGCTTAGTGATGAGGGTGAGAAGTTTGGGGTATTGGGGGTTGAGGTTTGGGTGATTGGGGCTTAGGTAGGGGCTTAGGAGCAATGGAGCTCAAAGTGGACGAGCGGATGGATGGATGGGTGGATGTGGGGGTAATGATTGTAATGACTGAAGGAACGCTTTTCGAGTTTTGCTCTCTTGATAAGAGTTGCTGCAAGGGGCGTTTGGGAAAAGGAAGGGGGAAATCAAACGAGGAACCGCGCGGTGGGCCTCGCTTCGTTACTTGACTGGCTGCTACATACGGGGGACAAGTACATTAAAATACATTGGGTTACGTGGAATGACTAACTAGGGTGTTCTTTTATAATATCATTTAACTTACGTTGGCCAACTTAATGCAGCTGGTGATCTTTGCCATTCGGTGGGTGGCGTTACTGGCTATACCCAGGAAGGGCTGATTCATTATCACATAGCTTTCCGCCAGTCCGAGATCCCTAAAGCGAGCACTGGTGGCGACGTTGGGGGGTTGAACTCGATGCCGTCGGACCCCGAAACAGATATCGAACGAGGCACGGCGCTACCGGTTGATCTACAGGTTGTCTCCAGTGACTATTTCCCAAACCGCTCTCGACGGTCACCTACGGAAGGAATACGATGGACGATGGGGGAAAAATGAGTATATAAATCAACAACTGCCCTCTCTTTGTCTTCATACGCTAAAATGAAGCCCGGCCTTCAACCATTCCATGTGAAAGAAACAGATCGTTAGCTACCTACCTACCCATCTGACCAAGCTCAATCCGACATATCCTTTCCCTACCGTCCTCAGACCCCCAAATAACACCAAAGTGAAAGCCAACGCAAACTCCCCATTCAGGATGTAATTCTTTCTCTCTACAGCTTTCTCTCCTCAACCCCGCCACGATTTCTCCACTTTCTTTGGCCCGCCTTGCCCCATGCGTCTCCTGAAGCCGCAATGCCACCAATCCCCAGAGAGTTATTCACGTCTACCTCATGATCTCTTGGAAGATCAACTGCTTCAGCTGCTCCTTGCTGAGGTTATCCTTTTGCTTGTCGAAATCAAAGAACTCCTCCGGGATAGGAGGGGCAGTGGGCTCATCATCTGGGTCGTGGTACGGTTCCAGGTACGGGTGCTTAAGCGCCTCCTCGACCGTAATCCTCTTGACTGGGTTGAAGGCGAGCAGTTTCTCGAGCAGGTCCAGGGCGAGATCCGATGTGGTGGGAAAGAGCGTCCGGAACGGCACCTTCTTCTTAAAGGGCAGTGAGCGGATGTATTCACGAGCACGGCGGGATTTGATGCCATAGTAATCCTCCATCGTTGGGGTGCCCAAGACGTCCAGGATGAGGGTGAGCTGGTGGTGGTCTGACACGAGTGTTAGTCGCCGGAAACGATTAATCGGAGGAAATTCTGGCACATACAGTCTTTGCCCGGAAACAGAGGCTTGCCGCTTAGCATCTCAGCCAAGATACAGCCCACAGACCAGACGTCGATCGCCTTGGTGTACTCCTTGAAAGTCAACATAATCTCAGGGGCACGGTACCAGCGCGTTGCGACGTATTCTGTCATGAAACCAGAGTTGTCTTCTTGCGAGGCAGCGGAGCGAGCCAGGCCAAAGTCGCAGACCTTGAGGTCACAGTTCGCGTTGAGAAGCAGATTAGACGGCTTCAGGTCGCGATGAAGCACATTTGCGGAGTGCATCGCCTTGAGAGCGCGCAGGGTCTGGTAAATGAAGTATTGGCAGTGGTCGTCCGACAACTCTTGGGTACGGATGACACGGTGCATGTCCGTCTCCATCAGTTCCTGTATTGCGCATAAGCACGTCTAATCTAATGACTCCAAAAACAGGCGGACATACCTGAATGAGGTACACCTCGTTGAAAGTGTCGTAACTCCGGGGCTTCTGGATGTCTAAGATCGAGATAATGTTCTCGTGGTTGAAGTACCGTAGCAGCTTCATCTCACGTAGTGTTCGCAAGCAGAACATGGAGTGGTCAAAAGGTGTGATTTTCTTGATGGCGACTTTCTGTCCGGAGGGCTTGTGGACGGCGGAGCTATTTAGAATAGATTAGACAGGCTAACGCGTGCGTGTCTCGATTCCCAAACTTACCACACGACTCCATAGGCGCCCTCACCAACGACATCTTGGATGTCGTACTGCTCACTGACATTGAACGAGATCTTCCTCGCGCCCCCTCGGTTCTGTGTGTTGCTCATGGTGATTACTGTATCGCGAATTTGCCCGATTCGTTACTTGAGTCGTGCGTGGAGTTTCCAAGGTTAGAATCGACTAGGGGATCCCGCCGTCGAGAAGCAGAAAACGGTCGTCAGTGCGGAGGATGAGATCGGCTTAAAGTCGGGAAGGTTCTTGTAGGTTGTGTTTGGCGATCAAGGACTCAAGGGAAGGTAATGGGTATCTATCACCAATAATGGCAGGTTAGCAATCCGGCCCACCAGCTGGAATCGCAATGCAATGAAGTTGTTGTATGTGTAGGCTATGATCAAATACGCGCCGTCCACGATAGTAGAAATTGGCAGTCTCCAGGTATTGACAAAGGGAAGCGTCGTCCTAAGAGAGGCGTCGATCGTACGGGAAAGAACGTGCGAGGTTGTGTGGGACAGGGATACGGCGACCAAGCGTCCAAAGGTGTGGTACGGATTCCTAGGGGCCGTCTTGTTTCTAGAAGGTCCAATGGAAGATCCCAAGAACGAAGCGCCTGGCGAATGCTCGCGGACGAGGTTGTTTGCTGGCGGGGTAGGAAGAGGGACGAGGGGGTACGGCGATCAAACGCTTCATCTGTATGCCCTCTGCAAGCGTAAGCTCCCTTCGCTTGGAGTAGACTCGGCCGAGAAGAAAGACGTTGCTTATGTCGCAGGGCACCTGGTAAAATATCCGGAGGGAGGGTGTTGCCAAGCTCCTAGCCGCTGGTAGGGATGACTTTAGGCGAGGCTGGAGGTGATTGCCAGAGAGTTTCTCGATGACATCTCCGTCGCTCGCTTGATATGGGGGGTTGGATGCTTGACGGCAATGGCTAACAAGCATAGAAAAGGATAAACCCTCATACGTACCTAGAGTGTTCCACAAGAAACCCGTACACAATTTCCGTGGCAAGGAGGACCGCTCACGAGGGGCGTAGGTGTTGGGGAGGAAGTTGGAGGTTGCTCTGCGACGACGGCACAGGAGACGAGTTGCAGCAGCGGGAGGGTTGACCTTGGAGTGTGCCCCGCTTCTCGGCTCGCAGGGGACGGGAAGATGTGAGAGAAAATGAACGAACGGCTTGAGCACAAACTTTCCGTATTCACTCCACGGGCGGGCGTAAATCGAGAAGCTGCCGCAAAAGAGGAGGGCTATGGAGAGTCCCAAAACGAGGTTGCGAGCAGAGAGAAAGCGAAGCTCAAAGCTCGTCAACTGGGCGAGGGGAGGCCGTGTTGTAGAAGAACGAAACGGCGACCTTGAGCTTGGCGGCCTTGCTCTTGGATCTGGCCCCTCTCTCCTCTCTCACTGGCGGGTGAGGGGGAGCATGGAACGACAGGGGCTGGGGCCGAGTGGGGTCTGTGGGACTGCCCTGTTAGGCTGTTGGTGGTGGGTTTTGGGCGCTGAATTCAGCCCTGGCCTCCTTCTTCCTACCTTGCTCCTCTCGGCACACCTATGTTCCATGTCCCGGGCAGGTGGATGTTTTAAATGGCCCAAACTGGCCGGTCTCCAATAGTGGTGAATACTCACCATCACGGCGACCCAAAAACGCGAGGTCACGACCGCGGGCAGCCTGGTCCTGCATTCGATCATCTGAAGAGTTTGCAGGCGTTCTTCATTACGTTCCACTGTCCTTCTGCCTGAAAGACACCGTCCAGGCTATGCCGTAGTAGAAGGACTCCGTTAACGTCCGAGAGAACCAACAAAGACGCCCAAATGTTACTCGGTCAAAGGAGCCGGGTGTGTTGCGGCCGGGCTCAGATTCAACAAACGCGCTTCCGGCCCCTCCCGGGCAATGAACTGCCCGGCGAGGCTGGTTTGACAGGCGCTTAAACAATCAAACTGAGAGAGCCATTTTGTGATGCACTACGAATTCCAGCAACGACCCTATTCAAGGTTGCTCTTGCACTTCGTCACTTGGTCACCCCACCCCCTTTTCTCCCTCGATCACACTGCATGGGAACTAAATCGGTCGCACCCTCGTCAATTTGCCAGAAACGAGCACGAAAAGACCTGTCTTGCATAATTCATGTCCCAAACGGCCCAACGAGCAGTCGAATTAGGCGCCCGAGCAGCAACGGGCCAGTCTTTCCACCCCTCACCCCACCACTGCCGTGCAGCGACCTTCAGTGGCCGAAGTCTGGCGCGGCACAAGCACTTTGACCCACTTTCTCATATTCTCTGGGCAAGTCTTTCGTCTTCGGCGCCTGTCTCAAGATCTGAAATCACCAATGGGACGTCGAGAAGAGCTCCCTTGTTTCATGGCCCTCCACCATCGGCCCAAACACAGGCACGGAAACACGAAGGAGACCCGACTCGATGGATGGAAAATACTAAAAGGAAATACCCCGTATAGGAGGGAAGATGGGGGATGAAAAGAAAATCGCCGACCTCTCGCTGGGTTTACGTTCCGTAACGGGTTTCACAGGCAAAATGTAACTCCCCTTCCCACACGCCTTGCCAACACTATCGACTCCGGACGCGGGTCTAACCGCGACCTAAGTCCCAACACTCCCAAGCCGTACCAGCAGTTCAGGGTTTCCCTCTCTCATTGGCCGCTATTGTGAGCCGCCCCCCAAGCGGCCGTGAGGCAGTGCATCGGTCTTTGTAACCTTTCGAGACGACAAAAGAGCCCAAGATTAGACCAGATTCCCGAATTCCACCGCTGGCTCAAGGTCTAGTTACAACATGGGAAGAACTACCTCAATACGGATAGCAGCACCAGGTCGAAGCTCGCGTAAACTATGAATGGAACATATCCACCCACCGTACTCACGCTAACATCTTAATCGCACCCTCTATCAACTCTTATGATGCCATAACACATCCTGCAGATGCAAGGCTGGCAAAAGAGAAGGGAAGAGCCGCGCCGGTGCCTTGTACATAACCGCACTTGTGTGCCTGTATGCACCGCTCTTGCGTACATGTCCACGGGTATGTACCTGCGCAAGATCGGAATCCACAACGAAGCGAGAAAAGCGGCCACAGCAAAGGCGGCCCGGCCGAGTGGGGTCCAACGCTCAAATCGCGGGAGCCCGGCGTTTCTGATGCAACTGGGCTTGTCCATGTACGTTGCTGCTATTCTCGGCACACACACATGCACCTGGACACACACACAAGACGAGACAAGGCAAGGCAAGGACACAAAAAAGCACCCGACCGACCGACCGCCTGCCCGGGTCGGTTCGGCCGGCCGGTCGATCGGGGCCTGTTAGTTCGGTCTTCGGTCACGTTGGCTTTTGGAACCTAGTTAACGGGGGGTTTACGCATACGGATTTGGGGGTCCCGTAGCGACGAGTTATGTGCTGACTGTGTCCAACTGAAGTTATCTGGTGTGAAACCGCTGAGCTGAGTGCGACTGCGGGACAAAAGTCGCAACGATGGCCGGACTGGATGTTATTTGATAGGGGACCTCATGCCAGCTAGGTTAGGAAGACGTGTTGTTTAGGCAATGATTCCTAAGGTGATTGATTGATGTCGAGGGTTGGTTTTTGATAGATTTCTAAACGGGCTGACGGTGCCGTTCTTTTTTTGGTGGTGGGGGCGCTCCTTGAGGCATACTATGTAAGCGCGATGTACGAACATTCATGACATGATCACCGGGCGAAAGAGAGTGAACCATGACCACGACGACCCAACATGTCGGGTTTGACCGGGATTTCAAGCGTTTTCCCGTCTACTGGCATTTGACTGCTGGGAGAAAAAAAGGTGGAAACAAGAATTCTATTCCACGTATCACAGAGTAAGGATCATTCATTGCCTCCAGCTCTGGCCGCAGTCGTCTCACCACACATCATTATTGAACAACCTGTGACAAAAAACACAAATCAGCATCATGATTCCTGCCTCCCGCCTTAAACAACCGACGCCCGCCGGCGCCACCTTTTTTTTTATTTAGAAACTAACCTTCTCCCGCAGCGTCCCCATCCACTGCTGATAGCTCATCCCCTGATCCGCCCGATCCTCCACCAACAGCGTCTGCGCCCACAGCTTCAGACTCGGCTCGCCGTCCTCGCGTACAATGTACAAATGCGGCACCACAATGCTGCCGACCCCGCGCGCCTTGTGATCGCGGCTCTTTTGCACGACCGCACGCACACGCTCGTTGAAATCGTTGTCCAGCTCTGGTAATGCGCCCTTGCCGACGCGCAGCTGGGTGCGGTCCGACACGCCAAAAACGTCCACGAGCAACTGCGGCACGGCGTCGCGGCCGACCCAGAGGAACTGGGTCTGGCCGTCGTCGATCAGGTACAGGCCGTAGGGGACAAACCGCTCGGATGACAGGTTGAGCGGCGGCGGGAGGACAATCTGGCTGGTTTCTGGGTCTGGGTAGCCCGCGTTGTCGGGCATGTCGTGCAGTGAGTACATGTGCGGGTAGATGTACTGGATGAGCAGAGGCAGGGGGAGGGTGGACAATAGGCAGAGGGCGGCGGAGCGAAGGTCGGATGGGATCTGCGCAGATTTGCGCAGGCCGACGTGCTTGATCAGCCCGAGGAACAGGGCAGGCAGGCCGCGGAGGTTGGCTGGGAACTGCAGACCACCGCCCATGCTGCCGCCGGCGAGCTCTTTGCGGAAGGTCTGCAGCAGTTCGGTCACCTTGCTCTGCAACAAGTCCCGAGCCGAGTCGAGACCGCTGCCGAGCGCCTTTTCGACGGCCTTGTGAGTGTAATAGGTGGTGATGGCGCTCTGGTCGGCGGAGGCATAGAGGTCGGCGATGTTCGTGGTGGTCGGTAGGGCCAGCGTCATGACGCGGATACGGCGTTCGCCGTTGCAAGTCGTGTGTAGCACGGCCGTCTGCAGGCAGACGACGCCCTTGGTCAGGTTCTCATCAATGGCCACTTCCACAACGTAGCACTGGTCCCGCGGGAATGCCGGGAACGCGCACAGGTCAGAGCTCCTGTTGAAAAAGTTCCCGTAGAACGTGCTCATGCGCAGACCGGTCGTGGCGCGGACACGAAGAACTGCCTCCAGGCCAACCTCAGAGGACAAAAAGTCGCTAAACTCGGACGCGAACTTGATGGCATCCTCGGGTCGGCCAGCATTCCACCCGGGGTAGAACCAGGTCTGCCCGCCTGTGTATCTCGGCAAATTGCTGAGCGAGGCCACGTCCTGATACTGCGAGGAGAAAAGGAACATGTCGATGGACACCTGATTCTTAGAGCACTCCACAGCAAAGCTCTTGTAGAAACTGTTTGCGGTCTGGAGCAGGCCGCCTTCTTTCGACGTGCCCAATAACTTCTTGTCTTCGCGCATCTCGAGCTTTCCGTGGCCGAGATTAGGCAGCGAGGCACTGAGGACGACAATCTTGCCGCCGAGAGGGGAGATGAGCTTATGGCCGGCCCGCAGAGCAGACCCCATGCACGACCCATTGTTTTGGTTGCTAGCAAACATCTCAGGAAGCTTGGCAAGGAAGTTCTCGATGCTGTTCCGGCTCTCGGTCAAGGGGACGAGCAGATCCTGGGGTACCGGGAGGAAAGGCTCATCCAGGTCGCTGATCACCAGCATGTTCGTCTCGCCGTTCTCGTCCGTGTCCTTGGGTACTGAGAAGTAGTGCAAGCTCGAATCAACGGCGATGAAGCCGAGCCGGGTGCGCCTGTCGGCATTCGGGATCCTGTTGAGGCTGTCGAGGATGGTGCGCGCGCTGGTGGCCAGGAGGCCGGTCGAGACGGCAGCGTAGCTCACGTCGAATAGGAACAGATACACCAGCGGCTGCGGCGGGCGAACCATGTACTCCTGGGGCGCGACAAACTCGACGACAGCGTGGTTCAGTTCGTGGCGTTGCCAGCGGTCCACTGTCTTTTGGGCGGCCGCGTCCCAGTCAAAGGCCTGGGGCACGTCGTTGGTGAGATTGCACATGTTGCAACGCCACCGGTGGCCGTGGTCCAAGAAGGTCACAAACGGGTTGATGTATGACCTGCATCTCCGGCAACGCGAAATAACCTGGTCTTGGATAACGGGAACGGGGTCGTCGAGGTCGTGGAGCGCCGCGTAGGGCTGGATCACCAGCGCCAAGGGCAGCTTGCTCTTCTTGAGCAGCGAGTGCGTCGTAGGGATCGCGTTCACGGTAGATCGCACATATTTTGGTTGACAGTTCGCATCGGGCGAGGGAGTAACGCTGGACTGTTTCCAAGGGTCAGCACAACTGCTATCAACAGCACTTCACAGGATCTTTCAATCCCTATGGAAGATGTGAAACTATCTACACGTACGTTCGGGGGCAAAATGATAGGCGGCGGCGGGAGGTCTAGCTCGGAGACGTTAAAAGGTTGGCTGAGGAGATCGGTCGGGTAGAGCTGGTTAAGCGGGCCGGCGCGCGCCTGGGGGGGAAGCTGCTGCGGCTGTTGCTGCCCGCCAGGGCCGATGTTCATGGCCCCCATGCCGGCAGTCAGACCGGCTACGCCTCCCTGAGCCGGGGCAGCGCCGGCCGAAGTGTAGTAAGGATCGGGCGCCTGGTAACCGCCCACAGGGGCGGACGGCTGCGGCATGCCATACGGTTGCTGCTGCTGCTGTTGTTGCTGTTGCTGCGGCTGGGCACCACCATAGGCCGCAGACTGGGTTTCTTGTTGCGGGTAACCACCATACGCCGGGGCAGGAGCTCCAAATTGTCCACCGCCCTGCGCCTGGCTACCTACGGCAGCATTTCCCCCCGTGGCGACGTCAAAGGCGCCGGCAGCATATGTGCGCTTCTTCTTCTTGCCGTGGTCCGCTGCATGGGCTGCGCTCGCGGGCGGGGCCACAGCGTCGGGGGCCGGGTTCGCATAACCTTGGTCGGGATAGGGGGGCTGCTCGGCGCCGGGCTGCTGGGGCGGATACTGGCCGTAGCCATCGTGGGGCGCTGACATCTTCGATGTCGCTGTCGTCGCGAGAGGAGTCGGAGTACGAAGCAGTCGTGGGGGTTGTGGAGTTGTTTCTGGTGGACGTGCGACGCTGCAACAGCGCCTTGTCGGTATAATTCGGGCGGAGAGCGGACAATGCAGCGCCAAAGTCAACAACACCAAGGCGGGAGCCGGGTAAGGTGCGTGATGTATTAATTTGTCGGCGACGTGTTCGCGGGTGGGATGTGCGGTCGCCCGAGGGCCAAGGCGGAGAGCTGGCAGAAAGGGTTAAAGTTAACGTATGGCGTCGGTGGCCCAGTGGCGGGCAGTGGAGCAAGCTCCCAATTGGCACGAGAAGCTGGTGCTGTGTCCTTAACCGATTTGGTGGAGGGGCTGCCTTGCGGCTGCGGAAGACAGGCTGGCCAGATCAGCTCTGTTAGTGCACTGCTGGAGCTCCCAGGGAGTGTGGACGAGACCACTCAGACAGCTGCCGTGCTGGTCCACCAGTGCCGCGACTCGCACTGTGGCGCTGGAGCCGTGGCTGCGCGGCTGCCAAGGAAAGTACATGTGCAGGCGAGTGGCCGCCGAGACCCGGTTACCAAATGCTTCGATACTGGCATATTTCGGAAGTACCATGGAAATCGCACGCTCGTAACATACGAGAATGTTACGCCGGTATTTTGCAGCGTCCTCGCTTTCGGTCCTCGGTACGTAAGGTACTTTACATCAAACATTACATTACGTTTTGTATTACCATCAACGTTACCAAAGTTTCGAGGGCCTCCAGGGTCTGCACATCAGGGTCGTCACCAGCGGCCATGGCCACCTGCTCACACCACGGGTCTCCCTGCAACTGCCACCCCTCCATCCGAGCCAAAGGTAGCATCAAGCCGCGCGGGAATAAGCCTGAAGCCTCGGCGCCTTGGGGGACGCGATTCTTTTCTAAATGAGCGTGACGCTCTCTCCTGGAATCGATCAATCTTTCTTTACCACAATGAAACTCTGATTCTTTCCCGGCCTTCACGCTCGGCGCATTAATCGAACGGAAGTGTTTCTGCTTCAGGCCAACAGAACAGCCAAGACCGGAAACAGAGTCGCCCCCATTTAGACCACAACTTTTCACTCAGGTCGCTCAGGTCGCTCAGGAGGCAGCCCACCCACTCCACCGTGTGTTCTTTTCTTAGATGAAAAGGGAGTGACGCATGACGTTAAACCGGCCGTTCTTGGGAAGAATTTGACTCGAGAGATTCCGCGGTGATTTTTTTTCGATTTCTCGACTTTCATTCCTCAGACGCATTCCGTAACATTCATTGATCTCATTCAATCGCCCATCTCCCAATCCGCTCCTTTTCCCTGTGACACCACGATCTCCTCACCACATCACTCCCTGCAATAATCCTCACCATGTCTTGGGGCAAAGACACCACCAAGGCGCCGCCGTCCACTATCCGGTTAGTATAAACCCCCCCAAACAATATTCTTCATCCCTTCTCCCGTATGTATGTACTAAACCCCCTCCCAGCCAACTCCTCCCCCTCCTAGTGACCCTCCTGGTCCTCGCAGCACTCGCGTGGATCGGCTACCAAATCTACCTCTCGCTCGGCAAGATCCAAATGCAAGCGCGCAAGCAAATGGGCGACAACGTGACGTTCACCAAGGACGGCGTGCGCCTCAAGGTGCAGGGCATGGAGGACGAGTCGTATGTGGATCGGACCCAGAGCTGGGTCGTTAAGGCGTGGGAGCTTGGGACGGGGACTGGGTCGGGGGCTGGGTCCGCGGGGAAGGAAGGTGATGCGAAGAGGAAGAGGTTTATAACCCCCCCTTTTCTTTTTCCCTTTAGGCGGGAGATTGGGTGAGAGTGGTCGTTAACTTGGGAATAGGAACGTTTTGACGAAACAGAGGACTGGAGATCACTCATAGTCCCAGGTTTGGAAGGACTTAGGACAGGGAAAGGACAAAAAAAAGGGGGTGTTGGGGGTAAACAAATCCCTAAATGAGGTGGTCATGGCGGAGTCTCGCATGATGAAACAAGACGACCGCGTTACGGATTCGCTCACAGCAAGTATGGGAAGTCGACGCGTTGTATTTTATTCGGCACGGCTTTGCTTGGGTTCGATGATTGCTTCCAATGAGCCGTCCTCTGCTTGCCATGATTTATTTACAATGGCTCTAATCAATATATGCAAAATCACTATGGCAGACATAACATCGCCTCATCCCTATCCCGTGTCTCCTGCGGGATGATTCTGACCGTCCAAAACACCGATCCCTTCAGCTCTCGTATTCGCTGAAATACTTCTTTCGTCCGATCCATCCGTTTACTGCTCCCGCAGCTACTCATCCGGGGGCGTATGGGGCTCTGGAGTCGGATAGGCTTGTCGAGGTGAAGACACGACCTTCTCAAAATTGGCGGCGGCCACCCCTGACGCGGCATTCTTGACATCCGACCACATCAGCATCGACGGGACGCGGAATTGGAGCTATATTCTTGTCGTTAGTAAAGGTACTCTGCTGTACGGGGGGAAATAAACGTAGAGGTCAGTCATACCAAACACAATATATGTGCGTACTTGACCCCCAGTACGTCGCCGATGTGTCTGAGCCGCCCGCGGATATATGTTCGTTCTAGAGGTGTGCCGCGTTAGTGAGGTGTCCCAACCCCTGAATCAAATCCAACCAAGGAAAGAACCGCAACATACGAGCATCGGTGGTATAATCCTGCGTCAAAACGCACGCCAGGGGAAAAGCCAAAAAGTAGCCCGCCAGTCCCTTACTCACGCTCCCATCACCACCGGCAACCCCCACCGGCATGTCCTGCGGCCACAAGTCTTTCCGTTTGAGATGCCATCCCAGACAGCACGGCACCGACGCGAGGATGTCGGCGATGATATCGATACACAGGCGTGCCGCCGACGCGAACTGCGGCATCGTGCGGTAGTCGCCAGGGAAGTTCACCCACGCGAGAGTGCGCACAATGATGGACATGAGTGCCAGCCGTGCCGCACGCAGCTGGTTCCAAAGCCCAGCCACCCAGATATCAGGGTATAGATCCACTCTCCCGGGGAACACCTCCGCCAGGGAGTAGTCCTTCCCGTCACTGGACACAGAGGACGGGTCGCTGTACTGCCAGCAGAGGGTGCGGGCGCGCCACGACTCGGGCACGGAGGCCATCCAGTGGGTCATGGCCTGGTCGAGTTGGTAGCTGCGGCGGACCAGGTCTTGGGCGCGCCGGATGTTGTCCGGGGTACGGGTGATGCCGGTCATGAGGCGTGTGGCTGTACTGCGCACTTCGCCGGCTTCGAGGCAGAGGCGCTGACAGGCCGAGCCCGTGGGGTCGATTACGGCGTCGCGCATCCACCAGTCGGTGCCCATGGGCGGGGCGATGCCGGTTGAGAGGGCATGGACGATCTAGGCGCGAGTCGGATCAGAATTTGGCCAGAGCTATGGGAGCCTCAGGGGGGAGTGTGTATTGTGTTTGTTCCACTTACCAGTTGTGTCCGCACTGCAATGAACAGCTGCAAACCGACCTTGGTCTTCAGCTGGGCACGCCCTCGGGCTTTCACCAACTGGATGGCCCCTTCAGTGTGTGAGCCCCATGCTAGACTCCCAATCTGCTTCGCCGTGATATTCTATTCCCCCATCATGGTCGTTAGCCTCCCGTTCCCATATCTCCATCTCCCAGTCGAAATTCAAAAGAAGACATACCTCAAACATCCCTAATAACAACACGGCCGCCAGCACCGAGTCATCCTTCCACCTTACCGGATCCACAAGCGCAGCCTGCGTCGCCCTCAGCGCTTGGCTATACTCCCCAAACGCTTTCCCCAAGATCCCACCAGCCCGCTGTTTCCCCAACACAACACCTCCCAAGCCCAACGGACCGGGCCCAGCAACACCAGCCCCGGATGACGACGACGATGAGGATGAGGTCGAGGAGGAGGCAGAGGATGGTGAAGAAGGGGATACACACGCCATGCGGTTTCCCCACGACGCCAATGCGCACGCGTTAAATGCGCGCACGAGGTGCTCGTCCCCTTTCCCCTTCCCGCCGGCTCCTCCTTTTCCATCTAGTCCAAGTGGTGGCGCATTGGTGGTTGCAGTCGGGGTCGTGCTCGACGAGTGGTTGAGTAGAGGGAGGAGGTAGTCCAGGAACCCGCGGGAGCCGTCAGGGCCCGGGACGAGGACAAAGTTGGCGAAGAAGTGGCTGGGCGCGAGGGACTCTGGGGGGATGTGTAGAGGGGAAGGGGAGAGCGCGGCAGCTGTTTGAGATTGGCGGGCTAGAAGAAGGCGGTGTTGGCGGGGGGCCGTGGTGGTGGAGGTTATTGTTGTTGTTGTTGCTCTTGACGATGATGGTGATGATACATCCGACGTGGATGAGGAGGCAGCAGCAGCAGCGGCTCTTTTGCCGGCCTTCCTACCCCCACTACCACCGCCAGCTTTCCGAGCCCCGCCGAGGTTGAGGGCCCGTCGCCGAGCAGCGTGATTCTCGTTGCGGAGGACAATGTCAAAGTCGTCTCGGTAGCCGGGACAGTCACGTCGGGCTTTGGCGCATTGTTTGCATGTTGGTTTGGTCTCGTCGCACTAGGCACACCGTCAGGATGATCTGTTAAAGCAGAGAAGTCAAGGGGGCGTGAGCATATGCACTTTGACACGTCGAGTCCTACACGTCTGGCAGCCCTTCGAGGGTGTTCCATCAAAACCCATGACTGACAATGGGTGTGTACAACAGGGCGTCCTGTTGTATCACATGAATAAGGTATATGGATCTCGCTGTTTTAGACGGTCAACAATGGAACTGTGAAACTTTGATCCCAGTATCGGACGGCAATCGGGTCAAGAACAGGCATACCGCCTTACCTTACGGTGTACACAACTTGGCTCAATGGCTACTAGGTAGTACCGTCTTGCTCTTCTTGTACACGACTGCTGGGGGGGCGTCCGGGCCCCCAACTTCCGAATCTAAAATCCAGCTAGCCGGAACCGAGATCGGGAACCCGACGAGCCGACACAGCATAAGCTACCAAGATGTGATTGTGACTGTGACCATCCCGAGGCGTTGGGAACAAACCGGATCATGACGCGGATCCGCGTTCCCGGAATTCCTTCGCTGCGCCAAGCAAGGAAGCAGCGCGTCTTCGTGTGTACACTAGCGTTACGTTGTCTCCTTTTCCGGCCCCACATCAGGATGAACAGGAGGAAAGCGGAGGGAGAAAAGAAAGAACAAAACTGAAAAAAAAAGAGAAGAGAAGGAAAGAACGGCCTGTCAACGACGTTAATCCAAACAGAGACAATCCTCCTCCACTAACCAATCATCTATCAAGCCAACTCTCCCAGGTTCACCAAGCCTCTGATTCATTGAGTTAACCCCGGCCATGGTTCGAGACCGTCCCGAGGCACCTGCCCTGCTTCTGTCCTCCGATTCCCCCCAAGCCAGTTGAAACAGGCATGTATACTCCGTACCCGTACTCTGTACATGACGCATGAGAGCTGCACTACGAAGGTAAGAAGGTAACTGCCCGCAGAAACACAGAATGGAAACCCAAACGGAATTGTTTCCAACTTTACAAGGCGACCCGGCCGGCAGCTGAAACCCCCGCTTGCTGAAGCCGGGGAACCTTCCCAAAGGTACCATCCGGCCCCCTGTATTCGTAAACCTCCGCCCCAAACCCCTAGCTCACTCACCCTGAAAGCTAGCCACCTTGGCACGAATCTCCCCCCTCCACCAACAAAGCTGCGTTTCTGCAACTCAGCTCTCAGCAACGAGAACAGCTGGAAACAGGGGTCGATCGCGTCAAAGGATGGATCTCATGGGGGACGGAGGAATTGAAGGTATCTCAGCCGCCGATGCTGACGGCGTGACCTCCGTCTTTGCGCGGGGAGAACACAAAAGAAGCTAGGGACAAGGGTGAGGGCAAGGAGGAAGAAGAATGAAGCAACCATCGCGAGACCTTGTTCCCTTCCTTGTCTCATGGGCTGTGAGGCTGGTGTCCACGACGACAAATGCAGCAGGCACGTGAGCCATGCAAGTGAATGAGCAATGGCCAGTGTGTTTCGGGAGCCCTGCAAGGGGTTAAGGTGCAGCCGACCACTGACACCGCTGTAGATAGGAGGTCGTCGAGTAGCGAGGAGGATGACATCGCGGGGATGCAAAAGATAGGTAATGCGCAATACTCTATGCGTTTGGGTCCGATTCTTTCTGGGTGAAACAAACATTGAAACCGGGCAACGAAACAATACTTGCGCCCCAATTCCACAGATACACCACCCAGGCATTCAATCACCCCTTCCGCAGTCGGTCGTGTGGGAGCGCAGGTAAGAGTATTTATCTCGTAGTTAAAACACAAAAGGTATTAAAATGTCTCAACAGGTATAGCTTTGGGTAGACCCAATGCTGCTCTCTCCCCTCTCGCCGGCTTATGTACCCCCTTTCTCGACTTCCTGCTCAAGGTAACGTAAAAGCGGGGAAGCAAAGCTTCCCGCACATCTTGACACGCCTGTCTGCTGAAGGCTCTCTTCCCCCCAAGAGCCTCGCCCACCCCATCTCGACCATTCCAAGCAGTGTACTACGTATTGTCCAGATCAACGGCGCCGCTGTAGCCCATGTACACAATAACCTGGACAATACCCCAAAACACATAATCATACATCCAGCTATAAATGCCGTGATCTCTCACGCAACCATCCCCAGCACCACACCTTGCATGTCCGACCTAACGACCTTCGTCAAACATGCCCGCGACCCCATCCAAATCCGGCGTCTTATCGCGTCCCGTCCTCGAACCATCCGCGCCCTGGGCCCCGGCGCCCCCCGAGCCAGCATTCGGCGTCATGAACTCCTGCGCCATCTTACTCCGGCCCGACTTTTTGCCGCCGTGAGCCGACGTTCCTGCCCCAAGGCTCTTGGTGAGCCTGCCCATCTCCGAAATGCTAACACCTTTTAAGTCTTCAAGCAACTCAAGGACCAACGCCCGTTGCTGACGGGAGTGCATCCCGGGCTGTGAGACGTGCCGGATTGTGCGGTCGACATCCTCCGGCTTGATGTTGGGTAAGGACACCAGGATCTCCCTCGGGGTGGACGTCAGAGGCGAGTAGTACGCTAGGATATGGGCGATCAGCGCACCCAGGTCCCGTTGAGAGTCTACAAAGTAAGGGTCGTGGAGGGAGGAGACGGCCGCCTTCATAACTTCCGTAGAAATGAACTCTCGGATCTCCCTCGCCGTTTCCTCTGGGATTGGGAATTCTTCGAGCGGTGCGGTGTGGCCGGTGCCCTTGAGGGTCTTGGAGAGGTCGGAAGGGCTGAATTCGGGCACAATTGACCGGAAAACACGCAGGACTACGCCGCAGCATCTCCCGTCGTGCATTCGGATCGCATGGCTGCAAAAGACGAGGAGCGGAACCGCAATGGAGGGATTCATGAGGCAGAATGTCCGCAGCGGCGGGTATTTTCCGCCCGATGTCGCCTCCTCCGTCTTCTCACCTGATGCTTTGTTACGGTCAGTAAGAAGAATGTGAGGGAAAAGATGAGGACGGGGAAAATAGGAGCTTACCATCCCTGGCCGGATCAAGGACATCTGCAACCATGAGCACCGCAGAATACGTCAACTGCCTCAGAATACTTTCCGCCTTCATCTCCTCGGTTAACTCGTCCGCTGCCGCTCGGACCTCCTCTCGGCTCCCGAGCTTCCCCCACTCGGAGCTGATCTTTGTATCCATCTGCTCAAAACAGGTGGCCAAGATCGGGGGGACAAAGTGCTCCCGTAACTCCATCGGGCAATTGTCGACCAGAAACCTCACCAATGTCAACAGGTTAATGACCTGGTGAGAAGAAAGGTAGACCGCGTCAGCAAATAAAGCATTTGCCAACGGCCCAGGGAGCTCCATAAACCCGTAGAACTGCATGTCCAGCCGAGTCATACAATATATGATGGCGTAGCAGGTCTCGCGCACAAACCGAACAGTCCCACGGATCGTTGACGCAAGCCCTTCGAGAGTATTCTTCTTCCCTAGCACTCTGGCATAAAAGTCGTCCTTACTGCCTTCCGAAATGCCCGCCTGCCAAAATCGGTCAGACAGTAAGCGGCCCACCACCGGTTTCGTTTCTGTCGGTAACAAGTTCCAGTTGTCGGGATTATGCGACGCGTGCGCGTAGCTGAATGAGTGTTAGCATCCGGCCCAAAGCAAAGTCTTTGGGATCATGTAGCCTAATTACCTCAAGAATTTGAGAAGCTCAGGTAAGATGAGTTGGAATCCGTCTTGCCAGAGGGTGCAAGATGCCTGATAAGGTGGCGAGCCCTTTTCTATCCTCTCAACGGAGTACGTCAAGAACGACTTGGTAACTCTGAGCGGGAGAGCCTGGAAGCGCGTTAGCTATGGTTCCGTGTGGATGTGGACCATGAGATCCTCCACCTACCGATTGCCTTTGCTCCAGCTCTGCTTGAAGAGCTAGCCCTTCCTCGTCGAGGTCTGCAGAGCCCCAGTCACGATTCTCATGAATGCGGCGCCGCACTACATATTCCTGCACCTTGTCGAGACCTAATAGCTCGCAGAACCCGCTGTAGGATCCAAGGGCTTGTTTTAGTGACTCGTCTTTCCATTGGTTCTTGACGGGCTCAATAAACGCGGTAAGTTTGGAGAGCCGCAGGGCTGGATCGATACGTGTGGCTCGGTGACTACAGCTGGTTAATACCTCACTCAAGCCCAAGCTTAGTAGCTCATTCGTGACCGTAGAGTGACCTACATGATAATAAAGAGGAAGCTTTGGTAAGCAACCTGGCGCTTCTCGTCTAGAGTACCCGAAGCGATCATCTCTTGGACCTTTGCCTCAAGTTGATCATACACGTCCTGTTGATGGGTCAGTTCCATATGGCGCTGGGCGGAAGGCGAGCGGGACAGGAGTGCGACTCACAAGAAGGGGATCCGGCATCTTAGATGCGAGCCGTTGTAGCTCGACCATGCTTTCAGTTTGGAGATCACGAATGGCGTCGTTGAAAACCTTGTGTTCGGGCTGTAAAGCCGGCCATGTCATCAAGATATGCTCGAGCACTCTGAGCATGATATTGGGCTTTGAGTCCAGCGCCCGTGTTGAGAAGGTTACGAGAAGCTGAAGAATTCGCTTGCGGATAAGGGGGTCCTAGGTCGCGGTAAGCAGCTTGACGATAAGCCGGGGGGGAGGGGGGGCACGGTTTTACCTCGAACGTCATCTCTAGAAGGTCGCCACACCACTTCTCAAAATACTCCTCGACAGATGCCGCTTGTTGCTTCTGTGACATGGTAAGAATCTGCAGTTCATGATCCATCCCCCCCGGATAACTCACCTCCTCCGCAGTCCGGCTGCGGGATGTCCTCCATTTGTCATAGCCTTTGAGGCCAGCCTCAATCACGGTTGCATGAGCGTCGACGGTAAGCACAGGTGGAGAAGTCTTGGAGTAGTTGGCAGCTATAAATCACATCACCTTAGCGTTTTGGAGTCAAATCAGGGGTTGTCAGCTTTTCAAGACTCACGGTTCAGTGGGGGTTGTCCATCATAAAGAGTATTGAAGGCACGCTCCGCCCGACCCAAGATATGCGAGAACGCATCGGACATCTTGAGGTGGACAATGCTCTCGATAACAGAGCAGCAATACCGCCGGTAATTTCCAAGAAAGGCGTGTCTCTCTGGAATTGTGTCTGTATCCTCCACAAGTAGGACGTAAACAGGGTCCTCAGTGTCCTCGGGGAAACTCTCGTACCGAATCAAGCGGGCGCAGCATAACTCCAGGAGGTTGACGATGAATGGCATCTCCGCGGCCGCGGGTCCAAGTGACCGGTGAGAAAGAAGGCGTGTCCAGGTAAGCAGCACGGGGATCGAAACGACGAGGCTCTGGCTCTGCACTACCAACATTAAAAGCTCTAGGAAACGCTGGATGTTGGTTTGGGGCGGTATAGCGCCAAATTTACGGTCCAAATAGTTTCCTAGGGAACAGAGAGTCTAACAGGGTTAATAACACACTCAGAGAGACTAGAAAGTTAAGCGTTACTGACCTCGGAGAACTTCTTGGCAAACTGGTACTTGTCATCGTCAATGTCCTGGGCGTCTACCGCCGACCATTCGAACAATCGCCGGAAGAGGTCGACCATAACATCGCTGTACATGGGTACAACGAGGTCAACAAATTCTTCCTCAGCAAAGCTCGACCGGTTGTAGAGAGTGTGTAAGGCTTCGAGAGCAGCCTGCACCTTAGTAGTTAGTACGGCTGTCCCAAGATGCATATAGAGAGAGAGATTGTGGATAGGGGAGGAAATCGAACCTTCTGCAGGGATACATTCGGAGTCGCGAGACAGTTGCACATTACTGGGCGACAACCAACGGCGGTTAATGCTTTAGGAATGGCCCAAGATACCACCGAATTGAGGACATTAAGTGCTTTGATAGCGCACGCCCTAACATCTTCATTGTGCTCCACGCTGCCGAGACATTCGGTGATGAGCTGTGTTATCCTATTGAGCCACCCGTCCCCTTCGCACCGCACATCTGGGCCGGCCTGACGGTTGGGGAAAGCGTCCGACAGAATTGAGGCCGGTGTGAAGATCTCCACGCATGCTTTGCTCAACGCCCCTTCCCGGAGGGCAACCACCGCATCGTCTCCGTTGAAGATCTCGTCAGAGAGCGTCTCAAGTATTTGGAGGACGAGTTGCTTGTGTACAGGGGAATCGGACCCTCGCCAGATGCGAACCAACAAGTAGTCCATGTCCATCCAGCTAGACACCCACGCACGCTTGGCTACTTCCACCCACAGCTGGGCAACTTTATTCCGGAGGTACGGGGGGTCTTCGGCGGAGACAGTCTCAGCTAGCTGCAGTACCCACGAGCGGAGGTATTCCTGGTGCTCGGGGCTATATTCCTCCCAGTTTTGCTTCACTGAATGTTCGAGTAGCGACAGGCCATAGTGGCGAACGATGGGCTCTTGCGGCCTGTTGAAGGCGAGCGTGAAGCCGTGCGAAGGCGCCTCGGCGAGTGATTTGACGTCTTCAAGAAAGGATTGGGCCTCTTGCCGGGCTTGGTTGGGCGAGTAAGGGCTGTGGACGACTTTGAGGGCCTCGTGGATCTTGGAGACGACCTCTTGACCGCCATCGCCGGGAGCGGCTGCCCCAGCGGCCCCGTTGAATGACATGGTCGTCATGCGATTCGAGATGTCACGCCGCACAGGCTGCTGGAGTCGCCAAAAAAAATGTGTCGGCCGGCTTATTTACGGAGATTCGAAGCTGCCCCGTAGCAGCAGAGAGTTCAGTTGTGAATCATACGATCGTGTGGAATCGAAGGCGAGCGGGACGGGGTGCGAGGCGCAAGGTAAGAATCGGTGTGGGCTGTCGAGGTCTGCAAATGGATGGGGCCGGTGAAGCAAGTGTGAAGAAAGCCTAAACAACTTGGTTTGGTAGGAGAAGGTTTCGACCCGAAATACCCCAAACAAAATTGCCTAGAACCAGCGACTCCGGTTTGAGGTGTGCAGTTCTTGAGTGTATTTAGCGTCAGCCAGTTGTCATGGCCCGTCCGTTGTCTGTTGTCAGTCTTGTCGTCAAGCGGCGGAACTTTGGTAGGTAATTAAAATCCCCACCAAGCGCTCCCTCTGATGCACACCCATTTCAGGCGCGCTCAGGCGCGAAGTGCCCTAGGTCTGCTTATGGCTTAGCGCGGGGCAGCTTCTCCCTAGCTCCGCTGTACAGATTCTTCAAAGAAGGCGGTTAGGCAAGTTTATTGCGTCACACCTCGGCGGAGAGTTAACCGAAACCAAAGTCAATAAAGCGGGAAGCTTTTAGGGCGATATCAAAGGTATTCCGGCAGCGATTTGATACGCTTTTCTCGCCAGCATCATACGTCGTAACCTCTACATCTCAGCTTCCCACAAGCATAACAGCTTGTCGTAGAAGCTCGTTGATACAATCGTCAGCTTTTCCTTTACCCCATCACGGTGAAAATCACTACCATAATTCATGCTCTTGTGTTCCTCAAATCGAGTTAGCACATTGAAGCCACATTCCTGGCTACCGGGAAGTTTCACGAGTTCCACGACCCGAGCGCCGGCGTGCATGCAAGAAGCCAGTATCCTCGCTCGCCAGACGTAACTCTCGTTGGGGCTGGTGTCCAACTCAATCAAATTCAGCCTCCAGACGCCGCCACCGAGTCTGCTCTCGGCGAGATTCTTGGGTCGCCCAAACGGTGGGACTTGTAACAACCGGATGTGCTCATCATAGCTACCGGTGACCACAAGCTCATGGCCATCCTCCTGCATGAAAAGTGGCAGTATGGCGGTGACCCCAGCATCATGCCCTCTCCACTCGGACGCCGGGAGAGGCTGGGTGAAGCCTTCTCCATCCCAAGCAGATGTCTGGGAGCGCAGCATAGAGTCGTCGCCCCCGGAGTACACTCTGAAGGAGAACTCATCTGTTTCTTCCTTTGTTGGCACGGTGGGCGCTTGAGAGATCACAGTACACCATGCCTCCAGCGAGTGTGCGATGACAGGGTTTGGGTCAAGCTCCCAGGGCCCGTCAAAGGTAAGTAGCCGCAGGAGATAAACATGCCCGGTCGATGTGGTAACAGCCATGATCCCTTGCCGTGACGGATGCCAGCCAAAGGAAGTGAACAGAATCTCCTCTCCCGACGCTGGTCTAATCTCACCATGAGACATCGTGGTAATGTCCATTGTTCGCAAATGCTTTAACGCTTGGCTTTGGTCGGGTAATACCTGGAACAAAGCAACAGTGGCGGTGCTGGAGACAACCGCACAAATGTCGCGCTGGCCATCATGGGGGCTAAACCGGAGGTCTAGCAGTGCCGACGGCTGGGCCACTGTTTGAATACAGTTTCTACATCCTTGTGTTAGTACTGTCTCGTGGTTAAGGGAAATGGCTTTCATACAAATTTCCATCCGTGAGCTGGAACACAACGATGCTACCACTACGACTCTGCGGTTGTTTACCGCTGTCCTCATTCTCCGTCCCAGGACTATCTGCCTGAAGCGAGTATGTCCCAACCAAAAAGTAGGAGGGGAAGGCAGGACAAAATTCCACACAGCTGGGTGGGAGGTCCAAGATCAGGGAAACTCGTGATTGTACCAGCTTCCCCTCGCTCTCCATGGCTTCGATTTCTCAACGATGACCCTCTTTATGATGCTGGTGGTTGTTTGAACGCCAGGGTGGGAAATACAGTGACAATTGGGTCAAGCGGGTCGGTTTCAACATGTGGTTGTGAGCTCCTGCCCCAGTCTCTAAGAAAAGGTGTCCGAATTTGCTTTTTCTCACGTCTTTGATCCGCCTTTCAATTTGGTCCAATCCCCACTATTCCTCTCCCAGCAACCATCGGAACCATCACAACACTGCGCTCAGTCTCACAAAGGTCACAAAAAGGCTTGAAAAGAAGAAGGAAATATCCTGTTCTATTCGTTTAATGAAGAATAAGAGTGCTGTTTACCCGTAAAAAATACATGTTTATTTTACCGTCCTAGATTTTCTTCCCGCTCCAGATGATCTGAGACTGACGAACTTGGATCTACAACGCTGCGTTTGCAGAGGACGAAGTACACGACTCCAAACCGAAATATAACCAAAATGGATTCTGATTCCGACTTTTACGGTAAGGCTCTTCTTTTTTTCTTAGCACCTTTAGAAAAGGGAACATAATTTCTCACACACACTAGGTGATGAAGAAACCGTCTCGGCCCTTAAGGATCGGGTAAACGACTTCGATGTCGTCGGCTGGTGGCATCGGCAAAACAACATGACGGATAATTATCCCAAACCAAGCATCAAGCGCGAACAGCAAACCCAGCAAACTATCAGTGCCCCCGTCAACAACACCCGCATCAAACCCCTATACGACCCTCATCAAGGTGCCCCAGGAGCCCGCCGACCTTCCGAAACCATCCCGGACTTCCTCTCCCGCCTCCCGCCCTCCACAAGCGACTGGGAACCCGGCTTTGATTGGATCTGGATCGCGAATCCATATCACCCGCCACCCGAACTCGAACCAGCCCTAGCCCAGTTTCGACATGCCGCCGAGGAACGACTCGGACTCTTTGCCGAGTTCGAGAAGATGGCCACGCTTACGGCTGGACGCGATACAGGCGTTACAGTCAAAGCGCTAGCGGCGCTCCGGCAGGACGTAGCCAAGGAGCGACGGGAAACGGTTAGCGACCTCCGTGAGCTTGCCGATGCGTGCAATGTAGTCACGGGGAAATGGATGCTGTTTCCACCTCCCGGGGAAGTGGACGCGGTGTGGGCCTGCGTAGCGGCCGCAACGGCGGAGGGGGAACTCGGCACAGCAGCTAAGGTAGAGACGAGATCACGGGCGGATAAAGAGCGATTGGTGTGTGTGTACACGAAGGATTGCCGGGAGAAGGAGGATGTGGCGAGGGTGTTGATTCAGATGAGGGAGTTGGGGTTGGTGAAGCCAGGTGGGAAGCAGATTTACTATAAGTCTGGTGAGTTGTCTGCCGTTTTATTTAGTTCCTTTGTGATAAGGCCAGGGTCTAGTGGCTTACCCCCATTTAGATGCTTGGACGGAGCTTGGGATATACGGCGGCAACAAATGGGGGATTGGAGCGTCGATGGTAAGTTTTAGGAAGGCTCCCCGTTTCCCACCCTCCCCTATTTAGCTAACAACAGGAACAGTATTCGTCCAATGAGATATTCGGGTATACTAAGTTAGTCGTCTCTCGCCGCGCGTGATGACTGCGACTGGGCAGTAAGTTCCGGAAATTGAATGCATATTCGCTGTCAACGTACTACTTAGACTATAATGATACCCCTACAGCACGACCTTCATGGTCAGCTGTATCGCTTGTAAACGGGAAGCTGTCGGCCGCCGAGTCTAGCCAAATCGCTGTTGTGTCTATCACACATCCGGACCCTTTTGGTTCGGACCGAATCAAGTCGGTGACCTCAAAACACCAATAGATACAGACGCGGCGGGTATCGCTGTCCCTTGATCCATCGTAACCGACCTTGACCCCCTGCCCAATCTTCTCACTTGCTGCCTTCCAATAAAGGAGCGAAGAACCGGATACCGAGCCGCTCAGAGTGTTGAGCTCGTCATCAAGTAAGCGAGGGGCCGATTATTTAACGGCGCCGGGGTTTCCTTTTGTTCAGGAAAGACAATCGGAGGACAATTCTCAGCACAAGACTGAGCATGCCGAATATCATAACCACAACGATGAAAACCAGACGCGCTATGGTCATCCGTGGGCTCCCCCTGAGTGGCGAGAAAAGACGCCTCTCGTGCTATTTCAAGGCAGGGTCCTCCTCCCCATCTGGGGCCGGGCTCGTAGGGGAATCGATGGCAACTGGCCTGAGAAGCAATACCAAGCGGTATGCACTGTTTCCATTAAGGTAATATCGATGCAGCTTCTTAGACCGTATAAAACCGAGGCGCTCGTACAGTCGCATGGCAGGCGTGTTGGTCTCTTCCGTCTCAAGGACGATCTCGTCGGCGTTGCGCTCAGCCATCGCATCGATGGCCATTTTCACGAGGGTTGTTGCCACGCCGTGGCCTCGATAACTAGATGATACGGCCAACATGGCGATGTAGCCACGTAGGGTCGGAGTAGAGTGAGAGGAATGTCTTTCAAGCTTGCATATTACTACCCCGATGAGGGAATCATCGATGGGATTGAGAGCCTAACCAAATGGGACTAGTTAAACCAAGTTACGAAGCAGAAAGAAAGAACTGGGCTGGGCGGGACGGACCATGTAACAGAGGTGGCCCCATTGGTAAAGAAAGTACCGATAAACATAGATGCTGTATGGCTCGCTCAAGTCCTTGGATATGAGTGCCCGGATAGCGGGAAGGTATTTTGGTTCTAACGAGTGCTGGTATTGCATGTACCGCAGCTCGCCGGGGAGCTCACCCTTCGTGGTTGCTATGCTCCCCTTTTCGTCCTGGACGGTCTTGGTCATTAACATGGTTCCAGTTCCGAAAATCCAGGCCGATATCCGGATTAGTTGAAATGGACCGGGTTCCGAGGTGTAGGTGATAATACTGCTGCGTCTGGTGACGGTCAACCTAGAATAGTGCCGCGAGAGTTAATGCTGAGGTGGGGTGTTTGCGGGTTGATCGAGAGCTAACGTTAGGCGACCAGTGGAACTGCAAAGACGGATGTTGTTGAGCTTTCACATGCAAACAATAACAGGCCGTTGATTGGTTGACTTGAGGAAATAGTGGGTGGGCGGCACATGTTTCTTGCAGGGGCAGCTGCACGCCCACTGTGATGCTTCGCTTCTGCAGCTCCAGGTCAGGAAGGGAAAGTGTACATAGTAGTCTTAGGTCTGTAAATCACAGAACTGCTCTGGCGAGTCTGGTTACCTCAGTGCAACAACTGGTGTGAAAGGGGGAGACAAAAACGCCTCTAAATGCACATCAATCCGTTGATACAACAGCTTTCCAACTGAGTTAGGTTAAGACCGTGTTCGGTGAATTGGTTTCGTCCTGGCTGGCGGGGCACAGACGTCACCAATAACTAATCCCTGCAGATACGGCATGGGGGACCCAGGCCGATTGCGGGTGTCTGTCTGATCCTCAAAACCAACGTCGGCAAAGCCGGCCGAGGGTTTTTTGGACATGCATGCTTTTCGCCAAACACCCGCGACGGACATCGAATCACCTCTTCATATGCCAATTTGGAAGCGTGGTTAGGATAACACATGTGGTGAGCTCGCACCCGGTTTGCGGCTGCTCATTGCAGCCAGACGCACCGGCGACCATTGCTTCACCACCTCCACTTTCCGTTAGAAGCACGAGAAAATACGGTTCCGCTATACCTAGAATTCCCGATCCGACACACTACCACGCTATTTAAGCCTTCCCCATGGCGAGTACTCTACGGCGCCGGTTACCCGGCATCGACAACCCCTCGGAGACTCCCACACCACAAGACGAGAGTTCCGACGAAGACGGGAACCCGGGTGCCAAACCCAAGGATGTCAAGGCTGTCCACGTTCACCGGCCGAAAACACGAAAGCGCAGGAATACAGCCATTTTCTTGCTTGGTAGTTTGTTCGGTATCATCGCCGCGGGCTTCTTCGCCAAGAGCAATGACTTGATTGGCTTCCCCGAACTGGGGGACCTGACCATGGACAGTTTCCTTGATGTTCTTCCGGCTGGGTTGGTGAAGGATATGCGGGAACTCATTGTACGTTCTACCCTAGGAGTTGGTTTAGACTTTACCTGCGGCGGTTATATTGACTTGTACCCTCTAGATTGGAGAGCGCGATTTCCTCGAAAGTTACGACGCATTTTCGGTCGGTCTCAAAGTGCGCTCTGAGGGCATGGAAGTCGACCACCCGATGATTATGGTACCCGGTGTTATTTCTACTGGCCTCGAATCTTGGGGCACTTCGAACCTTTCACTTCCGTACTTCCGAAAACGACTATGGGGTAGTTGGAGCATGATGCGAGCCCTGGTGCTGGACAAAGAGACTTGGAAGGCGCACATCATGTTGGATAAGGAGACGGGCCTGGATCCGCCCGGGATAAAATTGCGCGCCGCACAAGGGTTCGATGCCACCGATTTCTTCATCACAGGTTACTGGATTTGGAACAAGATTGTCGAAAACTTAGCTTCCCTCGGTTACGACCCGGTCAACTCTTACACGGCAGCCTATGATTGGCGATTGGCATATCAAAACTTGGAAAAGCGTGATCATTATTTTACGAGGTTGAAGGCACAGATCGAAATGGCTGTAGTCCTTCAAGGGAAGAAGATCGTTCTCACCTCTCACAGTATGGGCAGCCAGGTCACCTTTTACTTCTTCCACTGGGTGGCTTCGAAAAACGGGGGCCGGGGAGGAGACGATTGGGTGGAAAAACACATTGAGGCATGGATCAATGTTAGCGGATGCATGCTGGGAGCGCTCAAGGATGTTTCGGCCCTGCTCTCGGGCGAGATGCGCGACACGGCGCAGTTAAACGCCTTCGCTGTCTACGGGCTCGAGAAATTTTTGAGCAAATCTGAACGAGCTGAGATTTTCCGCGCCATGCCAGGAATCTCCTCCATGCTGCCGATGGGGGGCACTGCGATCTGGGGTGACCTCGACGGTGCTCCGGATGACCAACCCGGCCAAGAGCAAACGTTCGGCTCATTCCTCAATTTTCGACGCGACCAAAATTTTACGGTTCCTAACCGGAATTTTACGGTGGATGCAGCCATTGAGTACCTTCTCGAGACCTCAGAACCCTGGTACAGGGACCAGGTTCTTGACAATTACTCTTGGGGCGTCGCGGAAACAACAGCTGAGGTTGAGGCCAACGAGGCGGACCACAGGAAATGGGTCAATCCGCTGGAAACTCGGCTCCCACTCGCACCCAATTTGAAAATCTACTGCTTCTACGGAGTGGGCAAGCCGACGGAACGAGCATACTACTACCGATCCCCCGAACTCAGCGCTCTCACAAACTTGAACATGACGATCGATACTGGCCTGACGCACGGCGAGGTGGACCACGGCGTCGTTATGGGTGAGGGAGACGGCACGGTGAACCTTATGAGTACGGGCTACATGTGCAACACCGGGTGGAAGATGAAGCGGTACAATCCAGCGGGTGTCAAGGTAACCGTGGTCGAGATGCCGCATGAGCCTGAGCGGTTCAACCCGCGGGGCGGCCCTAACACAGCTGATCATGTGGATATCTTGGGCAGACAGAATCTGAACGAGTTTATCCTCAAGATCGCGGCTGGTAGGGGCCACACGATCCAAGACAGCATCGTCAGCAACATACTCCAGTATGCGTCCAAGGCGAAGGTGTACGAAGAAGGCGAGAGATGAATAATGTATGATGAACATAGTTAATAACTACATGCCATAAGGGGGCAGGGCGTTTGTATTGAAGGGTTGGTTACACTTGATAGACTTTAGTGATGGAACAGCTTGGATTGGGGTGCTGATGGATGGCGGAAGGGTGTCGGTCTGTTTATAGGTAGTCGAGATTTCGCCGAGCTCCCTTTTTGATACCCATTAACTGTTCCAATTCTACGCCTGAACAAGATGCCCTATTTTTAGGCGTGTGCTGGTACGAGAAATTAATGCTAAGGGTGGTGGTTCAAGAAAATGGTACATCCCTCGACGTCATTTCATAGTGCTTCCAGGCATTGATTGGCCCGTGCACACAAACTGCTGCGTTTTACCACTACAGGGGGAGGGTGGAGGGCGGTGCCAGGAAGCGCTTCATCGCCAGCAGCCCAGGCGATTCCGACAACACAACCTGGAACATAACCGCATACCGATCGGCCGACCATACATGCACGGACTCGGGCAGCTATTTCCTGTGGGTTACGGCGATTGACCACACCCCGACGGCCGACGCAGTCCTGGCAATTTTCCCAGTCAACAACAACATAATCAGCGACACCCTCCCTGTGCTCGCCGTGCTCCATCCCGACGCTCGTGATGCCCGCGACTCGGCAACAGCCCCCTGTACCGGCGCCGTTGTTGGGTTGAAGAAAACATGTCCGACTCCGACGGCTCCTGGTCCGCCGAGAATGAGGAACAGTTCTGGGAAGGTGAGTGCGCCTTTAGCTCCTAGGATTGCAGTGGCATCGAATAAATAAGTGCGCTAATAACCTTCGTCCACAGCGCTAAACACAACACTGTCCTCCACCTGCGCCACACCAGAGCAACTCGACGAAGCCTTACGATCATGGCTCGATTTAGTCTCCAATGCCCGGGACAAATATCTCGACAGCGAAGACGACGTCGCCCGTTGCTCAGAAATGCTCCTCGCCAGCCCCATCTTCGAAAGCAATAGCAATTACGTTCGCACCCAGCTTATCTACAGTCTTCTACAAGAGGAAGAATATGCCCAGCTTCATGTGTACGCCAATTTTCTGCTTCTTGCGGGCCGCACTGAGGAGGATACCTTCCGAACCATGATTGAGGAAGGCTGCTTTGTTCGGCTTCTTGAGCTGATCAAGGGTTGCGGGGCGACAGACGCGCGACTGCATCGACTACTCTTGCAGCTGATGTACGAGATGTCTCGCATTGAACACCTACGCCCCGAGGATCTGTTGCAGGTTGATGACGGGTTCGTCATGTATCTGTTCCGGCTCATTGAGTCTTTGTCTGACGACGCCAACGACCCTTGCCACTACATGGTGATCCGTGTCTTGGTAAGCTTTTTTAGCCGTGTCTACTGTCAGGGATGTTTTCTAACGAGCCGTGATAGTTGGTCTTAAACGAGCAGTATATGGTGGCTTCGACTGCAGCAGCGGTGAACCCCGGCTCTCCCACCGTGCCCGTGACGAATCGAGTGGTCAAAACTCTGAGTGTTCATGGGCCATCGTTTCGCACCTTTGGTGAGAACATTATACTCTTATTGAACCGGGAGACAGAGACATCACAGCAGTTACTCATCTTGAAGCTGCTCTATCTTCTGTGCACCACGGCCGCGACTTACGAATACTTTTATCTGAACGACCTTCGCGTTCTTTTGGATGTCATCATTCGCAATTTACTGGACTTGCCCTATGAGGCGAACACATTACGACACACGTACTTGAGGGTCTTAGCCCCACTTCTCTCACATACACAACTGAGCCAACCTCCTCACTATAAAAGAGACCAGATCCTTACCCTCATGGACATTCTTAGGGGAACAGGAAACACCCATTTTATGCCCCCAGAGGCGACCACATTACGCCTACTCGAGAGAGTCGCAGCTACTTCTTGGTTGGTCGATGACGAGGCGGAATCGCCTGTTTTAAACCATGTAGGGACACTTGCGCCTTCGGAAACCGGCAGCTCCGTGAGCGTTATCGCGAACGTGATGGCGAAACCGGGTCTCCAGACGCCGAGTCGGAAGTTGGGAGTAGAACCCGACCCGGATGCGTCGACCCCCCCCTCTGAGGGCAACCCGAGCCGGCCAAAACCACCACCACCGAGGATTCTTAGGACGAAAATGTCCCTGCCCGAAGTACCGAAACACCGCCATGGAGTGCCGATTGTTCATACACCTCCTACCCCCGAGGTTCTGGCGAGTAGTACCGTCGCACAGAGAAAACTGCCCCCGAAACTTCCACCACCTAGGAGGAAAGCGAAGCTTTTGGGTGCAGCGGGTGATGCCCGGGTCTCAAACGATTCGTTGCCGGCAACGAACCCAGAAACCCCAGTCTCATGAAGAAATATGAGAGCTTCGAATTCTCCGGAGTTGGTAAGCGATGTTGATTGCATTGCGAGTGTCTTTATGGTTTAGCCACCGAGCGGATTGGTGTGACCATCCAATGCTCTCCTATTGTTTAATCTTATTTGGTGGTAAGGGTAGGCAGGTGAGGGGATGTTCACGGATCATGGGCGGACTCGGAAGACAATACGGGGGGCTTGGGACGATAAGAGTTGGTTCGAGAGCAAAGAACGCAGGAGATTCGTACGATCTACGAACAATTATCATGACAAGGCGTTTGCGTGGGGTTATGTGTTATAAACCGAAGAGGGGTTCAGGCAGTGTAAACTTTCTCTCCAGTTCGTTGTTTCAACGCCGCTTGGCACTAGAGGCTCAGCAACCTGTATGGTGTAAGTCTGTTTCCGTTTATCTATCTCGTGACCCCTAGGATGCACAGCTTTTATGGTGTTGTCCCACAGCAGTGAAGAGGCCCACAGCAGCACCGCAGACTCTGGTACCGATTCGTCGCAGCGTGAGCGGGACCCACTTTGCACCAAGCATCCCGCGACGGTGCCGCACCCGAAAGACCAAAATTTTGGACACTACACGAGCACTAGCGATTCAACCCCATCACCGACGCCCATATCTAGCCAGCGACCTTCTTAACACTCGAAGCGACGTATACAACCGCCCGGCGGTTGGGAAACTCTGACGACCTTTTCGATTGGCCCCATATTCCTTCTCAAAAAGACACAACTTCGGTTCTAGGCCGCAGAAAGGCGGTTCGAGCGGGTTTCCCTTCCGCCACCCCGAGGAAGGTCAAAACTAAAAAGAGGTCGCCCACCATGGAACCAGCAGCCAAGGCGGCCGCCGGGACGGCGCAAAGGGTGTTCAAAGAAATTCATGGTGTTGTGGTATCTGCGGGCAAAATGGACAGGACCGTCAAGGTGCGGGTTGCTGGGAGGAGGTGGAATTCGTTTATTAAGAAGGTCCGTTGTCTTGGTTCCGGTTGCTTTGATATTGGTTGCGTCAGGCTGCTCCAGCCTTCTCCTTGTGCAATCTACAATTTCTGTCCCCGTCAAAGATAAGAATGGAAGAAAAGAATCTAACACTACCCCTCACCTCAGCACTTCGACGACCCGAAAACCCACCTCGTCCACGACCCCAACAACTCCCTTCGCCTAGGCGACATCGTTGCCATTACCCCCGGCTGGCGCACCTCACAAAGTAAGCGCCACGTTATCAAACACATTATCGCCCCCGGTTCCGGCGTGCCCATCGAAGACCGACCCGAGATCCCGACCGAGCTGGAGCGCACGGCGAAGCGCGAGACCGAGCGCGCCCTGAAGGACACTCGGCGCATGGTGCGGCAGCTGGAAGCGCGCGTTGACCAGCGCTTGGCTGCGACGGGGAAGTTGGTCAAGAAGACGGAGCATGCAATGCGGTTGGGTGCGGGGATTTTGGGGGTAGCGTGGCCGGGGTTAGTGAAAGGTTTAGCGAAAGAACAGCAGCAGGCGACGGCAAGCGGGGATGCGGGGCCGGAGGGAGCGGCGAAGGTGCCACAGTGAGAGTTGTGAAGGGTGGCTGCCGATTCGTGACCAGAGACGAGAACGCGAGGAAACACGGCAAAAGGAGGGGATGATGGGCGCTGGTCCTTCACTCTTCCCTTCCTCAGCACCGCCTTCCCCGGTGGGATGAAGATCCAGACCAGGGTCACGGATTGTTGTGTATGACTTGAAATGGAGAGATGAATGGGGATATGAATGGGGATACTCCTTTCTGTATATGTATGAACAAAAAGGCACATAGTATGCGTACAAGGCATTCGGGGGGTATGTAAAATAGACCGGTATTACTGTCAAATAACATGAGACATGATCAGGTGGCGGAAAGAAATAAATTATAAGCCAAGTTTCGGTTTCACGAATTTCTCCGCCTTAATGAGTGCAAATCTATTGCCCAAGGCCTCGAGTATTTGCTCTCCGAACTCGCTGGCTATCATGATGTCCATATACCTACTATAAGTGAGCCCAGGCTGCCGCTAAAATAAACAAGATTGGCTCCGGTGATGCGAAACTGTGCACGAAGGCCTCCTATCCACCCCTTTCCCCAAACTCCCTAGCCCAATCCTCATACTCCTTGAGCCCAGTTTTGCTAACACTAGGCCTGATAGTCGATAGGCTTGCCACAAAATCTGATAGTTCAATTGGCCGTATCTCATCCATCGCCATATGCAGTAGTGCCTCACCCAACGACCGCAGCGGGCCCATGGCTGCGTCTTTCGCCAGAGCCGTAATATCGGAACCAGAGAAACCTATAATTTGATGGTTAGACGGGGTCATTAAACAAGTGCGATATGAGGGGGGACGAGAGGACTCACCATCAGTCATGTTGACAAGGGAATCTATGTCAGAATCACTCAGATTATGTTTCTGCTGTTTGAGCAGCGTTCTCAGCTGCACCGCTCTGGTTTCCGCCTCAGGTAGCGGGATGTACTGGCGCCTCACAAATCGTCTCCGAGCAGCTTCGTCAATCGCCCAAGGTAGATTTGTCGCAGCCAGAACAAGTACCCTATTTGCGTCACCACGTTCCCGGTCTTTGTCTCCAGCTTCGCGTCCAGCCGCGGCTCGCTGTAGGTCGCTCCATTGGATTAGAAATTCGGTCTTGATACGGCGTGTTGCCTCGTGCTCGCCTGTGCCGGACCGTTGCGACAGTAGCGAGTCGATCTCATCGACGAATATGATGCTCGGCGCGAACGTCTTCGCCAGTGCGAATAGCGCACGGACTAGCTTCTCGGACTCGCCCAGATATTTACTGGTGAGACTGCTAGCTGAGATGGAAAAGAAAGTCGACTTCGATTCGGTAGCTACCGCGCGCGCAAGCATCGTCTTTCCTGTCCCTGGTGGGCCAAAGAGAAGCATGCCCCGGGCAGGTTCACGTAGGCCCATGAAGAGGTCGGGGCGGAGGAAGGGGTACACGACGGTCTCGCGGAGGGCGTTCTTGGCAATCTCGAGGCCGGCAACGTCGTTCCAGTGAACTTCATCGCCCTGGACGATAATCTCGTTGAGGATTTGCTTCGCAGCATGTTGGTCGACGCCTGGGGGGAGTTTTTTGAGCACTTCGGCTTTTCGTTTCTTCCATGTTTTTGCTTCCTTGGCTTGTTTGTCTTCCTCAGAGGTATCTGAAAGCATGGCAAACGAGTCCGCAACGAGGGGCGTTTCTCTTTGGCGCCCGGTGCCAGCCTTACTCCGTGAACTCTTGACCGGGGTTTCGAAGGAGGAAGACAGATCAGAAGTAGACGGAGAGGTAGCTAGTCCTGGTCGGCTCCCTGTATTCCTGCTCGCTATTCGCCTTGTGTTGAGACTATGCCCGGATGGGGCACGAGCAGTTTTGACATTGTGTCCGGAATTCGGTTTAGACGCCGATAGTGGGGAATCGGCTGGAACGTCTGACGATATTCTCCTACTTAAGGACAATCCTTTTGACGCATCTGACGAGATCGAGTCGGCATCCGAAAGACCCCTTAATCTCCTTGCTTTTGGTGTCGAGGGAGGGGCGGCCCTCTGTCGAGGAACTCTTTCTTGCGTCGGAGAGTCTTTCCCTACGCTATCCCTCAGGGCAAGTGAGTTTAGGGCGCTAGAGGCTGCGCTTATAGAGATAGGAGAGGGACGAGAGGAGGGAGAAAAGCTGTCAGCTTGTCGCAAGTCTGGCAACTCAGCGCTCGCCCTCCTATCCGTGGGTTTTACTGGGCTCCGGGTTCGTGGGGTGGTCAGCCTCCTCGAATTACCGTCCCATGTCTTGTACAGAGATTCCGAGCTATGCCTCGGTTTCTCGGACGAAGTTCGTGTGTTTAAGGGTGGGCGAGATGGCTCTTGACCATCTGCGGGGCCTTGTTCCCCCATCTCCCGTTGTGAGCCCAGCAAGCCCCACGCCAATGTCGCGGCCTTGGTTGCCCCAGGTCCGTCCACCGGCTTTTGGCTCTGCCGCCGCAAGGACGTCTTGGTAAGCTTCTCTCCAAGCCGGCTGGAACGTAGTGTCGTCCGCATTGTATGTCTTTCTGGGCTAGACGGTCGCGACACTTTCCTTTCCGGTGAACGCTGGCTCGGAGTGGATCCAGGAGCCTTTCTTGACGGCGAAAGGGTTGGGATCTCGCCGCTTATCCGTTTCCTCTCTTCAGATGGGGTTTTTGAAAAAGGAGAACCGGAATGGGCAGATCTTCGTCGGAGCAGGCCGGGCCGCGCGAGCTCGGTGTATGTGACAGCCGGGATCGTCCCATCCCCTATCCAACCCTGATCTTGCTGCATTTCTTTCCCTACTGCAGCAGCGGAGCGTGCCTCGGAAGGTAGTGGGTTCTTCTGGCCTTGCACGGGAGGCTGCCCATCCTCTACGGTCTCTTGGCGTGACAAACGAAGGGCTTCCAGCAGGTCGATCCGTTCTTTGCATTGAAATTCAAGCTGTCGGATGCTATCAACTAGTGCCTTTTCCGTCTCTGTGCGCGGTGTAAAGTTCGGGAGGACTCGATTCGCATTGTGGTCGTAGATCTGCTCAAGGGCCTGTCTCCAGCACCGCATGGCCTCATTTTCGTTCCCCTGTCAGTTGCTGGTAAGCAACCGTATCTCTGGCAGTGAGGCAAGCAAGGCTATAATATTGTACGCACCTTACTCTCGTAGTAGACGGCAGTGGAGCACGTCAGGTAGCTCTCATCGTATGTCTTCTGTAGGACGGACGCGGCACTCGCAGTTCTGTTGCCGAACATGATGGTCCGCGGGAGTGCTGGACATTCCGGGCGTGGTTTTCAGGCGGCTGCTCAGCGGACAGAATCTGAGAACGGGTCAATCAAATGCAAATGGATTAGCGTCCGATACAGATCTGCCCGGGCGCAAAACTACCGAGTAGAGGCAGGTGATGGAGATCGTGATGCGTGTTCGATGTGGATGCTTAGCTCACATGTAAGGTACCTGTGTATTATGAAAGAATACAATACACAATACACCGCATTGAGACGACCTTGATGGATTTGGGAGTTGTGCTAACGTTAACATCGAATGCGGGGCTGCGAAGTCGCTCCCAGTTAGTGGCGTCACATGCCCACTACAGCTTCACAGAGCAGCTGTCAGCCCCGCAGCCAAGAAAGTTTCGGTACCTCCTGAGTGGTATCGGTACCTCCCCACCTCCCTCAAACAGCCCCCGAAGCTCTCAAGTTGCAGTAACCAGATATATCGCTCTCCCGACCTCGATAACGTGGACTTCAGCTCCGGTGGTATACGGTCATTCCGGAACCAATTATACTCATATCTTCGCATGGGTTTGTCACCAAGGCTCGTCTCTTGAAAGAAGGTGTATTCCGTACGAAAATGGCGATCGCGATGATTGCAGTACACCAAGTTCAAACTTTATGACAACAACACCCGAATCTCACCTGATGTCCGAGGGAATAGGGCCCGCAAGCTCTGAAAATCCACGGAGTCGCCGTGCTCTTGTTCTGCCATTTCATCCGCAAGAATAAGCGTCTCCTCCACGTGTTCAAAATCGACGCAAAACCTCTCGGCCGCCTCCTGAATGACGTCCTGTACTAGCCTCGAATCCTGGAGATTCTTCAGCCTTTCAACCGCGTCCATCTGAGCTGACGGAAGGAAGTCGTCGAGTGTCTGGCTGGCTTGGGAGAGTGCCTCGGGTTTGACTGCATCCAACATCGCGACTTTCTTGATTTCTTCCTCGCCCTCGCCGATGGGCCCAAGCTGTGCGATCAAACCATCCAAGCCAGAAGAGGCGCGAAAGAACTGGTACTGCACCTCAGCTAAGCGTACCCTCTGCTCGTCGACCTGCATCTGTAGGTTGGCCACACGGCGCTGTGTGAAATCGAATGGGGAGAGGCTCCTCTGGGCGGCCAGGGAGCAGTTGATGAGGAATATCGAGTCGGATGGGGCACGGAGCGACTTGGCCATGTTGGCGGCCCCCGAAATAAACGGATCAAAGGCTTCCGCCATGACCGGTTCAAATTCATCTTCCCTGTCGCTCGAGGATGTGAACGACGTTTCGTACGTCTTCATGATAGCTGTCAGCTGCTCCAAGGCATCCGAAAAGAATCCAGGCGGTCGCAGGTCGGGGGGCGTGTGCTGGAAGTCCCCTTGAATCGTTGCAACGTGGTCTCGGGCGAGTGAGCGGAACTGGCGTAACGCCTCTGACTCTAACGCACCGAGTGTCTCGACAAGAGCAGACCCCGAGCTTAGAAGCCGCGAGAAGGTACTCTTGTAAAAGTTGAGTAAGTTGGCAAGTTTGTAGGCCAAGATTGTCTCCTCGTTGGTCTGGATGACTTGCTCGACACGCTGACGAAGCAGCCTTGCGGCCCCCGACATGTCGCGGTCAACCAACTCGTTCAGAGTCTTGACGGCGTCAAATCCATCCGAGTCTTGACCATCTTCGGCGATCAGCCTCCAAATCTCGTTGTGCCTACCAGCCTGGAAACCCTTGGCAATCTCGTCCCCTTCACCGATAAACAGGCCTTCCAACGCTTCTCGCTCGCCAACTGCCGCGGAGTGTGTCCAGGCGAGCATGTCGCCCACGTACCTCAACGTATCATGTGCTACAAGTTCAATAGGCTTGACAGACCGTTCTTCTGTCCCGGAGGGCAATCTTCCCGTCAGTGCCGTGTAGAAAGCGTTGGATAACACATGCTCCCTTGCTTCCGCGAAGAATTCTAGGCAACTCTGGAATAGACTAGGCCGCTCAGCCAACACGCGAAGCGCGTGGCGAATAGGCGATCCGATCTGCGGGTTTTCCAGGTTGAGGGTCTTAAACTCCTTTTGTACCCATTTGAAGAGCTTTTGAAACCCCTGGTTGAGGTACTTGGACGTCTGTTCCATGATCTCCAAGCCCAGAGTCTGATTCTCGAAGCCAAGCAGAATCTCGCAGTCTTTGCTGATCTTCTTGGCCTTGGAAAGAGTAACAAAAAACAGGTCGTCGACCGGCTCCGAGGTCAGCGTCAAGCCGGCAACCTCGTCCTCGGAGAGCACAAAGTGGGCATTGAACGCATTGAGAAGAGCTTGTTTCTGCTCGACCTGGCGGCGCTGCTCCATCAACCGGGATGCCTCCTCCAATGCTGGCGAAACCGTCTTCTGGGCTGAACCTATCTGAGACTTCATCTCATTGAAGCTCTCATTCAATCTACCAATAGTCGCACCGATGCGCCGGAGTTGCTAGCCACCCGTCAGCCCTGCGCATTGAAACTTAATATGAAGACACACCGGCACTTAGCGTCCGAAACGTTTCTATCATACCTCAGCGACTTTGGCAAATTCGTCAATGATCTCGCCATTGCTGTCGATAACCTCCTTTTGGAGGTCCAAACGAAGGTGGCGCCTGGTCTCTGCTGTGTTCCAGACCCTCCTCTTGTCAAGCAGCGTAAGCGCTTCCCTGAATTCTGCATCTGTGTATGACGAGGACAGTACCGCCGTGACTTTCGATGAAAAGGGGGTAGGAGCTTTCGGCACCAAGGACGGCGATGCCGCCGCACTCTGTGGCGAGAGAGGGCCCGATGCCATCTTGGTGCCGGCAGTATTCAATTCAGGGGCGGGTCAATGAGGCGAAACAGGTAAGACCATTCTTTCGGTGCTCCCTTAGTTTCCAAAGGTCGGGTTTTGATGCGTGTGTTCACGGATTGTGTATGGTCAAGTGCGGCCCAAATACTTGGTACGAAACAACCTGGAAAGCAATTTTACTTAGCCTGGTATTTTACAGCCCCGAGGACCTCAATGTCGAGCAATATCAAGACAGAAAATCAATGAAAGCCACATAGTAGTTGCTAGACTGCACGTTTCAACTAAAGCACCCGCAAAACTCCTTATGCACCTAGTTACAGTACCTGTGCGACGAGATCTCTCGGTTATCTAGCTAAGGTGTCTCTCCTGCTGTAATCGAGGGTTTTCCATAACATAACTACTATGTATGTACGAACGATTACAGTCCAAAGGTTAGGTTGCAGGCGGGGCAGCCTAAAGGTCCGACGGGAGGGATGGAAGTCTTGGCAAGGGACCATGCTTCGGCGCACGACACACCGCCTGCCAAAAGAGAGATAGAGTGGGTCTTCTCGACCCAGGCGCTCGTCATTCTGTCGCAGTCAGCTGCCGAAGCACCGTGATCCCATGGCGGCCAATACCAAACGAACGCCGCCAGCACCTCGAGACAAATGCAACTCGCCCACAAGAAGCTGCCTGCCCGATGGCAGTACCCATCGACATAATCATCCGCGCAAATTCATGAGACGCCTAGCCCCTCCCCCAACAAGCATCTCTTCTACCAACACTGGGAGAGCCCACCAAACCACGACCGTTCACATCCTCAGGCGACAAACAGTTCATTCACTCATTCCAGCCTGGGGAACTCCGGGCCCAGAAACCAACCCTCCTCGGAATTCTTCCCTAGCTCGACCGATGTCGTCCAACATCACAACCCGATTCACACCCTAACGTGACGACGCGATGACCAGTGTTTTTTCGAAGTTTGCCCCGACGACCCACGGCCGGTCGTTCTACCAAGAGCTACGACGCCGCGGCGATGATGTCGAAGACCAAGCCGGACTCTTAGACGAAGAAAACCTAAGTCATGATTTTCACGAATATGACTTGGAACATGCCGAAGGTCTAGGGGTAGAAGAGAGCCGCACTATCTCGGGTGGTGCGGTTGGCCCTACGTCTAGGAGTCGCAGCGGCCAGGATCGAGAGCACCGGCATCCGCGCGCATCTCAGGAGGAAGATGAAGACAACGATGTGCCAGCCTCGCTCTTAGTAGAAGCCCACGAAGTAGATATGGAGCCCTTGCCAGGGCAGCAGAAGAAAATGGCCGGAAGGCAATCCGGCGCTATCCCCGGACCGTCGCACGCTGGCGCACAGTGGGAAACCGCCCAGAATCAACAAAGGTTGCATGATGATGGAGCGTTTGGACCGTCTCGGCCCGCTAGTGGCGGTGTTGGGGGCTTGCCGAGCTCTCTGTTCACCGGGATGGTATCGGGTAACGCCAAAAAGAAGGCTGAATGGAGGTGGGCTAACGTCTCAAATCTCGACAACTTCATCAAGGACGTCTATGACTACTACCTGGGAAACGGAATGGGCTGCATATTGGTAGAACGGGCCCTGCATCTCGTGTAAGTGACCAAACCCGGCAACCGAGGAGATACCAACGAAAGGCTAACGCACTTTAATATAGCAACGTTGCCTTTATCGCCTTCTATTTGACCTTCCTTTCCCAGTGTGTCAACTACGGCAAATTCAAGGGCAGCAAGTCCCTTTCCGAGGTTCTCGTCCCGCAATGCACGAAGCACATGTCGGCTTGGTGGAATCTCGGCCTGTGGATGTTTGCCTTTTACTTCATATGGAAATCGATTCAATATCTTTTAGATCTCAGGCGCTTACGCAACATCCGCGATTTTTACATCCATCTCCTTGACATACCAGACGAGGACATGCAGACCATTACGTGGCAGGAAGTCGTCGCCCGTATAATGGCGCTTAGGGACCACAACCCCAAGACGGCCACCACGTTATCCGCAGCACAGCGGCAGTGGCTCGGGAGCCAGTCGAAGGAGAGGCTTGACGCGTCGGACATTGCGAACCGGTTGATGAGGCGGGAAAACTATATGATTGCCATGTTCAACAAGGATATCCTGGACCTGAGGGTTCCCGTCCCCTTCCTACGAAACCGACAGCTCCTTACGCGAACGATGGAGTGGCTTCTTATGTTCAACATTCTCGACTTTGTCTTCGACGACAGAGGCCAAGTCAACCAGGAGTTCATCCGCTCCGAGCGTCGGGCCGAACTCAGTACCAAGCTTCGCGAGAGGTTCCGCTTCACGGGAGCCGTGGTTCTCATCCTCTCCCCGTTTTTAGTCACCTATCTTGTGGTCGTTTATTTCCTAATGTACTTCCACGTATGTAAAATCATGATCCTACTCCGACAGCGCCCATGTTCGCTAACAAGATCTGATAGGAATTCCACAAGAACCCATCTGCTCTAGCGTCGCGTATTTATACGCCGATAGCGGAGTGGAAGTTTCGCGAGTTCAATGAGCTGCCCCATCTCTTCCGCAAAAGACTCGGGATGTCTTATCCATTTGCTAGCCACTATTTGGACCAGTTTCCCAAAGCAAAAACCGAGATGGTGGCCTGGACTGTGGCCTTCATTTCCGGATCCCTTGCATCGGTGCTCGCCCTCGCCTCGATTATCGATTCGGAGTCGTTTGTGCACTTCGAAATCACACCAGACCGGACTGTCCTCTTCTACGGTGCCATTCTGACGGCCATCTGGGCCGCAGCGCGAGGCAGCACCTCGGAAGAGCAGTCCGTGTTTGACCCCGAGTTTGCCATGCGCAACGTTATCCAATACACGCACCACGAGCCGGACCACTGGAAGGATAGGCTTCATAGCTCCGACGTCAAGACCGAGTTCTCGGCGCTTTACCAGCCCAAGGCCGTCGTCTTTGTGGAAGAGATTCTGAGCATCATAGCTATCCCTTTCATCCTATGGGGGAACCTCTCACACTCGAGCGACCACATCATCGACTTCTTCCGAGAGTTCACCATCCACGTTGACGGGCTTGGATACGTCTGCACTTTTGCGGAGTTTGATTTTAAGAAGGGCATTGGAAAAGGCAATGAAGGTGGTGGGGCCGGAGATATCAGGGATGACTACTACTCGACAAAGCACGGGAAGATGGAGGCGTCTTACTACGGTTTCATGGGGAATTATGCGAATTTTGCCCTCAACCCCCGGACGGGCACTGCATCAACGATGCCACCGGGAGCACGCAATCAATTCCGCCCACCTCCAGCTTGGCCGAGTTTGAACTCTCCGCCACCGCCCATGATGGACCTTCAAGCATCCAACCTAGGTCGTGAACGAGGAATGCGGGGCATGTCAACAAAAGATTCCCGGTCTGGGCCGGCCATATCCCAATCATCGCCCATGGCATCTATTCTACTCGATCCACACCATCATCCACCAAACACTAGTCACACGAACAGAAGTATACACACCCCCCGCCGACCACGCAGCAGCCGCCAGGGTGTCATTGAGGAGGCGTTAGAAAATAGCGACGAGGCCAGCAACGTAGGAGGATGGCGGCCCGGAGACGAAGAAGCATACGAAAGTGGCGGAGCTCTTGAGGAGTCGGCATGGCAGACATCGCCAGCTAGGACACTCAGCAGAGAAAACAGTGCGGCAGATGCCCGACGACCACCAGATGCCGGTGTGGTCCATATGATCCGCCAGTTCAACCAGGCACAATTAAATCGGCGACCAGGCGGGGTGCGATAAGGATAAGGGGGTTAGGAATAAGGCACACCCTGCAACAGGATACCATGGCACCATTGTGGTCAAAGTTTACTGTGAAAGTATGAGCCTTCCTAGTATAATGGGTTTGTTTTGGTTTGCAGGAGGCCACTCTCAACTTTTTGAGAGGAGGAAAGGCACCTTTGGGATCCTTTGCTAGACGGATAATTGTTAAACAAACTATCAAATGCTACTAATAAAGCGGCCCGTGTGGGTGCACTGCTGTTGCCAATATTTGGGGATGCACACATCAAATATGCGTGTCCACGACGCCCAAGACTCTGCGGCAAACTAACAAGAACATGCCTGTGCCTGTGTACGAATACCAAAAATGCCCTTCTAAAATTCCCAAGACCAGGGCGACGTGGATGCGGACGTGGCTACTCTATTCTCAGCCCCCCTCGCTGACGAAGAGACCGGGTGTGTCGGAAATCCATCAGATAAGCCCGAGCTCGGCCAGCGGCCCAGTCCAGTTGACCCCGGAGAAAGACATTTTGGGTTGGCCTCCTCGGCCTTTTCGGGCCCAGCGGAGCTCCCGCCTCGGATCTGATAAGAAACCAAGCAATCTCTGCAGGGATGTTTTACCGAGGGCTCCATAACCTGACATGCGTGCAAGCTGGAGGTCTGGAGGTCCCCTCTTGGACGCGTTTCTCCGGGCCACTCCTCTCGCAGCACTTCCCCCACAGCGTGAAAGAAGAGTGCCATTGATTCAGCCCCGCGCTGCGGGGCACAAGGTCCATTGCTTCCAATTCAGGCCTCGCCACCCCTGATTTGCTCATGGGATTCCGTTCAGATATTCGACCCGAAGCGGGCCCGGTTTTTTCCCTTGGCAAAAGTACTGAAGAGCCGACAACGGTCATCAAAAATTTTGGAGTTCCGCTTTCGTCCATCTTCATGAATCTTTGAACCACATTATCCTCCACCTGCCGAGTAGCCTCACCAAGTAGTCGCGCCGTTTTCAACCGAGGCGACGAAGTAATTACCTCGATCGATTTCGAATCCCGGAACATTTTTCGTGGCCCCCCAACTGTGCGCTTCTCGGTTAGCCAGCACAGTTTTGCGGGCGAAAAGTGCGGGCCCTGAACTGAGGTGGTTTTTGGCGGTTTGTGGTGACACCCACACGTCGCTCTAAGAGGAAGAACTCCCATCTCTCCGGCATTGCGTCACAGTACCATCCTGTCCGCCATCGCAGCACAGCGCAGAAAAAAACTATCGACGGACCCTTCAACCACCACCTTTATCTTTTCCCCACCACAATATTTCCGTCTTCACCCTGGCTCTCGACGTGGGCGCGCCGGGAGCCGTGGCTTCCCCAATGGCTCAGCCAAATGCCGAGCCCGTGGAGGACTACGAGTGCGTTGCCACCATTCTCTCACCATCACCACTACCACCACCGCTAATTCCGCCTGGCGAAACGATTATTCTCGTCAGAAGTCGTAGTTCGGTCACCAGCGTTGGGGAAAAGGGAGACTAACATGGAGTCTATTTGTCTAGTTATGAATCGCTCCCACCCAACTTCTCGTTGCTGCAGAACATGACGGCAGGTGCTTTTGCTGGTATCGCCGAACACTGCGCAAGTGAGCTCTCCCCACCATCACTGAGTTTTGTTTCTCCTCCTTCTGACACTAGGATGTAAATAGTGTACCCGATTGATGCGATCAAGGTGAGCAAACAGTGCTCTCTCCCGATATTAACATTACTGGCCAAACCGCCCGAGACGGGGAGATAACTGATCGTTCTTCTTGTGATGCGCAGACTCGCATGCAGCTCATCCACCCCGCCTCCTCGAATGTCGGGACTGGTGTGATCCAGGCTACATACCGGATGGCAAGCACGGAAGGCGTTCTCAGCTTATGGCGCGGCATGTCGAGTGTGGTCGTTGGAGCGGGTGAGTGTCTTTCGGCATATCTGTGGACGAGACTACTGACCGGAAGGTCGGAAACTGACAATGTCGGTCGGCTGTGACCACGTTAGGCCCTGCACACGCCGTATACTTCGCGACGTACGAGGCTGTTAAGCATGTGATGGGCGGAAACCGAGCCGGCGTTCACCACCCGCTGGCCGCGGCGACGAGCGGCGCATGCGCGACGATTGCGAGTGATGCGCTGATGAACCCGTTTGACGGTATGCAGTCTACCAAATGGCTTACTCCTTGGTTAGTGTTACTAACCTGTGCCGGGTAGTCATCAAGCAAAGAATGCAGATCCAGAACTCCGCGAAAATGTACCGCTCTATGCTCGATTGCGCCAAATATGTATACAACAAGGAAGGGATTGCGGCCTTCTACGTCTCCTACCCGACAACCCTTTCGATGACCGTCCCCTTTACCGCTCTGCAGTTCCTCGCGTACGAATCCATTTCCACTTCGATGAACCCGGCGAAGAAGTACGACCCCGTGACACACTGCCTGGCGGGTGCTGTGGCGGGTGGGTTTGCTGCAGCCCTCACGACACCCATGGATGTTATCAAGACGATGCTCCAAACACGGGGCAGCGCCACAGACGCCGAGCTTAGAACGGTCAATGGGTTTGTGGCCGGCTGCAGGCTACTATATCAGAGGGAGGGCGTGCGTGGTTTCTTCAAGGGTGTGCGGCCGCGGGTGTTGACCACCATGCCAAGCACAGCAATTTGCTGGTCTGCCTACGAGGCGTCAAAGTGGGTGTTTCGAGAATTACACGTCAAGTGCGGGGCTGTGTATGCTAACATGTTTACGTCCAGGGCCTACTTCATCCACCAGAACACGAAAGCCATATAACACTTTCCTACGCCACAACGACTTAGTTCATCCCAGGATCTGCGCACCACCTCAATCATAAAATTCGTCACTTTTCTATCATGGAGTCATCTAATCGGAAAGGTTCCGTTGATCTCGAGGCGAGGTTCAAGGTTGGCCATGTACCGAAATGAAAGGATGCAAAATAGAAGAAGGTCCAGGCGCAAGGGCGACGATATCAGGAGCTTGGTGGCCCAATTTCTAGGTTTTCACGCCGCCAGCCAGGGAAAAGGGTACGAGGGGGTGGGGGAGGGTGATCAGAGCCTAGATCGCCTATGTGCTGTGAATTGAGGCACAGTGTACATATTTCCATATCGCGTTTTTTCGTCCTACAGAGAGGAGGGGTTTGAGATTTCACCGGGGGATAGGGTTAAGCGGGAGGGTGCGGGAGGGTCTGGCGTTCTGCGGACGACAAACAAAAAGCAAACCGCATTTATGGACTTGAATCGGCGACGTGTGTTTTGTCGCTCTCATTTTCGCCGTTATCTTGGAGATATCTTTGTCTTGCAGGTTTACCTCACCACCAACTGGTGTAGCGGAATGTTCCCCTTTCTCTCGCCCACCGTTTGAATTATCTCGGCCTTGCCCCAACACTAAACATCCCACGTTAGCCCCCATGTCCCGATGAGAGAGATGTCTCACTCAGGCCCTCTGACGGTATAGGAGGGCGCTTGGCGGTAGAGTCGGATCCGAGGTTCCTCCAAGCTGTCGAGCCGCGTGGACCTTGAGGGCAGGGCCTGGAAATACAGGGCTTGTTGACTGGTGATGAAAACGCGCATACCTACACAGCAAATGTGTGGGGGCTGGTTGTCACCCCGCGGGATTAGGTGAGATCAACCCTTTCTTGGCTTGCTCGCATGCTTCGCCCAAGACCGCAGGAACTGGATGAGCTCCGCCCCAAGTCTTCACCTCTCGACTGCTGCAATAATTTACCTTAAATGGATTCCGAATAGAAGGATTTGCACCTGCAGCGCACATGCTGAATCCGCCCCCTCCACTTCGTGCTTGAGACTGATACTAGACACACTATTGCCGTTGTTGTTGATAATGCAGACATACAATTACAGAATCTGGCTTGATGGCGGATTATGCACTCTCCTTCCCTTCTTCACCGCGGAAAAGCAAAAAAACAACGCTTTCTCGAGGGACATGCTCCTTGTTTGCCCATTCCTCATACGTAAACACCCGAACTCCTCCACAATGTATGGGGGGGAAGCAAATACAAAATCGAATAGTAGTCTAGCCAAGGTATTATCCGAACGGGAACCCAGAGCCCCGGAAATTGAACTGGAATTGTTGTCCTCCACCACCGCCCTGCTGGAACATAAAGGGATGTCCACCGCCTCCAAAGGGGTTCCCGTGGTTGTATTGCGGTTGCTCATGCGAATTCGGATCGTCGCCGCGATCGAAACGCGCGCGCAACTCTGGGTCACTAAGCACCTCATACGCCTCGTTGATAGACGCCATCTTTTTCTCAGCCTCCTCCTTGGTAAGTCCTTGTTTGGCAGCCTTGTCTGGGTGATGCACCTTGGACAATCTACGGTAGGCCGCCTTGATCTGACGCTCGTCGGCGTCATGTGCAACCCCGAGGACTTTGTAGTAGTCCTTATTCTTGCTACGTTTGAGCGCGACCTGCGCCTTTTGCATGAGTGGGTTAATGGTGTCATCCTTCCCCGGGTGTGCTTCGGCCGCCTTGCGAAGTGTGTTAATGCTGGCCTCGAATTCTTCGGCGTCAAGGAGGTGCTTGGAGCGGTAGAGCAGGCCGTAGAAGGAGTTTTCGTCATGCTGAAGGGATTCCTCGCAGTATTCCTTGGCTTTCTTGCTATTTGACTGTTCCAGCGCATTAGAGACACTATATTGTCCAACGATAGGGCAAATTGGGTTAGGCTTACCTCGTAATAGGCTTGACAAGCCATCTCTACAAGCCTCGAAGTCAAAGCCTCTCCAGCAGCCTTTGGAATAACGCCGGCACCCCTCAATTCTTGTACTTGTTCCTTGACCTCCTTGACCAGCCCATCACCATCAGATGATGGTACCAAATGACGCGCGGCCGTCATGTACTGGCTCTTTTCAAGGGCCTTGATGATCTTTTGAATTGTCTTTTCCACTTGCTTCTCAACCTTCAACATCCGCTTGCATTCCTTCGAGTCGGGGTCGGAATGTAGGCATTTCCGGATGGACGCCATGCCATCTTCCCGCTCGCCCAGCGAGTAGAATTGAATAGCGGAGATCTTGACGTGGGGTGCAGTGTCGCCTGGCTTCATCTGCAAGATGTGCTGGAGGTCGCCGATACCCCTTTCCATCGCGCCGCGCTCGAATGCGCACGATGCGCGCAGTTCCCGAAGCGACAGCGCGCGGCTCGCCGTCAAGATGGCATCGTCGGCTTGCTTTATACATTCCTCCCAGTTCTCCGACTGAGCTGCTGCCTCGGCGAGGACGGCCGCACCCTTAGCCTCCTCAAGGGCCGCGAGCTCCTCCACCTTCCGCGCATGTTCGTAGTGTTCCTTTGCCGTATCCCAATCGCCAAAGCGAGCCTTCAGCCTACCCAACTGGATGTGTGCACCCTCAAATCCGGGCTTGAGCTGCAGCACCTTTTGGAAGTCGTCGGTCGCTTGCGAGGTGCGCCCTAGCGAAAGGTAGGTGGTCGCACGCTTGAAGAAGGTAAGGTAGTTGGTGGGGTCCCTCGCAATGGCAGCGTCGTAGTAGACGAGGGCATCGCCAGTTTCTCCTTTGGAAAGGTGAGTCTGCGCGGAAGCGAGGAGGCGAGAAACTGGGGTATCGGCGGGAATATCGGAGGCGGAAAGACACGCCACTAACGAAGGCGTGGTAAGAATGCTAGCAGCAAGTGCGAGCGTTGACAGACGGACCAGCATGATGAAACTAGCCTCCAAGGCGCTGACGGGCGTTGTGGTTGCAGATGACCGGGGATATCACGACAGCGAACCAGTGTGTTGTTGATTGCGATTGCGCCGTCGAGGATTACGCCGGGAAACCCCCAGGCTAGAAGAAAGGTACTTGTCTAAGCGAGAATGTTGTCGAATGTTAGAGCGAATGAATAGGCAGTGTTCGTTGCCAGGGCGCCAGAAAAAAGAAGAGACGCGACGTTTGAATTGTCCACGCTGTACTTTTGACTTTCTTCAAAGCAATCTGGCCACTGCTGTTTTTGGCAGCGGTTCAAGAGGCCACTAACACACGTTCGCGCCACAAACCACAGTGCATATTACGGTGTGTCTGCTATTTTCGCACGAACACTTCTCTGCCGCTGTGGGGCCCCAGTCCACTCTGCAGATGTGGGGCGATCAACCGGCAAAAAGTTCTGGCCGAAAATTTATTACTGCATTTTCGAAGTCTCTTTTGAAGTCTTCAATTGTACGCCAAACGAAACCGCTACACATCGCCAATTCGCACCCTCAATCCAGCGATACAGCCCGGCCCTCGAGCATCCGAACTCAACCGTATACTCCGGCAGAAACCAGGTCACAATGTCGTTTCGAGGCGCCCCTCGGGGCCGCGGTGGTGGTGGTTTTGGTGGTAGTCGTGGAGGTCAGTAGACATTTGGCAATTGATCCGCCGGAGTGCCAGATAAAAAAAAAGAATATGTGTTTCAGTTGACTGACAACGTAACACAGGGCGCGGCAGCTTCCAGCAGCGTGATATGGGGCCACCGGCCACCGTCCTCGAGATGGGCAAGTTCATCCACGCCTGCGAAGGCGAGATGGTTATCGAGTCAACCAACCCTAAAGTGCCCCATTTCAACGCGCCAATCTATCTCGAGAACAAGGTAAATTTTGCCCAATTAGCCATCCTTGCTTGCGCTATTTTTAAATCTGCCAATGCCATCGTCCTTCGTATGTTAACACCATCCGCCCCTTACAGACCGCAGTCGGCAAAGTCGACGAAGTGCTCGGTCCTATAAACCAAGTGTACTTCACCATCAAGCCTTCCGAGGGCATCCAAGCGACTTCGTTCAAGTACGGCGACAAGTTCTTCATCGCTGGCGAGAAACTCCTCCCCCTCGAGCGCTTCCTTCCCAAGCCTAAGCCGCCCCCGGGCACCGTCAGCAAGGTCAAGAAGCCAAGTCGCGGCGGCGCGGGTGGTGGTCGTGGGCGCGGTGGCCCTGGCGGAGGTCTCTCGCGTGGTGGTGGTCGCGGAGGCGGCCGGGGCGGGTTTGGCGGGGGAAGGGGTGGTGGTGGCTTCGGTGGTGGTGGTTTTGGTGGTGGTCGCGGGGGTGCGCCGCGGGGTGGTCGGGGCGGAGGTGGTTTCTCTCGGGGCGGTGGTCGCGGTGGTGGTGGTCGGGGCCGGTTCTAAGGGGTACCTTATGGCGCCAACTGTGGGCTTTGTTTTTTCTCACCCCTCGGGGTTGGGTGTGAGCTTTGTATCACCACCACGGACGAGCCACTGCGTTCTGCCGGGCGAGTTGTCGGCCAAATCGACAGGGCAGGGAAACGTCAGGTTGGGGATGTTGACATGAGGGCTCGGGCTTGGACCGGGTACACAGGCGTTAACGGGTGAGGCTTCTGGATGTCTTTTCTCCTTTGCTCCTTTTTTCTACCTGTATTTAAAGGGAATGGTGGGCCAGATATGTACCCTACATCTCACGGCCAAATTTGATTTGAACCAGACTCAGTCACGCCCGTCCAAGCCTGTCGTAAATGCAAAACTAACCGGCGGCTGGTATAAATTCAGCGTGCTCGCCAAAGGGTATATACAGGCTGCATATATATTGGTTTCTCCTGTGCTAGCTAACTCATCGAAAATTTCAAGATCCACCGTAACCGTAACCCCTTCACAAACGCCGGTTACGTCCCCGCATTTGATCCCCGGGGAAACTGTCCCGGGATATGCAAGTTTGAAATCGTCTGAATGCTATCAGTGCGCACCGTAGTCCCAGGTCTTGGGGCCGGCTCAGCCCCCGTTGTGCCATCGCCATCGCTACTAGCTGCCGCCCAAGACGCCCGAACCGTTTCTCCATCGCATGACATTCGAGACCCCGTGGAGTTTGACTTGGTCACCCCGTTTGGTGTTTGAGTTCCGTGCGAGGCGTACAGGTCACTGCCTGTCTCGTACCGACCCGCTGACGAGAGCTGTTGGGCCTGCAGACTCGATACGGGTATAGGTTCTGCCCACGTTGGCACATCGTTCTGTTGTGGCAATTGCTGCTGGGGCGTTACTGCCCCGGCCAGCTTCGTCGACACTGACCGATTGACCAGGCCTAGTTCGTCCGAGCCCCGCCGCTGAGATGCAGTGGTCGCAGCTACGCCGGGCAGTTGCACAGGACCACCACCAGAACCGTCCACAGGAGCAGTGCTCTGAATGCTATCCTCGTTAGATGCCCATTGTCCAAGATCATTGTTAGTAGGCGCGACAGCAGCGACAGGGTAATGTTGGTTGTAACTTTCGCAGTATCCGGAGCTCGCGCTCATGGGCGACACGGGTGCGTGGAGCCCTCGTTGCGCATTCACCTGGAGATCAGACGGGAAACGGCCACCGGAAGGGCGCCGAGTCAAACTGTCTTGTCTCGCATGTTGGTTAACTGACGCCACATTGGCCGTGAATGGAGGCTCCTCCTCATCATCAACACCGTCGCTGCTAACTGACGACCGTTGAGACGACCGGCTGATGCTCCGGCTGTTGGCACGGACAAGGTTGTTCCGCTCTTCTGGCGTCCGCTCCGTCACAGCCTTGATGTCGTCGTACCAGGCCATCATAGTATCGTGACTCTCGGCCCTAAACACCCATTTGTGGCCGCGGTGCATGGATCCAGTTTGCCGTCCCTTAAGGATAAACTTGTTCGATGAGCTACCGTCGGCCGAATGCGAGCCTAGTTTCTGCTCAACAAGGTAGAGCGACATGAGGGGTGCTTGTGTCTTGTCTGCCGATTTGTACTCGTGGAGGTGAGTGGGTGACAAAACATACCTAGCCATGGTATTAGTATCACAGTATGTTCATATCAATTTCCCAGATAAAAAGAATGGCGGGAGAAGGAGGGTCACTCACCAACCGGGTGTGTAGCTCTTCAGATATTTGCTCTTGCGCTCAAGAAGCCCGGCTCGTATTTCCTGGCAGGCATAATGATCGCGACCAGGGTAATGGATAGACTGCGCCAGCCTCATGGGGAGTTCAGGGTTCACAAAGCGCTCGTCCCTTTGGATAAACGAGGACCACTCATGGTCCTTCGGCATGGAGACCGGGCCGGCACGCAACTCCTCGATGGTGCCATAAGCAGCATCTGCCTCCCGCTTTAGGATCCCTGCGTAGGCGCTGTATGCCTTTTGGATCTCACCAACCACAATTGACTCGAGCTCCTTCCCAGAGCTTTCCAGATTAAGGTAAGCCTAGATATGTGTTAGAATTACGGCTATCCAAACAGAACATGTGTTGTAATGGAGCATGCGCATACCTGGTGCAAATAGTTCTCCTCGTCAATCTGCCTCTCTAGTTGGCGATCCACAGCAAGCCTGAGAAGGTACGGGTCCTGTTTGCCAACGGTCAGGGAAGGATCGAGCTCGCTCTGCCCGAGAGCCTCTTGGAGTTGGTTGACGGCCTTGCGAGTACCGTCCATCTCCTTGTCGACCGAGTTTTTGAAGTCCCCTGACAAATTTTTGATCTCCTTGATCTTTTGCTGAAGATCACTACGAAGCCCCGTGAGGGCAAGAATCACGTCCTCCTCAATCTCCTTTGCCTTGCTCGCCTCAGTAATGGCCTGCTTGTTGTAACCCCTCAGGATCTGTAGGGCATCGTCGAGGCCGCCAGAAGCAAGGAAGCTCGGAGGGGTTGCGGTATTGTTGAGCACATTGGCGAGCTTGACCAGCGATTTTGCACGGTGCTCGTAGTGTGTCTGGATTTCCCTGAAATAGGCAATGAGGTCCTTGAGGGTCTTGCGCCAAGCTGTTCACAAGAGGAGAGGTTAACCGCCCATAATCACAGCAAGGGAGAGGTGGTGTTGGTGGGGACAAAAGAGTGACAAACCCTGAAACCGGTTCGCGAGAGCCTCAGTCGGGTTCGCAGTAGTGGGGACGGGGCAATAGAATGCACTATGCATCCCGTCCTCGTCGGTGGTCGGCTGCAGAGCCAGGCTGCGTACACTCCCGGCCTTCATGCTCCGACGGCTTCCGCTCCGCTTGAGACTCGCGCTCCTTCGAACTGACGCCTTTTTCCTAAGTGTGTTGCCGCGGGAGAGCGCGGCCCCATCCACCGCACCACCACTCGTTGTATTCCCAGAGTAGGAGACAGACCGCTGCATAGCGCCGGGACCAGGGCTGTCAAGGATGGAACTGCCGCGCTGGCTCGCCTCCCACTCCTCGGTAAATTTGGTCGGAGGCATCGAAGCCGGGCCTAAATGGCTTCCGTAGTCGGCTTGCGTATCAGCGGTGGTATTAACGTCGGCGGGGTTTGGGTGGTGGGTTGGCTGGGAGTGTTGTGTCGGAAAGTAGCCCGCTGAATCGTACCCGTTGGGCCGGGGGGTGGCCCTGGGGGTCGACATCGCTGGGGAGGTACGCAAAGTGCGCGGCTGTGGTCTGGGCAATCGCCCACGCCCGCTCGCCTTGCTGTTGGACCGCTGCGGGATGTTAGCGCGGGTGACATCCGACGACGCTCTCTTTCTCTCTCCCCCCGTACCTCGTACACCGTCCCGTCGCGGCACGTTGACAGACCAGTAGGGGGTGTGCTGTAACACCGGCAAGGACAGTTTGTTCGTCCGCCGTTGCGGGGCCGAGCTCGTGATCGTGGCGCTACCTGGCTGTTGGCCGTTGGCTTTCGAGATTTGCGTCAATTTGGCGGGACGATATTCAGTGAAAGAGGGAATCAGGAACCCTGGACAGGGAAGTCAAGGCAAAGCGGTGCGGTGATGTCGTTGTTGGCTGCCGAGGACCACTCCCTGCTTGGCAAATTGTCTGTTTCCGGTAATCGACCGGGGGGCTTCGTGCTACTGAACCGATTGGGAAACTTGGGGTGTTGATCGCCAGCCCCGCTGGGGAACTGGGTTTATCACATGGTTATTTGTATCAATGATTGAATTTCTGTCATCCCAACACTGGCAAACCCATGGGAATTTCAAGGCCGTAGACTTTGGGTTAAGGGCGGTAACAACCAAATGCTGCTGCTTGAGTGACACCGGAGAGCTTCAAAGGGATGAACCGTGAGGGCCGCGCATCAAGGTACCTAGGTACATGTCGATTACCAAGGAGCTGCCGTGGTATTATTCCACGAGAGATGACGTATACCGTAACCCCTCTGATCCCCTTGCCCCCCTCTTCCTCACAGCCACAACCTCCCGTCGCCAATGGGCTTGCCTGGGCGTGCTCAAAATGAAGAACTACTACACTAGGTACTATGTACGTTTGGCGGTCACCGCAGTCTTTAACCGTAAGAAACATCCACTCTGAGGCTCTCAGGCTGTGGTGGCCGATCGGGTGATCCTCAGCCACGTCTGCTTATGGTATGGGATAGGGAATACAATGTAGAAACATAACAAACCACATATTAACTATGCAGCATGTGATGCGATGCAGGTGGGGCGGTTGTTGCAGTCATCTAGAGACAGAAGAAACGGGGAAGAAGGCTCTAAGTCATTTAAAACGTACACAAAAAAGCAGCAATATCGTCCAGACAAGCAACTATGAGTCTCTATTTACAAGGCGCCCCGTAAGAAAACTAGCAATATAAAACATAAAACAATTAGTAGTGATAGAAAAGCCACTCTCCCCGCCCTACCAAGATCGTTGCGTAGCACGAATCCAGCGTCTTACACCTTTCATCTTACAGGCCCTCAACTCCAACGCGGAGTCTCTCATGCAATGAACCGCCGCCGGCGAGAGAGACGAGCAAGACGGTCCGTTTGCCGTTTTCCCCTCCCTTTACCCCTTCCGCCCCCGGCCTGCGGTGTCTCCGTGGGCTCTGCGGCCCCTCCTCCATTTCCGCCATCTCCTGTCCCATCATCACCATTTCCACCATTACCCTTCCCCTTACCCTTTCCACCACCATTCCCTCCGCCATTCCCGCCTCCACCATTGCCTCCTCCACCGTTCCCACCACCGTTTCCACCATCATTCCCTCCTGCAGCAGCCGTCTCGGTCGGTTCATCGGAGACTGTAGGAGTCGGAGTCGGCGTGGCAACCGGGTCTTCTGAGCTTGTCGTAGCAGCCGCCGCATCTGAGCTTGTAGTGGGCTGTGCGTTCCCTTTCCCTTTGCCTTTGCCTTTTCCACGCCCGCCTCCAGTGTTACCGCCAACATTGTTACTACCACCCCCGTTACCACCACCATTACCACCACCATTACCACCAGCATTGTTACCACCACCACCATTACCACCAGCATTGTTACCACCACCACCGTTACCACCGCCACCGTTGTTACCACCGCCGCCATTACCACCACCATTGTTCCCCCCGCCGTTACCACCACCATTGTTACCACCACCACCGTTACCACCGCCACCGTTGTTACCACCTCCGTTACCACCACCATTGTTTCCACCACCATTGTTCCCCCCGCCGTTGTTGCCTCCACCACCACCAGCATCGGCACCAGCGCCAGGATCAGGGGCTCCAGGCCCCAGAGTTACAGCCTTAGCAATGGTATCGAGATTAGCCAGCCCCTTTTCACCATTGCTAGCGGCCGGGTTGACTGTTTTCCCATTACCGGTGACCGTGAACCGGACACAATCATCCTGGGCACCCCGTTGGGCCACGGGCATAACCACCGGTTGATGGTTTGCCGCCGCTGTCAGGGTGCAGAGGCGGTAGTTCCCCGCTGGCAACCCGCCCGTCACGGCGGCCGTGAGTTTACCCTTGCCGTCTCCAGCGTCGTTGATACCCTTGAAGAAGGCAAACTGCGTGGGATCCATGGGCTCGGTTGGGTTGAGGTCCTTGCCTGTGTCCTGGACGGTAACGTGCACATGGCCGACAATTTTACCGCCGTTCAACTGCTGCGGCGCTGCGTAGTAGGTTGATGCCGCGTTGGTGAAAGAGCCGGCGTCCAGGTTTGAGGTCTGGACGACGATGTCGAAGTCTTTGTTGGAGTCTATACTATCCCCGTTCTGTGGGTTTGTGATGACCACGGAGATCATGTCCTTGGTCGAAGGGATGTCTCCCATGACTATGTGAACCACTGGTCAGCACACTCTCGTCCTCGCGCTCCCCATCGCCAGTAGTAACATACCAATTCCATTGCAGGAGCCATCTGTGATCTGAAAGCCATTGGTTATGGTCTTGCCCTTGCAGAAATTGATAAAGTTGTTCCCGGAGGTCGTCGATGCGGCTTGAACCGGGTCAAAGCCGAGAGCCTTCGACCCGTCAAAGGTCGATCCGGCCTGAATAACATCAGGATCAAGTGTTGGTGAGTCGTTACCGGCCTGTGCCCGCACCAGGGCCAGGTTAAGAAGAAACAGAAGTCCCTGTGTCCTCATAACGCAACAGCAGCATAATACGATGCCAGTCCCCTTTATAAAATGGAATCAACAAGGCCGTTAGCCAGAAGGGGAGGGGTCACGCGCAGCGTGGCAGTCGTTTGAAATCTCTTGGCGCAAGAGAGATAAAAGAAGGTGAATCAAAAGAGCGACTAGGGGTGAGTGAACAACACACGACGGGGTGGTCAGGGCCTAGGGGGTGGGCAGAAGTGTTATATTGGCCGCGGCTGGCGTTGAGATTTTACCTAACGCCACCGGCAAACTCGGCAATGGTATCTTGTAGCACCGCATCGTCCTCGAAACGCGGCTCGTGGGGCAAACTGTCACAGAGCGTGAGCTGATGCGCAGAATATCTTACTATTTGCCTCTATCGGAGAAGGGGCAGAAAGGGGTAAAATGGGTGGTGATGAGCTTGGCCGGCGTAAGAACATAGAGGATCAGACAAGATTGTAAGAAAGTTGCCGGTGTAAAAAGCATCTATTAGCGAGAGAAATATGGAAAGGCCGGTGCAGAATACCGGCCGTGCCGCCGGCCGGGGCCGACATGGAGGCCGGGAAGAGCTTCAGGTTGGCGACGATTTTACGAAGCTGTGGCCACGGAATCGGGACCCGCCTTGATCCGCGCGACAACATTCGATTCAATCTTCAAGCACCCGATGTCGAACTGCAAGCTCGTCAATAAGGACCCCAACAATGTTCAAGAGCAAAAAAACACAAATTTGCATTCGACGACGCTCCGATACCTATGGCAGCCACCGCATCGCTGCGCAAAACCAAAGCCAAGCCAGAGACAGGCTGACAGGCCACCGAAAGTGGCCGCTCGAGTGTGATGGACATGGAAGTTGGGGCTGCAGCGACCTCAACGTTAATGTTGAGATGACCCGGGGCTGAAACCTAACTGCTGCGGGCAGGAGAAAAGATGCAATAAGCTTGTGAGCCTATCTCCGGCATGTTGTCATTTCGAGAAGAAAGTCCCGACCAATCGTTGTCGCTTTCTTCTCTGAGGCAAACCCGAACTTCGTCCACTCCATCACGAGATGTGAGCATCGGAGAACGACGGCGGAAGGCTCAGTCATTCTATTCGGCGTCTTTCGGTAGCGAACGGAGTATTTCCGGACTTTTGTTGTGAAACTGTGGGCAAGGACGGAGTAACGGAACGCCAAGTGGTTTTTGCCGTTTTAGCGCAGGGGGTGCTTCCCGGGGCATTTAACGTAAGCCTTCGCCGACCTGCGGGAGGCCTGGACTTGGAACGGACGAAAGTGTGCGGAAAGTGTGCGGGGAGGCGGGGGACGCTACGGTGAACCTGTGTGTCAGGTCCGCGGGTGTATCCTGGGTTCCAATTAGTTATCGGAAGAAAAAGGTTCGGCGATGAGAAAGGAGCCACCGGACCCCGATAGGCACGGAAGACTCATCAAAGTCGGGTCCGCGAGGGTTGGCGCCACGACTTTGTAAGAATTCGGGGCGTTCCGAGCTAGCCCCAACCAGAACCACTGGACCTCCCTGGACCTCAGCTAAGCGAATTGGCTTCTCCTTCGTGAAGATCGCATGTGTGCTCTTCCATCTTCTCTCCTCTGTATAAAATCGCAAACACCCACCCCGAGTCTCACCACCAACCAACCCCTTTGCGACACCTATCCACCTATTCGTACCGCTCGTGCGATCTTGTCTCTTGTCTACTTTCGGTTCACTCTAAATACTTACCTCGAACGCTCTCATTGACGTTCAGTCTTCGGACCATTCTCTTGTTCCTTCACCGAGTCACACCGCGTCGCGCTATCATGTCTTCGTCACCAGATCGGGAGTACCGCGCGGGGAAGCGGCCCAGTAAGTTGAAGACACAGCTTTGTTACACCTCATTTCTAGGCATCTTTCCCCTATTGTCCACGACATGCTTTTCGTGTCGCCTGAATTCGGATGAAATCCCTGGCTTTGTTTTGTGCCTGGACATTTTGTCGGTCTGGCATGAAGGAGGGGCTTCGGCCGAACCTTAAAAAGTGGTTTTGCAGGGGGGGAATTTTCCAGCCCCAACCGAACTTTCGGACCCCGCTTTCGATTCGGCGTTTGAAGGGAAAGTGTCGGAGCCCACCAGAGGAGCCTCCTCCACTACACTTTCCTGACCTTCGGCCTTGTCTTTCGGGGGCTATCGCATCGCCATCGTTTTCCTCTCCGAATCGCCCGTTCAACCCATCGAACAACGTCCACACACGCCCGGTCCTCATATTATCTCATTGATCTGACACGATGGACGGCCCTGCAGGAACCCAGTCTCTCCCGCCCCCCGAGCTGCCCCAGCTGGTGGCCGAACAGCATGCGCCCATCCCACCAACTGACAAGGACTCGAGGCGCCTGATCGTCGTCCTATCCAATGCCAGCTTGGAGACGTACAAGGCTTCGCACGGCGGTGTCAGTCGCATGGGGGTGCAGAGGGAGGAGAAGTACTCGCTCCTCAATAGCGACGAGCACATCGGTGTCATGCGCAAGATGAACAGGGACATTAGCGATGCCCGCCCTGACATTACACACCAGGTTTGACAAAGCCGCTGCTTCCCCATCCAACATGGGCCAAAGCCACGCGCGGCTGCTAACCCCTAAAACCTTTTTGCTTTCCAGTGCCTCCTCACCCTCCTTGACTCGCCAATCAACAAAGCCGGAAAGCTTCAGATCTACATCCAGACGGCCAAGGGCGTGCTGATCGAGGTGTCGCCCTCGGTCCGCATCCCGCGGACGTTCAAGCGATTCGCCGGTCTGATGGTCCAGCTCCTCCACCGTCTCTCGATCAAAGGCACCAACTCGCAAGAGAAGCTCCTCAAAGTGATCCAGAACCCAATCACAGACCACCTGCCGCCCAACTGCCGCAAGGTCACACTCAGCTTCGATGCACCCATGGTGCGGGTCCGCGATTACATCGACAACCTCCAGCCCAAGGAGAGCATTTGCGTGTTTGTGGGGGCCATGGCTAAAGGCGCCGACAACTTTGCGGACGCCTACGTCGATGAGAAAATCTCCATCAGCAACTTCAGCCTTTCGGCGAGTGTTGCGTGCAGCAAGTTCTGCCACGCTGCTGAGGATAGCTGGGATATTCTCTAGACCTGACATGGTTGGCCCCCCGGAACAACAACAACAACAACAATATCGACAAGAACCAGGGAAATGGATGAAATGATCTTTCGGTTTCCTATGCTAGTATAGGGAGCTGCGGCCGCATTGTGCCTGTCCCGCGATCACAACATCGCGGTCGATGGCCTTTGTCGTCCGGAACTTGGGATGTCTGTGCTTGAGCTGTCGGTGTTTTTGCAACCAAAACATGGGGCGTTCAACAACGGATCCCGAGACGCTTTCGTCGTCTGCGCGGTGCCACTTCAACTTGGCCCACGTCTTTTCCCTGTCTTGTTTTTCGTCTTCTGTTTCTCCTTTTGTTCTCTTCTTCCACACACACACATTTAATGTTATTTATGAACTAACCCACAGCGAGGAAATCTGGTGGGAATAGCAATGTGACGAACTCGCCAGTTCGGATGTAGCAAGGTAGCAGTGGTTGTCAGGGTGCAGTTGAGTTCACATCTGAGATGAGGGGTATTGGAGATATGGAATTCATTTTTATATCTCTCTGGCTCCGTGCTTTTTCCCCTTGCTACGATGTAATGACCGTGTCGTCGATGTTCTGTTAGCCCCGTCGCTCCATTGAGCAGACGCTGCTTGGCTGGCGGGGTCAAAATTGGCACCGCGTGTTGTTAGGGTTCTCCCCGAGCGAACACCTGCGTTCAATGAAAATGAGTTCGCTTCAATTCTGCTTGTCCTTCTGTTTGGTCAGGTGGGCTCCGACCAGTGGCCAATCATAGCGATGCGGTTGCCGCTTAAGGACACCTCGCCCCCACATTTCCTTTCCCTTCCTCGTCCTGCTGCAGCGACCGTTAAAAACATGCGTCACAAACTGATTCAGTTCCCCGCCAATCGACAACCACAACCCGCGTTGCGGTTTTTCGATGGTGCCTTCTTTGAGCACTCGGAGGGGAGAGCATCCACCTGTTCGCAACCAATGACCACCTTCTCAACCTACCCGCCCTCGACCGCCGAGCCGCCCTTTTGCTGGGCCCTTTTTCAAGCCCTTCTTTGACGAGAAGGCGTTGTGTGTCCATACAAATTATATGTACACTAAGGAGTGGCGACTACTTCGAAGTGCCAGGCCTCGTGGGACCGAGCCTTTGAGGTGACGCAGCTTGTCCGGAACTGGCCCGGACCCCGGAGGGCACAGCTTTTTCGGGTGCAAAGGGGAAAAAAACGAGACCACCTCAGCGAGCGCCCAGCCACGGACAGCGTCCCATCCACACCCGACCTCCTCCCGACCTCCCGACCCCGACCCACCCGCACCTTGCCGGTCACAGGCCACAGGCACAGCAGGGGCGGCCAGTTACCGACAGGGACCAAGGCCCTAAAACCCCCTGCAGGGCAACGGGAGCGGGTCGATGCGTGTCCCAGCGACCTGTCAGCTCCATTCTCCAGCATTGAAGACCACAAAGATCAACAGCCCTCACTCGGTGGTCTCTTTCTCCATTCGCCCATCCATCCACCGCTTTCACAATGGCTTGAGGGAGCCAGTGCCAGTGAGCCAGGCTCGCCAGGGTGATGTCCTGTTCTCCTCCGCTGTAACTCTGTGATGGCCAAGTTGGGCAGCACCGTCCTTTTTTCGACTGACCGTCATCCCACAGGGTGCATGGGCGATCATCTTCATCCATCTTAGGTTTCAGGGTTTATTCAGCAGCGCTCTGCTTGGTTTGCTGAGTCCTACACTGGTTATCGCTACCATCGCTTTGCTGTAAAAATTATCTGGCTCGACTCGGCCTCAGGAACTTTAGGACTCCAGGCGATTCTTGCTGGAAGCAGTCTACAATTCTGCTCGATTCCATATCTCGGATTGCCCGGTGACAACGGAGACGACCTGGGCAAACAGTGCGCCCCGGCTTGCCCCCCTCTCTTTGTGTGACAGCTGCTGAGCGAGGCGGGGCGTGTGAGGCTCGGCCCCGTGGCGCGCGTCACTCGCTTGGGCGGCCCAGCCTGCGACCGCTACGATTCGACACCCTGGCCACAGCAACTCGCCTTCCCGCCACGCTTATCCCAAAGCAAGCTCTCTCTGCGCTCGAGGCGAGGGTGAGAGGGTGGAAAGAGTGTCGTGTCGAAGAGAAAGCCCAAAACAGGGCTTTCAAACCCTCGAGTGCTGACCTCGAGGCTCGACGGCAGTGTTGCACCCGTCGATCGAGTGACTGAGTGACACGACCACCCTCACCCGGGTCCCCCGAGACTGCGATCCCCCCTCGCCCCCCCCCCCCCCCCCCCCCCCCCCCACCCTGCCCTACCCGTGCTACTGTCCCGGCTGGCGGGGTGTATTATACTGTACCGATGCTCCCCTTCCTTGAAGTCGATCACCTCCCCTCCTCTTCATCGTTCTACTCGGCTGTGCTCCAACCGCTTGGGCTTCACTACTTGTCGACCGAAGGGGGTCATTTTCCATTTGCCACCTTCGGTAACGCCTTGGGGACCCCTATTTTCCAGATCCGACAAGTCGCCTCCAGCAGAGAGCGGCCACTCAAGACCTCCCGCATTATCTTCAGCGCTCCTTCGGTAGCCGCGGCCGGGTCCTGCTTCGAATTTGCCCGGCAATCCAATCCGAATTCTCGGGACCCCCACCCGCGCCGCTCCTCCGAGAGCTTCGCAAGTGGCGTCTCTGCGAGGTGGTTAGACACCCCCGGTGGCGGCGCCGTGGTGGTTATAAGTGACCGCGTCGGGAACGTTATGGAAATTGTCCCATCACCGGCTTCAGGATACCCTCAAGGCTTTGGCGGAACAACCTACCCCTACGCCGGCTCTCAAATTGTTGAGGAACCCGGCAAGATTCTTAAGTGGAACTACGGGATCACCAGCTCATCTACCCCCACGCGCTCTTCTGCCCATCGGTTCCACGCTCACGGATATCCCGGTGGCGACGGTGGTGACAACGACGACGACGACGAAGACGACGAAAATCCACCACCGGTTCCCAAAATCCGACGGAGTGTCACCACCCGCTCCGCCGTCTACGAACCGGCGACCTCAGCTCGGGAAAACTCCCACGGCCTAAGCGCCGGTGCTGTCGCGGGGAGTGTCCTCGGGACCGCTGCCGGAACTACTGGAGCTGCCGGCACTGTCGCACTAAGCAGTGCAGTCTCGTATCCGAAGAATTACGACAGTAACCGCGAAGAGTACCCCCAGCCCTACGACAACATGCCGTCCTTTTCGCGCCGATCGACCTTCCCCGAGCGGTACGACGTGTATACCACGGACCACAAGAGACAGTACTATGGCGACGATGATCGCTACGTCCGGGACAAGTCCCGCTCCCGAGGCGGAGACCACTACTACACCGCCGCCTCTTCCGACCCTTACTACCAACGCGCCGCCCCAGAGTATTCTTCACGTCACGCCCCAGCCGACGCCTACCAGTCTTCACGATCACGCGCTTCCTCAGTACAGCCCCGGGGCGAGTCTGCCAGCTACCGCGATCCCTACGCCACTGCCACCTACACCACCACCAGTGATCTTCCCGACCGCCGAGGCTACAGCAGTTCGCGCAGCGCCCGACACCCACCCATCGTCCAGCGTAGCTACACCTTTGATACCCCCGACCGCGACCGCGACACCTACGTCTCAACCCGCAGCCACAGATCCAACAGCACCGTCCGCACCCCTGGTGCTGCCCCTCTAGAGATCAGCCGTGACCCCTACGACTACGGCCAGACCTCCACGCCAAGCTACCACGGAGGAGGAGGTCGAGTCGTGACGACGACCACCACGACGTACAAAGTGCCGCGCAGCTACAGCCGCGAAAACAGCAGCAACAGCTACCTCTCCGCTCGACAAACTCCCATCGCAACGTCAATATCGACGCCGATGTACCTCTCAGCACGCGATATGCCGTTGACGAGAAGCCAGACAGACATGGGGGTCTACGCATCGGGACGGGACGGGGGCAGGGATCGAGAGCGCGATCGGGGCAGGAGTAGGGAGCGAGAAGGCGGCTATGGGAGGTGGGATGTCGATCAAAGAGGCGGATATGGTGCTAGTGCTGGCGGCGGTGGTGGTAGTGGTGGGGCTCGGTATGATGGATATGACGGGTATGGTGATGGGTACGATGATGACGACCGGTCGGATGCCGGTAGTGTAGAGCCGGACGATAGTATTAGCTGTGTGGGTACAAGGAGGAGCGGGCGGGGATATTGAGTCCAGTCAGGCGTTTTTTTTTCTCCCCTTCGCCGACTAGGACGATGGGAGGCCAGGAGACGACAGCGATGGGAGGGGGGCGATTAGTGGCCGTTGTGTTGGCCGGCTGGGGGGTTGTTAGATTGGGTATTTCCTTTTGGTATTTTTACATGTTGAATTACTCGGGGTGCTCAAATAGGTGATTATATTTTGTATGATGAATGCTTTATTTTGGCGTCTTGCTGGCGTCCCTGTCTATCATGAGCACTAGGGGGCGTCTTTGAGAGCTGGTGTATATGATTCCGTCTTCGAGGGTCACAATGAACCTTGCTTTTCGCGATCCTTCGTCTACCACGTACACCTTTTCGAATAAATATGTTGCAATATATGCCAAACATGATATGCGTTGTTCCAAATCCAGGCCCCTGGTATGGGCGCCGTAACACCTTCTAAGATCTGACTAAACTTTACCGTGGCTCGGGCCAGCTTACTACACTCTACTCTGTAAGTTTGTACATGTTATTGGCTCCACAACAGGCGGATGACGACCCCAGTCCCGTCGTCCAGTCCGCAGCACCTTTGTACACTACGAACCCTCCATGCTTGATGGGTTGTGTGCGACGATGAATGCGATGTAAGAATACACGGGCAGTCCAATGTGCACAAAGTGTACTATGCAGGTTGAAAACGGGCCCTGTCCACATCCGCAACTTGACCCACAACGACGTGATTTTTCTAGGGAAAACCTCAGACAGAGGGTGCACGTTTTTTATTATTGTAAATGCTGTTCACTTCCGCCATTTTCATTACATAGTACATAGTAGCTGCCGTCATGTTCAGGGACTGGGACTGTCTCGACCTAAGTTGCGAAGCTTACAATCAAACAGGGGCCGACCTTTTGCTCGCCAGGATGTGGGGCTCCGTCACACCAATCACTAATGCTAACGGAGATTTCCCGTCCCTTCCGTTTTGTGCCTCAATGATGGATCCAGAAAAACGGTCGAAGCGCCCGGGTGTGGACCTTCCACTTGTTGGTCTGTCTTCCTGAGAAAACACTTGTTAACAGTATTAAGACAAACGCAGGTGACTTCGCTCTAATTAATCCTCTGTTCGTTCTAGATGGCAACGTCAGTTACATAGCTCCACCAATATCCGCCAACCACCGTTCTCTCGCGATTATCAAAATTGAGTCGTTGGGTCCCTTGAAGGATGGGAGAAATAAGAGGCCCTTCAACGACTCACGGGAGCTCCATGTTCCCCATATTTTTGCCCACCGAATTCCACGTTTTGTCTCCGATTGTCGGAATCCGATGAGGGTCCTCCTCGATCTGCCATGCACCTCATCAACCCGCGTGCCGTCAATGTGGGACGGCAGATTGTGAGGAACGTGAACGTGGGGAGCAGGACACCATCGAATTAGTTCACCAGTAGCTCATTGGCAAAGCACCATCCGTTTGTCGTATGTGTCGGAAGAATTGGGTAACCCCCGCTCTGAAGACGAAAAGTTTCATCAAACCTGCTTCAGTGAAAAAAAGGCCCGCCGGTGGTCGAGCTCCCGCGAGTTGAGCTCCCGTGAGTCAATCGCCTAACACCCATCCCCGCCAAGGTACTTTGAGCATCACGAATTCATCCCAAACACACCACAAGGTAGTTACCGCACTCACAACCCAGCGTTACTCGCCCAAAAAAAAAAATTTCGGCAGCCCGGTGCTAATACGCACAGAATTGCTACCGGCACACCGGTGAAATTCCGTCTGACGCAATACAATGATTGATCTTGATCTTGGGGCGTCCATTCCCCCACATACAGCACATGTACGCCTGACTAGGTACCTACCAAAAAGTGCTTGAGGTTCAGTCCGACTAACGCTATTTCTTGCGGTCCTTAGGCTGTGAGCGTATCGCTACCAACATGGAAGTCCAACATTGGCTATGAAGAGGGCGAAGATTGGGTCGTCGGCCGCATGGTCACAGGTTATCCTCGGTATGCCCCTCTTTCACTTGCCGCTCCGAGTTGTCTCGTGCCTCGTTTCATCCTAACCCTCCGCTCAGCTTCTTCATACACCGGAGTATCCAAGCCTTCATTGCCGACATTTTGGACAGCCTTGGCAGGAAAGACTCCAAAGCCTTCCTGTTCCCGACCCGCCAAATTGCAGACCGATGTGTCTCGTTCGTCAAAACACATGCCCCCCCAGCCGCCTTTTCTTCTCTAAGCACCGCTCATCTTGTCCTGGATACGACGCAGCCGACATCTGGGGCCCTGGCGGCTCTCTCACCAGCCATTTCTGCTGTGCTTTGCTCGCAGGAGGCATTCCCCTTTGTCAAGCAATACTGGCAGCACACGGGCGACGGCGTATCCAGCCGCAGGGCCGAGTTCTGTCACAATCTTTTCAAAGATGGCCTTCTCCGTTTAGATGAGGAAGGCTCCGTACGAACCACCCAGAACGTTCCCACGAGTCCAAAGCCGTGCCGAGGGCCCAAACGGTACCAGCGGCCTTCATCGGTCGAAGCGACAAAGGCGGCACAATCACCAAAGCCCGCTCCAGACGGGGACGCGGGGCTTCCTGACCTGCACGAGACATCCCGTTTTTTAGAAGAACGATATGGCAGGAATCTCGATGTCTCGTTTGTCCACCCCGCCAAGTCCGCCATAAAACGGCGAATCGCGGGGGCCCTCCGTGGCGTTAGCGAGCTCACCACGGCACCACCACCCGAGCACGAGATGGAGTCCAACTCGCGTGGGATTCCCAACCTCAAGGAGGAGGATGTATATCTCTTCCCCTGCGGAATGAGCGCCATCTTCAACTCTCACCGGGCCCTTCTCAGCGCCCGTGGGAGCATGAAGAGTGTCAATTTTGGTTTCCCCTATGTGGACACCTTCAAAGTGCTCGAGAAATTTGGCCCCGGTGCCGTCTTCTACGGACACGGCTCGGAAGAGGATCTTGACGACCTGGAGAAGCGCCTCCAGGGCGGCGACCGCTTCCTTGCCCTATTTTGCGAGTTCCCGGGTAACCCACTGCTAACCTGTCCCAACCTCGTTCGCATCCGGCAGCTGGCGGACAAGTACGACTTTGCCGTCGTCGTGGACGAGACTATTGGCACCTTTGCCAACGTCAATGTGCTGCCCTTCGCCGACATTGTAGCGAGCAGCTTGACCAAGATCTTTTCAGGCGATTGCAACGTCATGGGTGGCAGCGCTATCTTCAACCCAAACAGCCGGTACTACTCTGCCCTGAAAGAGTGGGCAGAGGCAGGCGCTGATGGCGCTGGATACGAGGACACCTACTGGCCCGAGGATGTCATGTTCATGGAACGCAATAGCCGCGACTTCGCCTCGCGCATCGATCGCATCAACACCAACGCCGAGGCCATTTGCGACGTGCTCCGCACGTGTCCCATTGTCAAGACCATTTTCTACCCCAAATACAACACCTCACGGGCCAATTACGAGGCATGTCAGCTGCCTGGTGGAGGTTACGGCGGCTTGTTGTCGGTCGTCTTCCATCGCCCGGAGCAAGCCGTGGTGTTTTACGATGTCGTGGAAACGGCAAAGGGGCCCAGCCTCGGTACAAACTTTACGCTAACGTCACCCTACGTTCTGCTTGCTCACTATCAGGAGCTAGATTGGGCGGAAGGTTTCGGGGTGGACCGGAATCTGATCCGTATCAGCGTTGGCCTCGAGGAGACGGACCATCTCGTGACGATAATGAGAAATGCGTTGGAAACCGCAGCGAAGTAAAACGGCGATGTTAGGGTGCAGCAATGGGTGACAGCCATAGCAAGGGCTGGTGGGGAAAGCAACTAGTTCAATAAAAATAAAAACACTAAATCAACCGCTGGTCGCTGCCATGTGGTATCGTGCTTCCTATCCCTATAACGCCACTCGAGAGAGAGAAAATTCAACCCAAGAAACACACCGAGAGCCTCGAAACGCGGCGGCTCCTACATTACGAGACACTTTGAGGGATCGTCGGTGACGTAAATGTCACCGAGCAGCTCTTTGCGGCGCTCCCGTTCGTTATAGTCCTGCTTTTCTTTGGTTTCTTTAGGAAACCATCGCTCGAGGTGGCGTACGAGTTCCTCGTCGATGTGTGCTAGCGATATAGTCAGCTTACAAAGGTCATAACCCAACCGCTTCCACCACATGTAATTAGCTTACTCTCGTTTGCGCTTTGGACTACTTCCGCCCGACAGAGCGGGCAGTAGCGTTTTTTCTGGTTCTGCATTTTGATCATGCAGCGAATGCAGAACAGGTGCTGGCAGTCCAGCCTGATTGGGAGCCAGCAGAGGGAAAGACCTAGTTCCAAGCACTCCACGTCAGCCGTGTCTCGTACCTTGCAGGGCGCAGAACAAGTAGCTCCTATCGCCAATTGGTCATGGGGACGAGGGGCAAGACTTACAGATCGGACATGTATAATCCACAACCTGTGGAACCTGGGTGACGACCTCACGTGCTAGCTGGGCACATATGTCTTTGGAGATGGCCTCGGATATGAAATGAGCAGAGTACATTGCCTTGGGGAACGTGCTCTTTACTCCTAGGGAGGTCCGCTTGTCGAATTCTGTACCATATCAGTACAGGGCCTGCTCGCTTGAAAGGAATACAAAAGAAATAATACTATAAGGCTTTTCTCACTTTTAATAATTTTAGCCACCGCGGTTCGGTTCAGTTCCTGGAACTGCAGGTTTTCCAGCAGCGTCACGTTCAAGGCCAAGAAGTGAGTGTAGGCATTGGCGCTCGCCTCAATCTTGAATTGTTGCGGAAGCTGTCGCTTTTTGACATTCTCCTGGAACCATACCAGCTGCTTGCGCGCTTTCTCACTCTCACGCAGCCCGCCCGCCGATTCGCTCGTCGAGAAGAAAATCTGCGCTTCCAGATACACCTCAAAGATCTCGCGCCAGCGGTACAAGTCTGACTTGGAGAGTTTGATCAGGCCCTTCCGTGGTTTGGCCACTTCGGCAATCTCGTTGCCAAGGGTGTTGATTCTTACGTTCATCGCCTGTCTTTCATTCTCCTGTAGCGTATCTAGTTCGGTGACGTCTGACTGCAGGAGACTAAAGAACCGGGAATCCGAGTTCAGTGGAATCTTGACCCAGTCATGGTTGTCATTTCCCTCGGCGTTAGAGTCAGAGGACCTCTGCTCATCTTCAGACTCGGGCAAACTTCCCACAGCCGCATTATCAGGCGTAGGGGGTGTCGTCAACTCGCCCAGAGTCCTGGCTGGTTGATGAAGCTCGTGGCGATCTGACGAGAGGTTCGGTCTCACCACTAGTTTCGGGCGGAGCAGGTGAGCGGCGTCGGTTTCAAGTCGGTATTCAGCGTTATGGTCGGCCAGTAGCTGGTGGATCGTGTCGGGGGCGTAACCTTTCTTAATGAGTTCTTCGCGGACCTTACTCAATATCTTTTTGAGCTGACGATACGGGATGGCCTTCTCGACCCAGTGCTGGGGGTAGCGATCGGTGGCGAGGGCCTCTTGAAATGCGTGACCGAATTTCATGGTGACAGGCGTCGTGATGAAGATAAACGGGTAAGTTTAATGTTTGAAATGCACCCACTCATGGCGATCAGGGTGTCAGCGTGCCGCCGGGGCCTAGGATAAAAGCCAAGACAGATTCTCTAGTAAAAAGATAGCAGTGGATGCGTGAGGACCAGACCACGGCTTGAAGTCTCGGCCAGATAATTCATAAATGGGTTTTACGCCTGACAGTAAGGAAAATGGCTCATGGGAGAGGAACCGAGCAGGGGTTGAGAGAAGAAGAACCTGAAGGGAGGGAATAGCGGAGGATTAGTGCTGTTTTTGAGTGGGGGACCACACGACGCCACCAGAAAACATATTAGTTAGCCTTTTTAAGGTGTGGTCACAGGCGCCCAGGCTTCGGTGTCGAAGGCTGCTCAGGGTTTTACTTTCCGGTTTAGTTGGCATGGCCTCAGAAAAGCTGGAAACCAGAACGCCCCACCACTAACACCATCCAGGACCTGCCTGGTCTCATGGAAGAAGTGAATGAGAAATTTTGCCTGCCGTCTTATTTTGTCGCGTGACAAATTTCCAAGTTGGTCACTCGCATGCTGTGCTGAGTGAGCCAAGCGTTTTTGCCAAGAGAGGTGCAAGTCCCGGTCCCGCCAATCTAATTTATTCCACAAACCCACTGTTTAACCCCGCGGTGCCATGCTGCCGGTGCCCGTTTGTTACTTTCGCCCATGGGTCTGGCCCTCCTCCGTCATAGGGTTCTAATTTAGCTCCTTTAGCCTGCCGAGGAACTCGGATGCCTTTTGGGTTTGATACCCTCGTTCTAACACTCACTCTACATTAACCAGCCAAAGGGGTATCTCAAAACCGAAAAGGGGGGGAATATGGGTGCCGGACAGTCTGCACCCCGCGGTTCCAACTCTCCCGATGTGGGGCGTAAGACCTGTTATTATGAGCTGCTCGGGGTAGAGCCGGATGTCACCGACGAGGAGTGAGTTGGTGTCTTCTTCTAAGTCAATGTTCGTCTCGTTCGTGTGCTCGACCTGACCGAGGGCTGTCCCCAGGATCCGGCGAGCGTACAAGAAGAAAGCTCTCGAACTACATCCCGACCGCAACTTCAACGACACTGAGAACGCGACTAGACGGTTCGCTGAAGTCCAAACTGCGTATGAGATTCTATCCGACCCCCAAGAACGTGCTTGGTACAATTCTCACCGCGATGCGATTCTCAACGGCGAGAACGATATTGCTGGAACCGCGCCCACGGATCCGTCCGGCGCAAGCCATACTTCGGCCAACGCTATCTTTGCCCTGATGAGCCGCTTCAACTCGGGCGTGCCGATGGATGATTCACCGAAGGGTTTCTTTGGTGTTCTCAATGAACTTTTTGATCAGCTAGCCGCAGAAGAAATCGCTGCTTGTGACTGGACTGGGCTAGCGCCAACGGAGTATCCGACATTTGGTAAGGCCGACGATAGCTACAATGCGGTGGCGAAACAATTCTACCAAGCGTGGGCAGGCTTTTCCACCAAAAAATCGTTTAGCTGGAGGGACAAATACCGTTTACAAGATGCGCCCGACCGCCGAGTCCGACGCCTCATGGAGAAGGAAAATAAAAAGTTTCGGGAGGAAGGTATCAGGGAGTTCAACGATTCTGTGCAGTCCTTGATTGCTTTTGTCAAGAAGCGGGACCCACGTTACGTGCCCAACACACAATCCGAATCAGAAAGGCAGCAAGTTCTCCGGGATTCAGCGGCAGCTCAAGCCTCTCGATCCAGGGCAGCAAACCAGGAGAAGCTCGCTGAGTATGTTGTGCCAGACTGGGTGCAGTCACGGGATGATGCAGAGGACAACGATGAGTTCTCTATGTCGGAAGAAGAGGAAGAGGTGGAAGAAATCCAGTGTGTCGTGTGCAACAAGACATTCAAGAGCGAGAAACAGTTCGAAGCGCACGAGAAAAGCAAGAAACACAACAAAGCTGTACAGCAGTTACAACGGCAGATGAGAAAAGAGAACCAAAATCTAGACCTCGGTGGCGCAAGCCCGAACTTCCCGTCGCCCTCAACTCGAGCTGAAGACAGCGAAGACGGCGAGGACGGCGGGGAGGGGGGTGGCGGCGATAAATTACCCAACGACGATGCCACCCGCGAGACACGTCTGGCCGAAAAGGATGTAGTGGCCGACTCGTCCGGCCACCCACGAACGGGAAGCTCGGACTCCCTATCTCACTCAGATACAGAAGAAAACGACGAATATGCACCAAGATCGGCTGTTGAGGCACGTATCATGGACGGGGGCGCCAGGGATATGGGTGGTGCGAACGCCGGCAATATCCCAGATGTTGTGGACTCATTAACTCCAGCCCTTGACGGGTTGAACCTCGATGGCAGAGAAGTTGAAACGAAGAAGATGGGCAAAGCAAAGCTAAAACGAGAAAAGAAAGCTGCCCAACGGGCCGCTGAAGCCGATGTATTGAATGCTGTGAGTTTCTTACACAAAGCAAAGAAAATTATCCTACTACGAGATGCCGAATCTGACACCCGACACTGATAATCATCAGCACAAATGTTCCAGCTGCAAGGAAACCTTCCCGTCCCGATCTAGATTATTTGATCACATCCGGGATTTCAGCCATGCTGCACCCGTCCCTCTGCCCAGCGCAAAGGCAGTGAAGGGGAAGAAGCGGCGCTGAAAAATGGCGCGTTTCGTGCCAACGCTAATTTTCACACCTACCTCCGAAAACGCTGGTCAGGCCACATCCGCTGCAACGAAGTGGATGCTGGCGCACGGTGCCGAAACATGCTACCACCATGTTGTCGTTGAATAGAAACTGATGAACGGTTAAGGAGCAATATTCCGCTCCCCACCCCAGTATGTGGTGCCAAGCATGGGATAAGATGGTCTTAAACTTCAAGAATCGTATCTTCATCCTCCTCATCACTCAGCGTCTGAACTTCGTCAATAGCTTCAGCCCGACCGGAACCCATACCCCTCGATGGGTCATGTGGTGAGACGGTGATGATGGACTTGCCCTGCACATGCTTTACTCCGCTCTTCCACGTGTCCCAGTCATCCTCGTCCTTGATCAAGAATCCGATCAACATGCTAGGGTCCATGTCCTCGACATGGAGGTGGCGCAACCGACGGGTATGGCAAGAGTCTAGCTCTTCTGAGGTAAAGTCCTTTGGGTTGTCACGATATGGCAATGCTGGTCGGGGGTGGTGAGGATCAAGATAGAACAGCCATTGCCCCTGGACGCCGACGAAATAGTGCGATGACGACGGCCGACCACTGGGCAAGTTTTAGTGAATGAACAAAATCCCAAGAAGCTAAGGAAGAAAATCTCACCCAGCGATTCCAATTGACTGTTCCATTTGCAGTGTGGAGATGAGGGCTTCCTCGTATACTTGGTTGATCTTGTCAATACCCAACCTTGTACATACGAGAATTAAGGTCGGGTGAAACTGCTCCCCGTTGGGCTTGGCAGTGGCCATGAAGCTGTCCTCGTAAACGTCGGGAAGATCGCCAGTCGAATAAATCCGCAGTGAGGTCTCATGTTGGTTAACCAAAGCCCTCCAAGCCGTTAGCGGGGCTCATGCCTGTCGGAACGCTCAGGGTTAGGCGGTTATCTATGACCTACTGTATACACCGTGCCGTCGCGGACGGCCCAAACCACTCTCCCGGGTATTTTCCACACGCGACCGCTCCATGTTTGACAAAATTCTGGAGGGAATACGGGGCGCGGATGTCGTCGGAAAACAGCGCTAATATCTCACGCTCAGCCTCAGGGTCTATGGCTCTTCGCCAACCTAACCACGTGGATGTATCAGCATCAAACTCCCTGGCGAGGGGGGACGACGGGCGAGAGGCGTGGTGGGTTACTTACTACGTCCCAGCCGAGATATTAATAAGGCATTCGCCAGCAGGCTCTGGCCCGATCTAATCATACAGCCCCAGCCCGTATCTGACGAAAAGCCCGTGTGTTCCCCTAAAGAGGTCTTGAGCCGCATCGTAAACGACAAGGCTGCATTTGCCTTAGGGTCCGTGGACCTTGGGATCTCTTCGAATCCAGTTCGGTAGGTCATCCATATCCGAGATTCGAAGTCATCTAGAAAACTGGGTGGCCAACCGCTGTCATGTCCCGGGTCTTCGTAGGCTAGGGACGAGTCGAAGCTGCTCGAGAGGGAATCGGGCGGGGTGTGGGGTCGGGAACTGCTCGCTCCGGAGGTGGGCGTCGGAGTGGTCGCGTCATTTGCCGCGTTGGCGATCTTGATGGTACCGTCGCCCGGGGGGGTACTAGCAGTCAACCCTGATGGCTCTGCTTTGGTTCCAAGGGTGTATGAGCAGCCGAGGCACCAGGCTGGCTCGTTCGAGCCGCGGTCGTTGACCGGCTCTGGGTCCCAAATCCGTTGAAATATGCGACGACTAACGCGGCCAACTTCTGCCCCTGCCGCAAACGCAGCCTCCATGGCGTTTGCCAGCTGCGGCGAGGTGTTCAAAGCAGCGGACTGCCAAGTGTTGTTGCTCTGGCTTCGTGGTGGGGTCATTGGATATCGCGCGGTTTCGATTCGGTGGGTAACAACAGGTACGGAATTAACAGCTCAAAATTAACGAGTACCACCGGCAGGTCCCTGTCGGGGCGTCGTCGATGAAGAGAGCGATGGCAAGATGTCGTCGCTCCCTGGGAACGAAGCAAGCTAATGGATTGATTGATGGGAAACTTGAAAAGTCCTCTTAGCGCCGAGGTATACGCGAGTCTTTCTATTATCACCGTTGAGGGTTGTCTTATTTGGGAACGCAGGAGTCAGTGTGTTTAGAGCGATGTCAGATGTTGCTGTGGGAGCTTGGTTTTGAGGAGTGTTCTTGAGCCGGCCAAGATGCTGTGTCGGAGGATGATGGGGTGAGGAGCAGATGTCACAGCACATGAGCAGCTCTCAGCCCCACCGTCCTCCGCAGCAGCTGATGGCCAAGCTCAGGCAGCCAAGCTCCGACCGTTTTGGCTTAGCGCCATGTGGATGAATGTCATTCATGACGCTCAGGCTCAAGCTCACGCGTTATTCTTGAATGGTGCGTGCATACACTACATCAACCAAGCTCAAGGAACGGTGTTGAAATAGCAAATGTAGTATACACTACACTGCATTACGTGCTTACCTACAGAGTGCAAGTGTGGGTACCTATGGAACTGGAACCCAACTTCGGCGGTAGATTCGATCCCCCACCCCAACATGGAACCTGCTAAGCGTTTGTTGTGGCGAAGGGCAGCAGCGTCCCGAACAAACCGTCGGCTCCATTTTCAGAACATGGGGGAGGGGCGGAGCTGACTTTTTCGGCCAACCCATCCTTCCCAAAGAGAAAGTCCTTGGTAAACACTTTTTTTCGGTTTAGCAGCAACACATCAAGACCGGACTACTTACCTACTTTTTCCTATTTCGTCTAAAGTGACATATTTCTCACGCGAGGATACGGTTCGGCCCCTTAAGCGAGGCCGATTCTTCAATAATTACGAATACTTCACTTGATTAAAATCTCAAGTGAAACCAAGCTCGCA